AGTTAGATTACTTACTAAATTCTAAGACTCCATTCCTGTTCTGCCCCCGGGAAAAGCATCACCCAGACATACACAGACCCTTTGTTTCCCCCCCCCCCCCTCCAGCTTTGAAAGTATCTTGTCTCCTCATTGGTCATTGTGGTGAGGTGCCAGCGAGGTTATCCTAGCTTCTTAACCCTTTACAGGTGAAAGGGTTTTTCCTCTGGCCAGGAGGGATTTTAAAGGTGTTTACCCCTCCCTTTATATGAATGACAAGACCCCTGCTCTGAACAGCAAGAAGGGGGAGAGGAGATGAGGTGGGGGACTCTAACCATACTGTGAGCCCGCGCCTCCACAGGAGTCTAGCCAGTCCTGCCAGGCAAGTGTGGATGAGCCCACTGATGAAGGGGAAGGGAGATCGGGTAAGTGTGTGCTGCGTTTTTCCTTACAATGTTTTTTTTGCTTTTCCTTCCTCTCCCACTCCCCCTCTGTCATTTACAGTTGGCCCCTGTCCCATCCAAAAGTGCATGAGACAAAAGTATTGACTTTTTTCATTGTTTTACTGGTATACTGTGAGAAATTAAAAAGTTAGGAAGTAAATTTGAAACAAATTTTTGAACAGTACTATGGCAGGCCAATTTCACAATCCACATCAGTTCAGTGTCCTGTGCTCAGGTAGAGGTAGAGATGGCATTTGCTTCTGTTGGGCTAGGTGAGGGGCCATGTGGTGCACATTGTTTATGTGAATAGGGATGTATATTTTTATCTTCCTGAGAGTTCTCGATGGCACTTTCATGGAGATACTCAGAAATCTTTGGGAGAGGATTGAAAAGGATGGCAGTCTTATTTCTTCCTCCTTAGGAGGACATTTTCCCATGCCACTCTGCAATGTATTTGGCTGGCACCATCGCAGGAAACAGGCTAGCAGCATACAGGTCACGTGGCTTCAGGATGCCAGTAGCAGCTGAGTTCTCTGTGCTTTTGTGACCCTCAGGAGTGAGAAAGACAACATTCATTATCTGGGGGAATGGGGGGGAGTGCCAGTAATTACAATAAAAAGAACGAGGAGTACTTGTGACACGTTAGAGACTAACACATTTATTTGGGCAGAAGCTTTCGTGGGCTAAAACCCACTTCATCAGCTGCATGGAGAGGAAAATACAGTAGGAAGATATATATACAGAGAACATGAAAAGGTGGGTGTTGCCATACCAACTCTAACGAGACAATTACGGTGAACTATTATCAGCAGGAGAAAAAAAAACTTTGTAGTGATAATCAAGATGGCCCATTTCAAACAGTTGACAAGAAGGTGTCAGTAACAGTAGGGGGGGAAATTAGCATGGGGAAATAGTTTTTAGTTTGTGTAATTACCCATCCACTCCCAGTCTTTATTCAAGCCTAATTTGATGGTGTCCAGTTTGCAAATTAATTCCAGTTCTGCAATTTCTCGTTGGAGTCTGTTTTTGAAGGTTTTTTTGTTGAAGAATTGCCACTTTTAGGTCTGTAATTGAGTGTCCAGGGAGGTTGAAGTGTTCTCCAACTGGTTTTTGAATGTTATAATTCTTGACGTCTGACTTGTGTCCATTTATTCTTTTGCGTAGAGACTGCCCGATTTGGCCAGTGTACATGGCAGAGGGGCATTGCTAGATGCCGTCATGTGCCAGAAAACAAAATATTGAATAGTTGCTTGTTAGTTGTGCACCATCCCTCCTATGCACTGAATGAGGCAAAGGTCCCGGGGAAGAAAATGTGGTCATGTAATTAAAGATTATTACAAAGCATCTGTGCAAGGGGACTGAATTAAGGTTGCACAGTGCATGGCTTCGCAACCTTAACAGTGTTCATTTAATGTAGCTTTTGGTGTATAATACTTCATATATACTCCATATTTAATGTATGTATAGGAATGCCATTTCCTATTTTTTTTAAGGAGTTATTATTTGGAATCACTGTTTCAAAAGCTAACTTCTGTAACCACTACTTGTTTATTTGTATAGTGGTCGCCTCATTGTGCTAGGCACTCTACACATGTACCTATGTGATCTTACTATAGTTACTTCTGTTTTCCCTCTTCCTTTGCTTCTGTGTGTTTTAAATTAGATTGTAACCAGGGGCATGCTTTTCTTTTTTTCCTGTTTGTTCATATTACAGTAGTGCCTAGAAGCTCCAGTCAGGATCAGAGCCCCACTGTGCCAGACACTGTACACACATACATAATAAGAGACCGTTCCTCCCCTGAAGAGTTTATACCCTAAGTAGACAAGACAAATGGTAGGAGAGGAAATGGGCACTTGTAGTGAAGTGACTTGTCCAGGGCATTAGGTCAGTGGCAGAACTGGGAATAGAACCTATGTGTTGTCTTACGTACACATAGGTTATCTAGGACAATAAGACCTTGATCCCAAATGGGTCTTCTGCATGCTACTCTAATAAAAATAAAACCTCTAGGTGCTACCATTGCACAACTCATTAATAATAAAACTGTGAGCCAGAGTTGCAGGGTTCTATGCTTGTCTGCTCAGCTTTTTTCCTGCGTGATTCTAGACAGATCAGTTAACTCTTATATCAGCTTCTCTGTAAACTGCCTATAATAACTTACATACAATAATGTTGAGGCTTGTTTGTAAAGCATTTAGAGATTCTTGGACAAAGGTCACCTATAAATACTATGCATTTTCCTTCATGATAATCAATGAATCATAGGAACTGGGATGAAAAAATTACTTACTTAGCAAGATAAACTAAATGTCCAATGCCCTTCACTATCTTGGACTGAGTTGTAGACTTAAAATGATGTGTATGCATCCGCTTTCACAAACACATTCCCAGTTGCGTTACACATAGCAGCAACATTAAACACATACCTTTTCAATGTCTGTTTAAAGTCTAAAACAGTTTTTGCTGTCTGAATATTAAGAGCGTTCTACAACTCTGATCAAAATCCCCGTTCCAGAATATTTAAAGACCAACTCTTCCAAAATTACTAAGATTATAAAAGAAAAAGCAGTTTACAAAGCTCACTTTCTGTAGGTGAACAAAGTACTTCAGTACCAATGAAATAGGATTTTGGAGAATCTGAGCATAAGATAAATAAACTTAAACCAATAACTGTTAAAAATTGCAGCAATTGGACTTCCATCACTTTCTTCAGATGCTTATTAAGAGTTAATGAAAAAAGAGTTTAAAAAATGTTGAAGGATGATCAGTTTAAATGTTCATTTGCTCATTAGTTGTCCAGTTAATTCTAGGTATACACCTTTTAACCTCTTCCTAATCCAGTCCTCTCCATTTTTTCTTGTTCCATTCTTTACACGCTTTAAAGCAATGTGTTCCCTAGTGTGGTGGAGGTTTTGGGTCAAACTATACTAAGTTTTTTCTAAGCTTTCCTCCTAAGTCAACCCTTTCGTCTGTTCAGCATTTGTTGCAAGTCTCTGAAATATTTACAATGTGTTGATTTATGCTGTAGTGTTCAGACCAGATCATTGTAAAGTACGTATGTTTTCACCATTGCCATATGCATACTGTGTGCAGTCCAAAATTACAAATGCTTTTTGTGTTACGATACTCTGAGCTTATACGTAGAGTAAATCTCTTTTTGGCATTATTTTCTTCCAAAGCCACATTGCCTTTCTTATACTGAATACCAATTTTGGATTATTAACTTGCAATATCCAGGTTGCATCTCACTTTATTCCCTGCCCACATTCCTAACGTCTCTAGGTCTCTCTCTATTATTTCTTTGTAGCCCTTGATTAATTCCTTTATTCTCTCTCCTTCCCAAGAAAAATTGTTTTACTTTGGCTGTAAATCCCGAATCTGAAGCTGTTCTTGATCATATAACCAGAGGTGGGCAAACTACGGCCCACAGGCCACATTCGGCCTACGGGAACCTCTTACCCGGCCCCTGAGCTCCTGGGCCAGTAGGCTAGCCCCCAGCACCTCCCCTGCTGTTCCCCCTACCCTGCAGCCTCAACTCACTGTGTTGCTGGCGCAATGCTCTGGGCAGCAGGGCTGCGAGCTCTTGCCGGGCAGCACAGCTGCAGAGCCGCAGCCTGACCCGGTGTTCTGTGCTGCACCGTGGTGTGGCTGGGTCTAGCCGGGCAGCATAGCTGCCTGTCCTGGTGCTCTGGGCGGGGCACAGCCTCCCCTAACCGGCCCTCTATACAATTTCGGAAACCAGATGTGGCCCTCCGGCCAAAAAGTTTGCCTGCCCCTGATATAAACTAATAATATACCTGTGACAGAATACACCTCTGTATTCACATCCTCCACACTATTGTAATAATCTTGGTACAAAGTATGCCTTGTAAGGTATCAGTTGAAAATTTATAATTTGCTACTCCGGATTGTCCTGGTAAAATATGTCTGGCAATATTTTATGTGAAGCTGTAAGATGCTCCTGTATGATGAGGATAACACATGTTCCAAACCTCACAGGTGTGCCCAGGCAGAAGTTAGGTCTGTCCTAAACAAAAGAAGGTTCTTGCCTTAATTTGCATGTAAGCAGTAAACCGAGTCATCAGGCAGGGAGGGAAAACAAAGGAAATTCAAACAGGTGGGGGAAAAACCCAGCAGGGACTATCCTTTTATGTAGACTCTCCGTCTCCTGGGTTTCAGCTAGAAATTTCACAAGGGAGACTGGAACTATAAAAAGAAGGAACAAACACCCCTTTCTTTCTCTCCCTGCCCATCACATTCTCTGCACCTGAGAAGGCAAAGGTAACTGCTGTTGGACTTTGGGGGAGGGGTCCTGACCTGAAAAGTTTAGTCAGTAATCTGGCTGCCCAGAGATGAGAGGGTTTTTTTTAAGTAGATATTAGTAAGCATTTTATCTTTATTTTTCTTGTAACCATTTCTGGGTTTTATGCCTCATTACTTATACTCACTTAAAATCTCTTTCTTAAGCTTGTGTTACTGTTTTTTATCTAATCCAGCATGTTTAAATTGAAGTGTCTGGGCAACTATTTAAGTTAATAAACTAGCATATGATTCCTTTAATGTCTGGCTTGTCCCTCCAGGATTCGCCACTTGATGTGTAGATGGTGCAGCCAGTGACGCAATGGCAAGTGACTGGTGCTGGTCAATAAACCTGACTCCCCTTGGGAATTCCTAATGGCGCCCAAGTGTGGGGTAATGGAACACCCTGGGTGAAAGAAATGTCCCCAGAAAAGTGGATGAGCCAGAATCCTGTTGGTCAATGGTACCAACACTACTGGGACCAGATCCATTTAGAAAAGGTGCGGTTGCGGATGCGATAATACGGGTGCTTAATTCAACTTGGAGCTTTCAAATTGTCTTGACCTTTGTCTTGCCATTTAAGTTCTGCCAAGAGAGAAGATAGAGGGCCTGTGGCAATCCCTTCCTTCTTTGTTTTGCTTAGGCTTACTCACTGAGGGTCTGTGCTCGCTCCTCGTGGTGGGGAAGGACCCAGACATTTGACAGAAGCTCAGATGTTCAAGTAGGGGAAGATCTGCTGCTCGTACTTTGGGCTCTTCTCCCACACTACTGTCAAGCACTGGCTGTTTTCATCGTGTTTTCTTTCATCTGTCAAGACATTGGATGTCCATGTAGATTCCCTTAAAGGAATAATGGACTTAATAGACTGGTACTGTCCAGGAGAGGGCTGGGCAGTACAGGACATACGTTTCTGGGGGAAGATCTGGGACCAGGCATGTGTTGGGAGCACTCTGCAGTATAACCATGGCTAGTGAGATCCAGTGTGTAGCTGGCAGATTGCAGTTACATACAGACACTCAGAGTGTGGCCTGCATGCTGCAAGGCTGTTTGTAAGCGATCCAGGTTAGAGCTGCTACAGCAAAGCATTGCAAGCACCCAAGGTTGCAGGGCAGTGATGACACAGCTCCCCACTAGTTTGAATTGTGCCATGGTATGTCACAATAGCTTGATTTTATAACAGATTTTATGAAAGATGCTATCTTATTGTTTTATAAGGTAAGTAATTACAAAAGCTAAAAGTTTAAAAGACAGCAGGCAAATTAATTAAGATGCATAGACAAGGGATGATTTCAGAAGAGATTTGGAGAGGTAAAAGCGAAGGAAAGCTGTTTCAGATGTTCTTGCCTCTTCCTCATTGCTTTGTATACATGTTTGTTTGTGTCATGCTACTCTAGGAGTGCACCTGTGCTGCTGCTCGTGCACAAAACCATTTTCCCAGTAGGAGCAGCAAAGTGAAACAGATCTTTTTTAGATACATTTTGATGTTTCTGCTGTGGAAGCACAATGAACAGGATATACAGCAGTACAATCACTGTCTTCCGACAGGCACGGGGAAATGTTGTATTTCCCTGCAGTTAAATGCCTTGGTCATAATTACTGGGGCTGGTGTGCCTATCACCAGTGAGGAGGAAATATAGTTAGTTCAAAATGTGTGTACTAGGGTGTAGAGAACTAATGACCTGAGAAAATAGTCTCCTAATTCCTAATCAGGATTTAAGGAACAAAAGAAGAAACTGGTTCCAAATAATCCATTCCAGGGTTAATACTTGCCCTAATGGATTATTAAAGGAGGTGAGAGAAACACAGATGAACTACTTTCATGAGAGGGAGAAACAGAGGGCTTGTCTACATACACAAAGATTTAATGCACAGCAAGCTGGGTTTTGAATGTACAATATACTAGCATGCTGTGTGCTGTCTGTGTGGACCCTGCAGTAAAAGGACCATAGTGCTCTTTGACATATTGCTGTTAGAGATTTGCTGACTGGAAACCAAGATAGGAAGTACTGGAGGCAAAGGTTTGCCCTGTCTCTGGTTGTCTACGCTTAAAAATTTTAATGGCCGTATCTGTGCCAACCTAAGCCCTGGTGTAGACCTAGCTAGATTGACAGAAGAATTCTTCTGTTGACCTATGAATCTCCGCTCGAGGAGCGGATTACTTACAGTGATGGAAGAACTTCTTCCATAACTGTAGGAAGCATCTACAATATAGTGCTGCAGCACCGTAGTGTGGACATGGCCTAAAATATGTGAAAAGAATGTGGCCAGAGATTTGTGTTCTTCTTGTTGAACAAGATCCCTGTATGTGGTGGGGTTTGTTCTTGGTTATTTGCTTAACCAAGGGCTCCTGTGCACTTTCCCAGTCCTCAGATTCTGGCTGTGTCAGTTACCCCAGTAGTGTGTGTTGTGCAGAAGTTAAAGGGCAGAAAGAAGTGTTTGAAATTGTAAAATTGGATAGTTTTATTGATAACTTATCACTTCTCCTTAACAAATGTAGAGATGAAAAATGAATAAAGAAGTCATGCTAAAACTTTGTGGCTAGTTATTTCACAGTGGCATAAAATTTAAAGGCAACATATTTAATGCAAATAAAAACTTCAGATATATCTGAATTCCTTTCCAGCATTAAGACAGAATTGCCGCCAAGTTGTGTGGCTGATTTTTGCATTGAAATCCATCAAGTACAGAAGGAAAGTTCTGAAAGAATAAGAATTTATTATATTTGTCTTTCATGTTAACTGTATGTCTAGTCTTTGTTTTGAGAACTGCTTCATGAAATGCTCGGTTTCTTTTTTGCAGTTGCTGAAACTGAAAGGAGTAGTGGAGCCAGTACTTTAATTTTGCGTGGAGCTTTTGGAAAATTATTGTAATGCTGTAAATCAGAATCTCAGTTAAGTTCGGTGAGTGTCTATGGATATTTTCATTATCCTGGCCATATAAGGAGTACAAAGAGTTACTCATGCATTGGGATTTAGTCTTGTAGTTTACAACATTGAGACAAGACTCTATCATTTAGCCCAAAAATCTTGTGATCTAATTGATAGGTTTTTATATAAACATTTTTTCCCATAGATGTTAGTTTATTTTAAGCAATTTTATAAATGTATTCCTGCCATTACTCTTGGGTTAAATAGTTTTGTATGCCCTATAGGGATTTAATTCAATACCTTCTGTACTAGGTTTGAATAGAGTACTTCCTCCATAGTTTAGCAGGAGCATAGAATAAAATTTCCATATGGGTTTCACTCTAGTTCTGCTGCTCATGGTAGTACCACTGGGAAGTTCTCCAGGAGCCTCATAAAATATGGGGTACCTCAGTCCTATGCTAAACTGAAACCCCTGCATCCTTGATCTCATTTTTTTATTTACTTTGAGTAGGGTTAGCATTGGATTTTGAGACCAATTTAAGGGACTGAATTTACCAGGACTAAAGATTTGACTCAGTGTGCACTGGTATGGACTAATAAGAATACCAGTCATTTTTTTCATTCTTTGTTGCTCCAGTCTATGAATTACAAAGTAAAATTGCCAAGATCTCTGATGCCTTAGCTGAAGGGATCTGAAATCTTGACAGTTTCACTTTACTGTTGGCATGTGTAGCAGAGCTGTAAGAAGGGGAAAGAAATTGTGGGAGGGGGAACAAGAAGTAAGGAAAATGGGCTGCAGGTAGGATGAGCAAATCGTAAGAGTGAAATATCAGGATACATTGGGATAGCTGGGGGCGGGGAAAAAGAGATCCACAGGTGCACAACCCTGACCGGAGCCATGAGAGGGGGTGCACAGCCCTAGGAAGCTGCAAGAGGGGTGTACGGCCCCTGCTGCAGCCCTCACCACAAGCCATGGGGCAAGGACTCAAGGACTCATGGCCCCAGCTCCAGCCCCCAGCAGAAGCCACTGGGCCAGGGGCACAGGTTTCTCCTCCCTCCCAGTGCCCTTCCCCACAGCCCCACCACCACAACTCAGCAGTGCCCCACACAGACCTCCAGTGCCCTGACACACACAGATCTCCCCCACTGTCTAGCACCCCAAAACACACAAGCCTCCCCCACTGCCCAGCGCCCTCCACACCCTCACAGCCCAGCACCCCCCCACACACACACACCTCCCAGACACTCACACCATCACAACCTGCCCCCTTCCCTGGCCGCACTCACCAGCCCTGCTGGGAGGTCTCTGGCTCCTAAGGTCAGAGCTGCGAGGGGGGTCTCCAGACTGTCCACATGCTGCGCACGCCACAAGCACGAGCTCCGTGGCTCCCATTGGCTGGGAAAAGCGCCAATTGGAGCTGCTGGAGCTGTGCAGCGAGGCTTGCAGGTGCCAGCAGCGTGCAGAGAGCCCCCCGCCACGGCCCTAAGAGCCAGAGGGAGGTGGGGAGTCCCAGCAGTGCTTACCTGGGGTGGCTCCGAGGAAGCATCCAGCAGGTCCCTCTGGCTCCTAGGGTCGGGTGCGTGGGGTGAGGGGGAGGGCTCTCTGCCTGCTGCCAGCACCTGCACCTGCAATGTTACCTCTGCCATCTACAACACCTAATTTTCTTTGAAATACATGTTTAAAAAAGCCACATTGAATCCTTTATGCTCTCATAGTATTTCCAGTGTATCAGGCACCTGTTTAATTAATCTCCTTTGCAAAGACATACTGTAAGGTTGTTTACTTTTCAAAGTCATGAATGAAGGTACTGAGGTGAAAATTCAGAATCTATTTGCGTATTTCCCCATTGCTAGGTTCATCATTGGTGCTATGAAGTCTTTGTTTGCTTTTCAGAAATCTTTTCTTATTTGAATACTTTTGACCTACTTTAAATCTCAGCATTAACATGCTTCACTCAAAATATGCATGTTCCCTACAATCCTCTCCTGTTGCCATCCTCAAGGAGGTGGAAGAATATTGTAAGGCATAAATTAACAGTGAGAGTAGCTAACCGTTGGAACAACTTTCCAGTGGTTGTGGAGGATTCTCCATCACTGGCAATAATTATTTCTGGGAAGTTCTTTGACCCTTTGTTATGCAGGAAGTAAAACAAGATGATCATGTTCCCTTCTGTCCTTTGAATGTATGAATGTAAAAAGCAGGGTGAATAAAAATGATTTAAAAATTAAAACAGTTTTTAAATGTACATAATGGATTTTAATTTAAATTATAAAAATTGAAGTAATTGTAATTTACATAGTATTGATTTGCTTCTTTCCATTTTATAGTCTTAAGTTGCTAAAATAGATATTTTACACTTGTTTCTTTAGTTTCCTAATTTTTAGTCAGACTTTAGATTTTATTTTTTTTTCTTAATTTCACATCTAAAATGCTCATCTGTGCTAAAAAAGACAAGTCTAGGGCCTCACTGCCATCTTTACTATGAGAACAATACAAACAGCCCCTGATGTATTTGAGCCAACACATTGAACTTTCATGTGTCAATAAAGTTGAAATTCTTCAACTGGGCTTTAGTCCTCCCCGAGGTTGAAGTAGTGGGACTTGTACTCCGAAGGTCAGCTAGGTGCCTTTGAAACTCTCAGTCTCAAATGCCTAAATATGAGCATCATGTTAAGCTCCTTGTTTTTAAACTCTGGCCTCTGTGTGTGTGTGTGTGTGTGTATATATAAGTTCATAGTGACTTTGTTAGTATTCTGAAAGTCCAAGCTTTTCATTGTTTGCACTGAAATAATTTTATTTTGAAGTGGTAAAATGTTATGCCACAAAGTAGTTTTTAATAAACCTTTAGCCTGTGCTGCTGGAAATCCTTGTGCTTAAATAAGACTACTCTTACACACGTTTACACTGAGGCTTTGTCGATATAACTTTGCTGCAGAAAGCTCAACACTTCTCATCGAGGTGATTTTATTTTGTCAGCAAAGCAAAAGAGTTTTGTTGGCAGAAGGAGCATTGCAGTGTATACACCTCCACATTTTTGTCGATGAAACTTGATATTTGTTGACAAAATTGTGTAGTGTAGACAAGGCCTAAGTAAGCTATTCGTCAATTAGCACATAGACTCAACAGCTAATTTACACAATTTTTTCATGGTTTTCTGATAAATCCTCTAGTGGTTGGAGTCCCGTTTTTTTTATTTTGTTGCCAGTGTTAAGTAGAGTAACAGCAGGCTCTGCACTTTATTGGTGGCATCACTGAAACCTCATTCACAGTGTTTTAAGATAAGGTATATTCTACTGAGCCGAAATACATACTTTTTCAAAACGAAAACTTCTTTCTACTTTTCCTTCTATACAGTTGACCCTTGTTAGAGAGTCGAACTCCAAATATTGTCTGTATGGATGCCTGTTTGTGGGATGCTTATGTCCTCTAATTTTATAAATAGCAATGACCACTGACACAGCATGTGAGATCCAGGCATTTTCAGGACCTTCCATAGTGCTGGATTATTTGATTCAATTGGCAAACTGGGAAGCAGAATAGGGAATGGATTCAAACCTATTATTTACCAAAATAAAAAGTATGAACTGTAAAATAGTCTAATACAATTTTGTTTTAAATCCAAACATGTTAGAGTTGGTAGTTATCTTAGTGTTTGACTTCGCTAATTTTAATATCTTCAATAGCGATCTGGAAAGAGAGGATAGCAGCATGCTACTGAAAGTTGCTGGTGCTAAATTGGGAGATGTTGAGAACTTGAGAGGATAGAGGTAACACAGAGCAGCCTAGGGAAGTTAGAAATATGGAGAAGAAGCTTTAAACTGGATATTTAGACTGGAAATATGTGAGCAGTATGTGAGTTTTGGGGTGATGGTGGTAGAAATAAGTCATTCTATGAGAAACCTGGAAAGTGGTACTGCTGAAAGACTTAAGAGGGACTGAACAGCAAACTAAATATAGACATTGCAGCTCCTCAACTGGTCAACATGATTAGGCATTACATGCTTGAGGCTTCAGCTTGAAGGAATAAGGGGGTGATAGTCCCTATGTGACTAACTATGAGAGCTCATTAGTAATTTTACTTTTGTTATATTGTCTTCTGGTCTAAAATCAAGAAACGTTTTCTTCTGGTTTAAAATCAAGACTAAAACTTTCCATGCTTGAATTAAAATTTGAGAAATTGCTACTTTATTGATTACATGCATTTTAAAGGCACCCATTACTGTGGTATCGGGGCACACGATGCATGGCTTCAAGTCAAGTTAAGATTTCCCAATAAAAAGTACTGGAGTAATACACCCAATCTTCCTCAGTTTAACTTAAAACCAGAAAACATAAAGAACTGATCAGTCAGCTAAGGGCTCTGGGTTTCATAGCTTGACATCTGTGTAATGCCTGGAGAAAGAGACTGGCCAAGGTTTTGCTTTAAATACAATTCTCATGGGAGCAAATTCCTGACATGGAAACCTGCATCAGAGCAAGTTATGGCGGGCTTATGATGGAATACAGAATATAACCTTAAGCTTTGCTATCCTGAATGCAACAATTTTCATTTTTGTTTTGTGAAGGCAAGAAGGGGAGTTCTCCCTTGCTCTATCCAGTTGCAGGTGCTAGGGAGTCAAATGTTCAGCTATTGAAGTTTTTGTTTAATTATGACTTCCTGTTCTTATAACAGGTAGCTGTAGTGGGAGGGAAGTGGAAAAATCCTGTGACAGCCACAAGAGTTTTAGAAAAGTAAGTTTTTCATTTTGTCATATTTTTTTAGTTTTATAAGAAATAATAGTAAGTTATAACTGGTCAAATGCAGAAGTATATAATAGAGCTACATTGTTTTCTCTTCCTTGAGTATATTTTAAATGTAGGTTTTCCAGAGTTTATTCACTGGGTTTTTTTTCCACCCCTCCTGTCCTTCCACTGTCTTGGATAGTGTGAGGCTTCTAATTCTTCGACAGTGCCACAATGGAGCCCCAATTCAGGCCAGGCCAAATGCATTGCCTCTGGCTCAGCAGTAAGAAAAAATGTTTGCAACACAGAATTACACAGAGTAGCTGCTGCTCAAGAAAGGCACAGAGTTAAGTTATCACTTGCAGGGAAAGGGCTGAATTGCTGAAAGACACCCTTTCTTCCCCACCCCTTCCAGCCTCGTAATTAGAGGACAGCTGATTCTAAAAAACTGAGGTTCCACAGTGATGATTTGGATGGGCAGGTTGTCATAAAAGTGGAGTCTCAATTCAATTCCCTGCCCAGACTCTTTCAGGCTCTCACTGACGGAAGAGCTGAGGAGGCAGTGCAAACTGTCCACTCTCCACAAGCACTTAGGTAGCCATTCAGTTGTGTGTGATTCACCTGCATGCAAAGAGTTAACCATCAGAAGCAGTTATAACAATGTACAATCCTAGAGATTTAAAAACCTCAGCCACTGTAAAAGAATCCCATTAAACAGGCCCTTATTTACATATGTTTGCATTTCTACAAATGGAGTAATCAAGTTTCAGATTAAGTCTTAAGTTCCTTCAATAGCACAGTTTAATACTGTACTTGAGTGATGCAGGATGCATCTACTATTCTGTTCTTGTAGAATCTGTTAGCTACATTTCAGGAACCTTACAAATTACATTGCCAGAGTCCTCCACTAGCCTTAGGATTAATGCATCCTTTCATTGCAGGTACATAGCTCCATAGTGGTGTGCTTTATGTAGATGAATACCATATAAAAATATATACTGACCATATTAAAATATGCAAAACTCAGGCTGACCTGTTACTAAGTAGAGATAGCAGCTCATGTCAGCGTGTACACATTGCATTAATGCTCTGCTTTCTGCATAGGTTCCCCATTAAATATAGAGTTCAGTTCCAGGTTTGTGTCCTGATATTCAAAGCCTTCTGAGACTGGCCCTAGCTATCATCTCTCCCTCCACAAATATGAGTTCCCTGATTGAGGTGTTCCACTGAAATGATGAAATTATTAAACAGGGAAGAATAAATGTGAAACTGATTACTTTCAGAACTAAATACAGAACTCATTTAAATCTATTTAGCTTTCCCTCAGTAAGTTCTTCTCTCACTCTCACTCTCACTCTCACTCACCCACCCACTCACAAACAAAAATCCCTAAAAACAAACCAAGCTAATTCTCTACATGCGGGAAGGAAGAAAGTGGGAGATACAGATCTCTAATTTAGAATACTTGGAAGGCTCTCTTACAGTGTGCTTCTAGTAAGCAAAGATGGTAATATGTGGCTACTAGCACTATATGAGTTAATGAGTTTGTAAAAAAATGCGTGCTCAGCATCACATAGGAACTCTTGAATGGCAGAGCAGGGATAGAGGGTTAAGAAAATTGTGTGCTTGACTTTGCAATCTTTACATTCTTTTAACATAGAGGTTATTATGTAACTTCCTAAGTCACAGTGAAATCATGTTACAGACAAGAGAGATAGATAGCGTCTATATTGGTTTTATTTCTGGGCACCTCAAAACCAGAGAGAGAGTGACAAATTGGAGGCAATACAGGGATGATGAAACATAGTGATAAATGGGTTGCAGAGACTGACTTGGAATAAAGGACTTGCAAGAAATTTGTGTTTAGCTTAGCAAAAGCAATTAACAAAATGATGTGAACATTTTCAGGTATTCTAAATGTGTAAGCACCAAAGGGGGAGAGGAAATGTTTAACATGCAGCAAGGAATAACAGGGTGAAATTGAGCTAAGTAAAACTCAGGTTGAATATCTGTGAGGGAGGAGTGAATGAGGGGATTCAGGACTAGAAGACTGTGGCTATGTCTATACTACAGTTTATGTCAGCATAATTTATGTTGCTCAGGGCATGAATAAACCACCCCCCTGAGCGACATAAGTTACGCCAACATAAGCACCAGCGTGAACAGTACTATGTCAGAGGGAGCGCTTCTCCCGCCGATATAGATACCGCTGCTCACGGAGGTAGTTTTATTATGCCAACGGGAGACCTCTGCCCTGTCAGCACAGAGCATCTTCATGAGACGCCACAGCAATGGCGCAGCTATGCCACTGATACAAATTAAAAAGCAGCTTTTTGCTCACCAGTAGTACCCAAAAATACATAAACATCCCTAGCGTTCCTGTTGTAAATAGTGTTTGTGGTGTAATGGTTAGATCAGGAGGTATTGTATAACTGCAGAGTATTGTTCTTGAGAACAGTTTTGATTTTTTAAAAATCATGGAGGATTAGCAGTAAAAAAGTCCTATTAGATCATTAGTCAATTCCTTGATCGTATTAGGATTGTGGCACAGAGACCGTTAAGTACTAAAATATTAATGATCTGCCCCTGTTTTCAGAAATACTTACTAAACCTAACAAGTTGGAAAACTGGGAGACGTGCAGATTCTGTCAGAAAACTAAATTCTGTTTTCTGTGATCTTTCCTGGGTGAAATTCTTTGGCCTAATGTTATATAAGACTAGGTGATTATAATTGTTTTCCCTTCTGGTCCTAAAATCTATGGAATTTATGAAGAAGTTGTTTGTAAAATCAGTCTCTGTATATAATATTGTTTACAAAATAAGATTAAAAATTCACTGCCTCTTTAAAGTATTTAGTGAATTTAGTGATATAGGAAAAATACTGAATTGACTGCCCTGGAGACTTAAGTTCTTTGTCCACACAACAGATATATAGGGCAGGTAGAGGCAATGCAAGCTTCCCTACACTGCTTCAGCAGTTTCTCAGTTCTGTCCTGAAGGGACTGGTGCTAAGAGTGAGATGATAGCTCAACCTGCAGACCTTGTTCCATCTTTGAACTCACTTCTGTGAATCAGTGGTACCAATGTTAGTACCAGTTGTGGAGGTAGAACTCTCCTGTGGTTGCTAATACTTTCCATATAGATATCTGCCCCACACTCATGTCGTATAAACTTTCATTATTATCTTGGGCAGTAATGCTGGTGACTCTGTAAGTGCTTTAAAGACTCAATATCTCATTTCTTTTGGCCACCCAGGTATGTCTGCGCTGCAGTTGGGAGCATGCCTCTGAGCCCGGATAAACAGACACATACTAGCTTGTTAAAAATAGCAGCATCAACATTGTGACACGGGTGGCAGCTCAGGCTAGTTGCCAAAGTACAAATCCATCCAATGCTCTGGGTCCATACTATGGTGGCTAGCCTGTGCCACCATCCATGCCACAATGTTGACACTGCTATTTTTAATGTGTTAGCTCAAGCAGAGTTGGCATGTGTCTGTCTGCCCAGGCTGGGAGGCACGCTTCCAACAGCCGTGTAGATGTACCCCTCGTCACTCACTGTCTACCTTTGCTCTGCAGGTCAGCATGAGGTAGAAATGTTATAGTGTTGCCAACTCTCATGATTTTACTGCAAGTTTCAGTGTTGTTTTTCTTAAAGCCCCAGCTGCTGGAATCAGGAGATTGCATGAGAATCTCAGCTTTAATTAAAAAAAATAAGTTTCTATCCCTTACGATTGCAGAGAAAAGTTTGAAAATGTTGCTTGAATATACTCTAAAGGCTTAGAATCTAGAAGGCAAATAAAATAACCTAATATGTTTTAAAAATCTGATGGTTTTTGGAGACTGTCATGACCTGTGACCATTGTGACCTGGCAATACTTATGTGTAGGCATCCAGACCTTTCTGCAAGCTTTTACGTGCATGCTATTTTCTACTTACGAGAGCTATGTGGTTTTATTTTCAAAAAGCTTTTCCACTGTATTTAGCTTTTTTCTTACTTTCATTTAAACTTGCATATGTTCAGTTACCACTTATGAAATAGTCAAAAGTTTTTTTCCTCCTTTCTCCAAATTCCCTCTTCAATGTTCCTTTAACTTCCTTTTTATTATACTCTTTTTAGACATTGTGAAATGTAGCTCTGTACTGTTTAACCTCCGTGTATTCTCTGCAGTAGATGTCCTGCATGTGCAGCTTGTAGAGCTGTAAAATTTTCCTCATTAGAGCTGTCACAACTTGTGGAAGGGTTGGCAAAGCCCGCCTGCTCTGAACAGTTTAAAAACATAGGCTTCATATTACAGTCTCTGTAATCTAGATTTCAACAAGTCTCTTTGTAACTGTTAATGTTTATACTTGTCAAACTGAACAAAACTGTCTAAATGTGAGATGAGGGTTTAACCACCTTACAAAAAAAGTAGGTCAATGGGCCAGCAGGTTATTAGGCCAGAAAAGAATGAGCGGGTTCACTGAGTCATGCTGTGTAGTTGTTTTTCTTCTTTTGGCAGAACGCTCTGCTCTGCTTTAATTTCATGTTTTTTTACCAGTGGTTTTTTTAACCAGTTAAACACTTCCAGTAGAAACAGGGAGAGGAGCAATCATTACCTTTTTAATTAAACTAAAACATACTACTTGTACATTTTACTTTCCTAAGAATAATAACTCTTAAACCTTTAGCAAAAAATACAAGTTCAGTACTTCTCGCTCTAGAGAAAATGAACTTTTTTCTTATAACCCAGAATACATTATAACATTAAATATAAGGCACTTGAGTGAAAATGACAGAAAACAGTGGTAAACCATTCATTGTTTAGTGAAGAAATCAAAACATTCTGTCAGTGTGGCCAATAGCTGAGGCAGGGAGAAATGAGGTATGGCAAGGGAGGAGAGATGTGTGTTTAGATAACTTTGAAAAGTGATGCAAAGTGGCATTGAGTGCTGCTTTAGACAATGGGAACTGTAGAAGAGAATGCATTAAAACCAAAAATGATTGTATGGAGAGACTGAAAGGTGGTGATTGCTAGATTAGAAAAGGGGAGCATGAAAGGGAGTAGAGACTAGATCTAGGAGGTAGGTTTGGAATAAGTACTTAAAAGGAAAGTAATATTAGACTTTATTTTGAAAAGAAAAGGGGGAGCCAGTGGCTGTGTTTGAGGTAGCAGGAGTGATGTAGCTGCGTTTCTCTGTGAGTGAGTGAGCAGCATTCTGAACATTGTGGAGTCTCGAGAACAGTGATTTGATGAAACCAGAGACGAACTGAGGTAATCAGTAGGAAAAGGGATGTAGACATGAATAAAAAACAGTAGAGAAGGAGTTGAGGGAGTGGTATAGACAAATGCTGCTTCAGGATTAACAATAGGGAGATTTAGAGACTTAGGTGATGTGGGAGATGGAAGGTTTGAGTCAAGGATGACACCACGATTACAAATAGAGGTAAATAGGAGGTCTTAGTCAAGCCAGACAAAGTTTCAGGGTAATCCTCTTGCTGAAGAGAAGCACTTCTGTTTTTGACACATTGAGAAGTACTCCTTTTCTTTTTGTGATATTTCTGTAATTCATCAGGCAGAACGTTACATTTATAAATGATATATCATAATAGTACTTTACTAGTAATAGGAATAAGTGATGGCTATAAATATTGCATTTGAATACTAGTGACCTGCAGAATTCCAGTCATTTTCAGTTATTCTAACTTTTTTCCTTTTTGATTCTTTACAGTGCAGAGTTTGATGCCCCTCTGTAGAAGAGGATATATTTAAACCCACATTCATCTGAAGGATCAGTGTTTATCCTAAATATCACGGTTTAACATCCCAAAAAGTATAAGAGGTAAAGAAAGTGTTGCTGTAATTATGAGCTACAGTGTTGTAATTTGGATCCTGTGATTTCTTATTAACTATATTAGGGATCTGTTCCTGTTGTCAAGGAAGTTAATGGACTTGGTTCCAAAAAGGTATAGAGCCCTCAGTCGCATAGGGCTTGAGCTAAAGCCCATTAAAGTCAATGGGAGTCTCTTCATTGATTTCAATGGGCTTTGGTTCAGGCCCATACAATTCAATAAGAATTGAGGGTGCTCAGCACCTTGCAAAACTGGACTTAGAGGGAGCAGGAGCAGGCCTTAAAGAGAGAAGCAAATGTCTATTGTTTTTTCTGTGGCTTTTGTGTACTTGGAATTTCGGTACCGTACTTATGCTGCTAATTTTGACATAAAAACTGGGCACACTCAGTAAGGTGAAATTGGTAATCTAACAATATTAAATGTACTTTGCTGTTATGGAAATAATGATTCTGACTTCTGATTCTGTTTATTGAAAAGGTCAGTCTTGTTCCAGGTGAAGTCCTTTTCTGCTTTGCTATTCTCGCATTTGTTTCTTTTGAAAATTAATGGAATGTTATATAATTTGATATTCTAAAAATTAATAGATCTTTGATGCATATAGTAAATGTTGAATACCAGATTTGTTTTGAAGACTAATTTTGCGATTGTTACTAGCACATGCAGTGGACAAGCTAAAGGAAAATATATTTACAATTTTCCAGCTTTTGTCAAGTGAAGGCCTAAGGATATTAGTTCTGTCTCTTTGAACACTACATTTATCTCATGTCATTAAACTCTGGAAGTAGCTTGCATCAGATGTGAACGACATGTAGTGAGACAGAATAATATCAACCAGTTTATAATAATAATGTAAAAATCGGGAGGGGATGTGACCTCACGTGCCCCCCATGCATCGCCTCTGGTTTCTGCCCAGTGGTGTGGGGGGGCGGGTCTTGGAGCTTCAGCCCTGTGGGGCACAGCTGCTGGGGCGTGGCTTTCAAACTTCTGAAGATTGTTGTATGTGCCTCCGAGGGTCCCTAAGTTTGACCACTCCTGCCTCATCATGACAGATTGAACTCCTTGAGTCTATTTAGTTTAATGAAGAGAATGTTAAGGGATGGCTTGATTACAGTCTATAAGTACATATATGGGGAGCAAGAGAAAGGTATAACACGATGTGATGGCTGGAAGTTGAAGCTAGACAAATTCATAAGGCATTCGTTTTTAACAGTGAGAGTAATTAACCATTTGGGCAATTTACCAAGGGTCCATCACTGACTATTTTTAAATAAAGATTGGATGTTTTTCTAAAAGATCTGCTCCAGGAATTATTTTGGGGAAGTTCTGTGGCTTGTGTTATACAGGAGGTCAAACTAGATGATTACAATGGTCCTTCTGACCTGAGAATCTGTGAATCATTAAGGCTATGATTTTAGCATGGAGGCCACAGATTTCAAGGTAAATTGTGAATTTTATTTAAGTCTGTGACCCCCATCAGTGCTGGTTCTTGTGGGTCAGGATCCCTGCTCTGGTCACATGTTTGCACCATCACTCAGGTTTAGTGCATCTGCTTCTCCATAGATGAAGATGGAGGGGCAGATGGACCAAATTCAATTGGCATAGTGAGCTGACCCATGTGGTCAGAATAGCACTCAGGTTTGGCATGTCCACTCATCTGTGGCATGACAGAGGAGCAGACAGGCCAAATTTGACTGGTGTGGCCAGCTAGAGCATGGGGTTGCAATGCCACTTAAGTTTTGGTGCATTTACCCCTCTGTGGCATGATGGAGGGGCAGAGAGGCCAGATTTGATTGGCTTTGGAACCTGGCCCATGTGATTGTAGCACCACTTAGGTTTGGTGCATCAGCCCCTTTGTAGCATGATGGAAGGGCAGATGAGCCAAATTTATTTGGTGTTGCAACCTAGTATACAGGGTCGCAATGCCACTCGGTTTTGGCATGTCTGTCCCTCTGTAGATTGAGACGGAGGGGAGAATGCATCAAACCTGAGTGGCCCCATTCCCTAGTGCATGGGGTCACAATGCTTGGTGTGGGGAGCCAAGCCCAGACTTGCAGGACTGGAGCCACCGGTGAAGGATGGGCTCACTTTCCAGTTTCCCCCCAACACCCATGCCTCCCCTCCTTGCTGGGGTAGATTCACTTTCCAGCCCTTCCTCATTGAGGCGGGCTTGCTCTCCATGCCCTTCTGTGGGCCATGAGCTTTCTGTGGCTATGTTCCCCCCCCACACACACACACATATCTGACACGAAATGGACTAAAAATTTGTGTGACAAAATTGTAGCCTTAATCATCTGCACCCAAAATATTTAGACCAGTGGTTCTTAACCTTTACTGCAGTCTGCACCCCTTTGGTTCTCAAAATATGTTCTCACACCCCTTATCAAAAATCGTTGAAGTAGGTCAGTTCTTTAAATCTATATATATTTTTTGCTTGTATATTACAGTAATCGTTAAATGTATAATGTTAATAAATACATAGGTTTGATGAAACAAAGTAGTTGTACTTACGTGCCTGTGCTTAATTTGTGTTTTCAATGATTTACCTTCTAAAAAATCTGGCATGTCTTGCACCCTTAGAAAGGGCATCTCGTACCCCCAGGGTGCATGCACCCCAGGTTAAGAACCACTGCTTTAGACTCACTTCGCCATAAGTTCTCTTACCTCTCAGGCAAGTTCAAGGTTTTCAGTTGGGGCAGGCACCAGTTGGTGCCAAATTCTCCCCAAATTCAGCACCATTTTTCCAAAGGTGATTGTGTCTCTGTTCTGTTCTGTATAGGTTTTTACGCCATGCTGATCACTGTAGTATCTGAGCACCTTCCAGTAGTGCATTAAGCAGTGAGACTATGCATCTCTCACATTTGTTTTTTCTCTCATCCTCTCCCCAGAGGGAGAAGCGTGTGTAATGGAGTGTATTATTTTGGTAGGATTTTTTTAATTTGTTAAATAGATATATCTGTTGCTATGTGTTTATTTTAGAGAAAGCAAGGTGAAAGAAATTGGCATTGCATGTGGAGAGAAAATTGGTGAGGTTTGTCATGGTTAGTTCCTGGAGGAGTTCATTCCACAGTCTCAAACCACACCCAGAGAAGATTCTTTCTCATGCACAGATTAAGTGTACTCTTATTGTGGAGAGTTCCCTTGTGCCAAAGAAGGGATGTTTATCAACCGTGGTCATCGCCCTGGAGCTTTAGAGACTGTCTTTTAGATATTTTGAGCTGAAGCGTGGATGCTTTGAAGTTAAGGACTGAGACCTTGAACTTGATATGAAATTAGGACACCATTGTAGAGAGTGGAGGACTGGTGTGATGTGCTCATGTAACCTGTCTTGCTGAAGAGACGTACTGTAGCCTTTGGTACTTTGGAGTTTCCTGAGTGTTGATTTTGTGCCCTGTTATATTGCATTGTTGTAGTCCAGCTGATAGTGATGAAGGCATAAATAACTAAGGCCAGGTCTTCATCCACCAGGATGGGACACAGTCTCCTAGCAAACCAGATAGCAACAGACACGTGTAATACTTTCTGCCATGTGAGAGCTCAGTGTCAGCGAGGAATCCAAGAGTAATCCTAGAATACGGACTGAATTGACCAATTGTAGATGGGAACCCACAACCAAAGGGGAGACTGCACGGTGGCTGCAAACTCTTCAAAGTACTTTGCTTTACCTACCAGCATCATCTCTGTTTTGCTCAGCCACCTGTTTTTCATCCATGAGCTGATGTCATCCAAGCACTGGGCCATCTTGGTGTGGTCGTATGTGGTGAAGGATAGGTAGAGACGTGTGTCAGTTTTGTATTGATGGGATCTGAGTCCATGTTGCCTGACCTCAGTTCTCCTAATGGTTGCAAATGAATATTGAAAAGGACTGTATAGAGAATTGATCCTTGTGGAACTCCACAAGTGAAGGGACTCGTGGTGGAGGTGGTTTCCCATCACTACTCTTTGGGTGCATCCTTCCAGGAAGAACTCAGACCATTTTAGCATATTACCCTGGAGTCCTACTACACTTCTCAGGCAAGACAGCAGTATCTCATGGTCAACACTGTCAAACACTGCAGAAAGGTCCAGGAGGATAAGAATGAATGCCTTTTGATAGGATGAGATCATCCATCAGTGCCACTAAAACAGTTTCAGTTTTTCTCCTGCCCCTTTCGGGAACTGTTTTCCCCTTGGCAGTCCTTCAGCATCCCTTTCCTCTTGGGTGTTCTCTCCCCTCCTCCTTTTTCTGGAATGAACAGGATTTGGCTCATTTGGCCCCCAGACCCTCCCACTCCAAGCAGCTTCTGAAAGGATTGGAGTCAGTTGCTTGGGATTGTTTTTTTCTTCTCCCCTTGTGACAGTTTACTTTGTCACATGCCCTCAAATTTATTCACATTCTTTGAAATATGGGGCTATATAAAGAATAAAAAGCTGTTGCTGAATACAGAGGTAAATGAAAGTTGAAACTGGCTTAACCCAAATTAATTCATCATGGCATATAGAGAAGTGATGGCCTCTTAACCTCTGTGTCTCGTGAAATAAGATGGTTAGGTTCAGCTATCTGGGATACAAAACTGACATAAAGAGAAGAGGTGGAGGGAAAATAAAGGTTAGAAGCACGTACTCCTTTTGGGGCAAGCAGGAGCTTCATACTTTCTATGAGGGGAAAAACATGTTCTACAAAAGTTACATTTCCATTTGTTTCTGTTCTCACCCAGGCAGACGTACAAATGTCTACCACAAGACTAAAGTGTGACATGTTATGTTCTTTACCATAAGGACCCATAAAATGAGCTCCATTACAGACAGGTATGTTATTAGATGATTTTGTTTTAAGTGGCTTGTAGGAAAACATTTTGATAATGTATTCTTATTTAAGAGTAGAAGGACTCGTCAGACTTAAGCGTAATGAGGTTTTGATTTTTGGCAAAGTTAAGGTCTGTTAACTACACTTTAGTTATGAATACATAGCTATGTAGCCATCACATGATGCAGTATGTGGTTTTGTTTAAAATTATATTATTTAAATATGTTTTATATTTGGAGCAGCAGCTGCCTAATTGGAATTGCATTTTGAAATTTGTTGTGTTCTTAGGATTTTTCTCTTGAAAGAACTGATCTCGGGACTTGTTTCAGAATTACTTGAATCCAAGAGCTGGGGTCAAAGTTCTTTCATAGCAATCTGTGGTCCCCTTTTTGTTATAAAATGCTTTACATTAAAGTTTTGAAGATTTTAGAAAATGAAAAAAGTTTGCCACTAGTGTATAGAACACAATTTTTTATAATCAATTCATCTATCCAGAAACTAGGGGTAGAATTTGCAAAAGTGCCAAAATGACAGCTTCCCAAGTCTCAAAAGTGACTTGGGCCCTTAAGAAACTAGGTTTCATTGACTTTCAGTGAAACTTGGGCTTTAAAAGTCACTTGAAAATGGGACGAAGGCACTTTTGAAAATTCTACCACAGGACTCTCCTGCACTGGCTTATTAAGGAAAAGGAAAGAGTAATTGAACACTTTTCATAACATTACATCCTTCCTCCTTTTGTCAACTATGGGTACTGTAAAATACAGCAGTAACAAACAATACAGTTCTAGTGCTTGCATATATCCATTACACTGCAGGTGTGTGTGCATCCCATGCACCAGTGCCAGAGAGTTTTCCTTAGTGGTACCTGTAGGGGCATCCCAGCTCCTTGTGCTTTGAATGGAGGGTATATAAAGGGTAGAGCTACCCCACCTCTCCTTCAGTTCCTTCTTACTGTTGGTGGTCAGAGGGTTCTGTGTTCCTCACGAACAAACTTCTTGCTGCTTACCTAGTGGTACTTTTTCTTGTTACCTAGTGGTACTTTTTCATCACTCTGTTATTTTTCTTTTCTAATTTTAAAATTTCTGGTTTTAGTGTAAAAAAAAAAATTTTTTTTTCCAGTCAGGCAGGCCTCAGGGTCTTGCCAAGATCCCTTGGTTTCAAGTCTTGTTTGATTGCCAAAAACCCATGTCTGTCAGTGAACCTTATTTGTGCTGCCTCAAGTGCTTGGGTGATGGCCACAAAAGAGAGATGGGTGCTCCATTTGCAGTAGTTTAAAGACCAGGGCAAAGAAGCTGAGAGAGGGACACCTTCGTTATATACGTATAGAGGCTGCCCTTAGGCCAGTGTCTGAACCCCCTTGGTTGTCCAAGGGAGGCTTTTTAACGACTCCTTCTTGGAGTGCTCCTTTAGGTTTACCTGGGAATAGGAGCCACAGGAGATTCCTGTCACTGGGACTCTTGTCTTTGAGGCCGAAGACGTTGGAGCAATTGTGGTGAAAGAAACACAAGAAAGAGGCATTGGACTCCTTGGAATCCACGATACAGGCTTGCTTCACAGAAGGTCACTCCAGTACCAAAGGTAGACTGACATCTCTGATCATGATGGGGCAACAGCCCATGCTAGTGCACACAACACCAGAGGCCTGTTTGGTGGTGAGAGATGTGCTATGCCTATCAGTACCACTGTCGCCATTGGTTCAGGGCAGAGATCCTCAGTCAGTACCGGTGCAGATTCTGAGACTGTCAGCTCTGGGGCACTCTGTTGTTGGTCCATCACTTAAGGGTCCAGTACCACTGTCTTTGGCCTCATCCATTCTGGTACCAGCTCCACCCTGTGACATGGTACCATCAACTAGGAAGCCCTCTATGTTTCCTTCAAGAAAAGGAGTACTTGTGGCACCTTAGAGACTAACCAATTTATTTGAGCATGAGCTTTCGTGAGCTACAGCTCACTTCATCGGATGCATACCGTGGAAACTGCAGCAGACTTTATATACACGCAGAGAATATGAAACAATACCTCCTCCCACCCCACTGTCCTGCTGGTAATAGCTTATCTAAAGTGATCATCAAGTTGGGCCATTTCCAGCACAAATCCAGGTTTTCTCACCCTCCACCCCCCCCACACACAAACTCACTATCCTGCTGGTAATAGCTCATCCAAAGTGACCACTCTCCCTACAATGTGCATGATAATCAAGGTGGTCTACACCAACATTCCACACAAAGATGGACTACAATCCGTCAAGAACACTATCCCCGATAATGTCACGGCTAACCTGGTGGCTGAACTTTGTGACTTTGTCCTTACCCATAACTATTTTACATTTGGGCACAATGTATACCTTCAGATCAGCGGCACTGCTATGGGTACCCGCATGGCCCCACAGTATGCCAACATTTTTATGGCTGATTTAGAACAATGCTTCCTCAGCTCTCGTCCCCTAAAGCCCCTACTCTACTTGCGCTATATTGATGACATCTTCATCATCTGGACCCATGGAAAAGAAGCCCTTGAGGAATTCCACCATGATTTCAACAACTTCCATCCCACCATCAACCTCAGCCTGGTCCAGTCCACACAAGAGATCCACTTCCTGGACACTACAGTGCTAATAAACAATGGTCACATAAACACCACCCTATACCGGAAACCTACTGACCGCTATTGCTACCTACATGCCTCCAGCTTTCACCCTGACCACACCACACGATCCATCGTCTACAGCCAAGCTCTGCGATACAACCGCATTTGCTCCAACCCCTCAGACAGAGACAAACACCTACAAGATCTCTGTCAAGCTTTCTTACAACTACAATACCCACCTGCGGAAGTAAAGAAACAGATTGATAGAGCCAGAAGAGTTCCCAGAAGTTACCTACTACAGGACAGGCCTAACAAAGAAAATAACAGAACGCCACTAGCGGTCACCTTCAGCCCCCAACTAAAACCCCTCCAACGCATCATTAAGGATCTACAACCTATCCTGAAGGATGACCCTACACTCTCACAAATCTTGGGAGACAGGCCAGTCCTTGCCTACAGACAGCCCCGCAACCTGAAGCAAATACTCACCAACAACCACATACCACACAACAGAACCACTAACCCAGGAACTTATCCGTGCAACAAAGCCTGTTGCCAACTGTGCCCACATATCTATTCAGGGGACACCATCACAGGGCCTAATAACATCAGCCACACTATCAGAGGCTCGTTCACCTGCACATCCACCAATGTGATATATGCCATCATGTGCCAGCAATGCCCCTCTGCCATTTACATTGGTCAAACTGGACAGTCTCTACGTAAAAGAATAAATGGACACAAATCAGATGTCAAGAATTATAACATTCATAAACCAGTCGGAGAACACTTCAATCTCTCTGGTCACGCAATCACAGACATGAAGGTCGCTATCTTAAAACAAAAAAACTTCAAATCTAGACTCCAGCGAGAAACTGCTGAATTGGAATTCATTTGCAAATTGGATACTATTAATTTAGGCTTAAATAGAGACTGGGAGTGGCTAAGTCATTATGCAAAGTAGCCTATTTCCCCTTGTTTTTTCCTACCCTCCCCCCCAGACGTTCTGGTTTAACTTGGATTTAAACTTGGAGAGTGATCAGTTTGGATGAGCTATTGCCAGCAGGAGAGTGAGTTTGTGTGTGTGTGTGTGCCCCTGGGAAAAAGGGGTGGGGGAGTGAAAAAGCCTGGATTTGTGCTGGACATGGCCCACCTTGATTATCATGCACATTGTAGGGAGAGTGGTCACTTTGGATGAGCTATTACCAGCAGGATAGTGAGTTTGTGTGTGGGGGGGTGGAGGGTGAGAAAACCTGGATTTGTGCTGGAAATGGCCCAACTTGATGATCACTTTAGATAAGCTATTACCAGCAGGACAGTGGGGTGGGAGGAGGTATTGTTTCATATTCTCTGTGTGTATATAAAGTCTGCTGCAGTTTCCACGATATGCATCCGATGAAGTGAGCTGTAGCTCACGAAAGCTCATGCTCAAATAAATTGGTTAGTCTCTAAGGTGCCACAAGTACTCCTTTTCTTTCTGCGAATACAGACTAACACGGCTGTTACTCTGAAACCTATGTTTCCTTCAGTGTCACATTCCTGGCATAGGTCCAGATAACTGTTGCTGAGGATCAGACCCAGTACAGCACCACCATGGCTCTTGGAATACTCTGATTCTTCATCAGACTTCAAGGTGGGATTTTGAGTCTCATACTACCAAAAGTCCAGAGCGGTGTCCTGGTCCTTTTCTCTTGTTAACTGTTTTGAGAAGAGTAGAGCCAGGAATTGAGATGGTTGGGCCAGACACAGCTGGAACCCATTACTGTACCAGCCTCCTAGTTGACCTTATTGGATGCTCACCAGTATCTAGATCAACATTGTAACTACCTCGCAGAAGCAGATCCCTTAGGAAAGAATCTTTTTCTGATGGTACTAAGAGGCCTGTGACGGTTGGTACCCATCAGCCTGCGGACTCGCAATTACAGGATTTACCTCAACCCGCTTCAGACCCATAGCCTAATCCAATACTGTAGGACCATCATTGGGAGCATGTTCCCTTGCCTCCCCTTCATGCATCATCTTCATCACCTGATGAAGCCCTGATACTGGATGTGTCCTCCCTGGTCCCAGATTACCTTTAAGGTGTACCTTAAAGGAGAATGCCAGCTCTTGGTATACAAGTGGAGCTTGTAAAGGAGAATACCCACCAACTGATTGACCCTGTGCATCTGGCTATGACAGGAAAGGTAGCCCTGCCTACAAATGATGCAATTATGCAGGCTATTTAAGATACTGTGGAAAACTCCTTCCTTCATTTCACCTGTGGCAAAATTGGTGGAATGTAAATGCCAGGTTTCATCCTAGAGGTTTGAGTAGTTTTGTGGTGGGTCGTCTGGTCTCTCAATCAGCTCTGCAGGGTTTCTTGGATGTGGATTCTGCTGCCAGGGCTATGGGAATGGCTATGCGCCCTTGTACCTGGCTCCAGACCTCAGGGGTGCCTGCAGACATATAACAGACAATTGAGGCCCTTCTCTTTCAGGGCTGTGCTTTGTTCTCATCCACATCAGATGAGGCTTTACACACTCTAAGAACCGTAGAGCAGTTTTAAAGCCCTTGGGCCTCTACACTCCAGCTATGAAGAGGACAAAATATCATCTTCAATTCCAGCCTAGACAGCAATATTCCTTCCATCATGCTGACCATTCCAAAAGAAAACAAAGTTTTCAGAGAGGGAGACCTCTGCCTCTTACTTCCTCGGTCTCCTCATCCAGACATCCACAGGCCACGAAGCAGTCCAAGGGGTCACCGAGAGCACCACAGCAGTGTTTTATGTGGACAAACAAGGGGGTGCCAAGTCAGACCACTTCTACCAGGAGGCGGTTGAGCTGTGGAATTTATGCATATGGAGTTGAGTCGCTCTCAGGATCTCTCACTTGCCAGGTATTCAAAATGGCCTGGTGGATCACCTGAGCAGATCCTGCAATTTAGACAATGAATGGTCTCGCAACATAGCCATTCTAGCTTTGGTGTTTGGCATAGGGGGTTTTCTGATGGTAGATCTGTTTGCGACTTGGCAAAACAGGAAGTGTCCCTGGTTTTGTTCCAGAGCAGGTCACAGAGCTGGGTCAATCTCAAATGTTTTCCTGTTTCCATAGGATAAGGACCTGGTGCGTGTATATACCAGAGCCCCTGATTCCCAGGTTCATTCTCAAGCTGAAACAAGTCGAGGCAGAATGATCATTTTAGCTCCAGCCTGGCTAAGGCAGCCATGGTATTGTGATTTATGCAAACTGTTACTTGAGGTCACTTGTTGTTGCCACTAAGCAGAACTATGGGTAGGTGTTGCACCCAAATCCTTGAGTGTTGCGTCTCACAACATTCGTTCATCAGTGGTCAAATGCACAGGAGTACACTACTCAGTGACAGTCCAGAATGTCCTCCTTAATAGCAGAAAACCTTCTACAATAACTGCTTACCTGGGTCAGTGGGAAGTGCTTCTCCATCTGGGCAACCTCCTATAATGTGTTCCTGACTCAGTCTAACATTCAAACAATTCTGTTCCACTTCTTGCATCTTAAGCAGTTGGGTCTAGCTGTCAGCTCCATTAGGGTGCATCTAGCCACTGTCTCAGTGTTTCACTCTCAAATTAATGGTACAGCTGTTTTTATTAATCCTATCATGACCAGGTTTCTGAAAGGTCTAGATTAATTGTTCCCACCTATCTGGGATGCAGCGCCAATTCGGGATTTGAATTTAGTGTTGTCTCCTCCTTTATGGATCCTCCTTTTGAATCTTTAGCTCCCTGCCCGCATCTGCATCTCAGCTAAGGTAGCCTTCTTATGACCATCACCTCAACTGATAGATTGCAAGAGGTAAATGCACTTGGCACTGATCTATCTTATTCCATTTTCTATGAAGACAAGGTTCACCTTAGATTGCATCCTAAATTTCTCTCAAAGGTAGTATCACATTTCACCTGAATCAGACTATATTTAGCAGTTTTCTTTCCAAAGCCACAAGGATGAACAAAGACTGCTTGCTCTGGATGTGCATCAAGCTTTGGCTTTTTACCTGAATAGGACAAAGCTCTCTTGGGTTTCTTCACAGCTGTTTGTTCTGTGGAGCATAGAGAGGTTAACCAATTACAATGACTTTCAAAGTGGATCACTAGCAGCATCACTCTGTTATGCTGCCAAATGTGTAAAGCCTCTGAGGAGGTGACAGCATACTCAATCAGAGCACATTCAGCCTCTGCAGCTTTTGTGGCATATGTCCATGTTATGACTATCTGAAGATCAGTGATGTGATCTTCCATACATACATTCACCAGACTTTCCGCGCTGGCTGAGATATCAAGGGAAGATGCCAATGTAGGAAGATAATACTACAGTCCCTCTTCCAGAGAGCCTCGGAACCCTACCACCTTGGAGTCACAGCGTGGGAGTCACCTATTGCGTAATGGATATATGCAAGACCTCAAAAAAGAAAAAAAAATTATTCACCTTCTCATAACTGTTCTTCTTTGAGATGTGTTGCATATGTCCATTACACAACCCACCCGCCTCTTCCAATGTATCATAGTCTGCCATTCGTTTCCAGTGCAAAAAAACTGAAGGAGTTCAAGGCAGTTCTGCTCTTTATACCCTCTCCTCCGAACATGAGGAGCTGAGGTATGAACAGGGCCGCCTCTACGGGTACTGCTAAGGAAAATTCTTCAGTATTGGGTGCACAGGATATGCACACACCTTCTAGTGTAATGGACATCTGCAACACATCTCGAAGAACAACAGTTATGAGAAGGTGAATAACAGTTTGTTTACTAGCATCTACTATTCACAGTATCACAAATTACTTTACAGTATGAGAGTCACAAATTAGAGAGAGAGATGAGTGCAAGGTAAGATTTAGAGAGAAAGTGTTTTCATATCTCGAAGGAAGGAAGAAAGAGTGTCAGATTAACTTTCCCAACTCTGAAAAGTTATGGGGAGGCAAAAATTGGAGGACTGTACTAAGTAGACATGGAAATTAGTAGACTAGGTTAGAGAGGTTAGATGGAGAAAGTCTAATATGTGGTGGTTTTGAAAACCAGGAGTGAATTGATTCGCATTTCAAAATAAATACAAAAGAAGTGATGCGGGGAATAAAGTGCAATATGGTCCTATTTAAGTGAAAGAGTATATTCTGATGTCTGATGTTTAGAGACTGATTTAGGAACACTGTAAAAGGAATTGCTATAGTCGAAATGAGGCATTGTGTAATGTTTTAGAGTGATATTCGGAATATTATTTATAGCTCATTTTAAATTGTGTATTTGCAAAATAACATAATGGGATGAAATATAGCACATTCCTCTTCCTTCTAAGCTTAATAATTTATTACCATATATGAAGGATGCATTTTTTTTTACTATAAATAACCCTATAATTAAAATTAAGGGCTTGCAAACAAACAACAAAGATCTTATAGCAAAGTGATTTTGTCCTCTCCTTTGTTTGGAAGGACGTAGCAAAGGTACTGTTCAAAAAGATTTAAAACTAACACAGGGTAGTGTAAGCTAAGTATGCAGAGAGGATTGTTTGTGAGGTATCTCATTAAAAACTTAAATATTCTGAAAATAACTTGAGGTATATCTTAGAAATGTCAGCCCTTTCAAAATACAGGGTTTTAGTAAACTATCTATAGGCAACAACTTATAAAGTAGGTGGATTCATGGAAGCTGTTTGGCTTTATAAAACTTAGATCACAATAAAACAGTGCTCCCATATCTTGGGTTAGTTGAACTATTGAATGATAAGCTACCTTTGCTTGCCATTTTGCGTATTCCTTTCATAATGTTAGCAGTCTGTGAGAGACTAGTGTGCTCTAATGTTGGTCTGTGTTTTCTCTTGTAGAGATGATGGTAGTATTTTTGATGGTCTGGTGGAAGAAGATGACAAGGATAAAGCAAAAAGGTAGTCTTTTTAAGTTAGCTTATGCTAAAATATCCTTTATTTGACTGCTTTGGTAAATCCAACTATATTAACAGAATAAAAATGTGACTATGTGTTTGTAACCATACAATAAAACAGGACTTCCCCGTTGTGTTTGAATTTCAGGTTGTCATATTTTTTCACATATGGGTTATTTACTTTGGGGTGTTGGTTAAAGGAGTCTTTGTGCCTCAAGTTCAAATATGGCTGTCCCTGTATATGAAGACTCTTATTTCGAGTAATGGGCAGCTTATTCCTTCCCTGTGACAATGGATGTCTTAAGAACATAAGAATGGCCATACTGGGTCAGACCAAAGGTCCATCCAGCCCAGTATCCTGTCTACCGACAGTGGCCAATGCCAGGTGCCCTAGAGGGAGTGAACCTAACAGGTAATGATCTAGTGATCTCTCTCCTGCCATCCATCACCATCCTCTGACAAACAGAGGCTAGGGACACAATTCCTTACCCATCCTGGCTAATAGCCATTAATGGACTTATCCTTCATGAATTTATCCAGTTCTCTTTTAAACCCTGTTATAGTCCTAGCCTTCACAACCTCCTCAGGCAAGGAGTTCCACAGGTTGACTGTGCGCTGAGTGAAGAAGAACTTCCTTTTATTTGTTTTAAACCTGCTACCCATTAATTTCATTTGGTGGCCCTTAGTTCTTATGGGAACAAGTAAATAACTTTTCCTTATTCACTTTCTCCACACCACTCATGATTTTATATACTTCTATCAAACCCCCCGTTTGTCTCGTCTTTTCCAAGATGAAAAGTCCTAGCCTCTTTAATCTCTCCTCATATGGGACCCATTCCAAAGCCCTAATCATTTTAGTTGCCCTTTTCTGAACCTTTTCTAATGCCAGTATGTCTTTTTTGAGATGAGGGGACCACATCTGTACGCAGTATTCAAGATGTGGGCTTACCATGGATTTATATAAGGGCAATAAGATATTCTCCGTTTTATTATCTATCCCCTTTTTAATAATTCCTAACATCCTGTTTGCTTTTTTGATTGCTGCTGCACACTGCATGGACGTCTTCAGAGAAATATCCACGATGACTCCAAAATCTTTCTCCTGATTAGTTGTAGCTAAATTAGCCCCCATCATATTGTATGTATAATTGGGATTATTTTTTCCAATGTTCATTACTTTACATTTATCCACATTAAACTTCATTTGCCATTTGGTGCCCAGTCACTTAGTTTTGTGAGATCTTTTTGAAGTTCTTCACAGTCTGCTTTGGTCTTAACTGTCTTGAGCAATTTAGTATCATCTGCAAACTTTGCCACCTCGCTGTTTATGCCTTTCTCCAGATCATTTATGAATAGGTTGAATAGGATTGGTCCTAGGACTGACCCTTGGGGAACACCACTAGTTACCCCTCTCCATTCTGAAAATTTACCATTTATTCTTACCTTTGTTCCCTGTCTTTTAACCAGTTCTCAGTCCATGAAACGATCTTCCCTCTTATCCCATGACAACTTAATTTACATAAGAGCCTTTGGTGAGGGACCTTGCCAAAGGCTTTCTGGAAATCTAAGTACACTATGTCCACTGGAACCCCCTTGTCCACATGTTGTTGACCCCCTCAAAGAACTCTAATAGATTAGTAAGACATGATCTCCCTTTACAGAAACCGTGTTGACTTTTGCGCAACAATTTGTGTTCTTCTATGTGCCTGACCATTTTATTCTTTACTATTGTTTCAACTAATTTGCCTGGTACTGACGTTAGACTTACCGGTCTGTAATTGCCGGGTCACCTCTAGAGCCCTTCTTAAATATTGGCGTTACATTAGCTATCTTCCAGTCATTGGGTACACTAGCTGATTTAAAGGACAGGTTACAAACCATAGTTAATAGTTCCGCAATTTCAAATTTGAGTTCTTTGAGAAACTCTTGCATGGAGGATCCCACCCAAACACAGCCTTCACTGTCATGACTCCAAGGGTATGTCTATACTGCTTCTGGGAGTGAGCCTCCCAATCCGGGTCCACAGACCCCCCCACTCCCACTCCAGGCTTGAAAGCCTGAGCTCCAATCCAAGTTGCATGATCTCTGAATAGCAGTACTGTATAGAATAGAACCTCTTCCCAGGTTACTAGCTCAAGTCACAAATAGGTTTGGACTCTCAGATTTCTTTTATGGTGGTAAAAGTCTTTCAAGGCTCAAATTGACTTCAGCTGGAACATGAGTAATCTCCACTTCTTCCTGCCTATAGCTGATTTAGAGAATGGCTGGCCAGTAACAGGCTGTTGTGCCTCAGACCCCAGTGGATTTCTGCTCTTGCAGATGCTCCCCAGAAGGATATGGGTGGCCCCCCAATCTTCACCAATAGGCACAAAGGCATACGTGGCAAGCATCCCGTTTTAGTGGTTCAGGCCATCACTGAAATAGGCCCTTGCTGCTGTGGACAGTTGGAGAAGTTCTCAGTCACCAGAGTCAAGTGCCCAGATTAGATCAGTTCTCCCCTTTTTTTTCCTGCTGACCCACTGCAAGACAAAAGGAAGGAGTGTATATTGCTGGAAATGACTTAGTTTCTGAAATCTCTATTTAACATCCTTGTTCACTACAGTGACTAGTGATCACCCAGGTAAGAGGACAGCATAGTAGCCTAATTTTAAAATAAACAGCTGAGGAATTTTTGTCCACATTCCTAAGTCCTCCATATATTTAACACTTGTATCATGACCACAAATGAATGGTTAAATGTTTGGCTATTAGAGGAATATTGAATCAATGGTTATATTTGCTGCCATTGTCAAATTTTGTCTCATTTTGGTGTTAATCTGTAAGTAGATGTTCATTGTTATATTCACAGAATTTATACTATCAGTAATATACACCTTTGTAAGAGCTGACTCCTCTAACCCTCATTCAAAATTGAAAATTTGATTAAAACCTGTCATCTGTGAAATATTGTTGACCCAGTTTGCTTCTGTTTTTATAACATGCTTTCCATTTTTGTCTTTTTCAGAGTGTCTAGAAACAAGTCTGAAAAGAAACGTAGAGATCAGTTTAATGTTCTCATCAAAGAGCTTGGTTCCATGCTTCCGGGTAATGCTCGGAAGATGGATAAATCCACTGTACTGCAGAAAAGCATTGACTTTTTACGGAAGCACAAAGGTAATTCTGTGGTGTAACAAGACAGCTGGAAAACTGGAGTCTTTCGATTGGGTTTTGGTTCAGGCCTTTAATTCTCCCCAGTAACCTGCAAAAGAGCTCCCCAAACCAAAGCTGTACAAAGGATCTCTTTACAGATGAAGGATTTCCACATACAGACATCATAAATGGAGTATGTTGTTTAGTCACTCAATAAGTAACCAAGACAAGAAAATGTTGTATGAATAGATTAGCACTGTACAAAGTGCACCAAAATCCTAGTTATAGTTTGTTTTTGTACTGTTAATTTTCCAAATCCTAAAAATTTCTGAAGTCTCCATTTAATTCTATGAATACGTCTACACAGCAAGAAAAAAGAAAAGAAAAAAAACCCACCCAAAAAACAACAATGCAAACCCACAGCTCACGGCAGTGAGTCTCAGAGTTTGGGGCCGAATGTCTATATGGCTATTTTTAGCCCCACAGCATGAGCTGGAATCAGTTAATCCAGACTCTGAGACTTGTGGGTTTTTTTTTTATTTTGCTGTGTAGACGTGCCCTGTGTCTCTTTGTGTCTTGTTAGTGCATTCACAAGTATTATGTTGTTGATCCCTTTCATACATAATAATTCTAAAGCTACTTCTTGGGCAGACTTCTGAAGGAAATTAGGATTTTTTATTTTACTTTTGTGTCACTTTTCTGAATGATTTTTAGTAGCTGCTTTATAGTACTGTTAGTGTCTGATCTCTGGGAATAAACTAAAGGATTAGCATTTTCTTGTCAGTCCGCTAAGTTATTTTCTGTGTAGTTTACTAATTCCATTGAAATCCTCAGTTTAAAGAAACTTCAGTATGACAAGAGAATTTTCTGCTTTGAGAAAATTGCCCTTATTCGTTCCAGTGTCTAAACTAAGGAAGTTTAATAATATATTAACAGGATGGATGATTCTTCCTCTCCACGGTGGTTGAGTTTGATTCAAAAGTATCTTATTTTCTCTCAGTCTTTAAGACAGCCATGGCTTCCCCCTCACCTAGTTTTTCCTCTTGTTCTTTATACATTAATATAGCACCTTGCAGTTCATGCTGGTAGATGTGAGATTAAAAAAAAAATTGTTTACAAATGTACTCCTAATTATACATGCTCATTATACTAATATACTGTATAGTCAGCCTTCCAGTCTCAGCAGCTCAGAGTTTATTGCATGCTAGCCAAAAACAAGCAAACTGAAACAAAACACTGTCTACTAGGTAACACCCAGGGGATATGATGAAGAGAAGTTGCCCTCGGCAACTTTTGAGCAGAATATACTCTCTTTCCCAGGAGGAGGTGGAGAAGTAAGAAATAGATAAGGGTAATATAACCCATGTGAAACAGATGGATAATATAGCAAGCAAAGGTGGGAAGGTGATACATACATATACTTATCCACATGTTCATATGGTGATTGTCAATACAACTTTCATCACATGGTTATGCTTGTATGCCTGTTGTATGTCCTGTATTTGAGTATTTGGTTACTGTCCTAATAGCAGCAGATGCTTATTAGAACAATACCATTAAAACAGTTAAAATGGGACAAAAAAGAGAAAACATGCACGCATGTATTAATAGATTTAATAACATTAAATGTTTAGCCATTCTGTGCTATATTACTAAGACATGTTTAACATTGATACTTCTGAAAACACAGAAACAAATAAATCTAGTTTCCACCCCCCTATCTCCAAGGAGAGTCAGTCCATGTAGGACACTCTGGAGTTTTTGTAATGTTTTCTTATTGGCTAGTTATTACAAATAGGTGAAATATGCTACTGTTTTGTTTCATAGTGATTTTATTGCTTGTATTTTTAATGGTTGTTTGCAACATTGGCATCCCAAAACATTTTTAAAAAAGTAAAAACCACCTCTTTAACAAATTAATCAGTCAACCAACAACAAAAAAATGCTTGAATCAGAGACTTTGCCCCAAAAGAGAAGTGCAAGGGTTTCTCTGAAGTTCACTAGAGATTATTGCTATTGATTTTACATGGAAGGCTCTCTCAGATGCTATGGTAATGCGTGACAGTAGAAAACCATAACTTAGATATCTCAGGCACTTAACGTCTGGGGTAGGCATTTTTTCTTGTTTTGTTCAAATTGAAATAAACAAGTAAGCTTCCAGAGTAATGGATTAGTACAATTGATACCAGATTGGTGCACTTGAATCAGTACCACGCTGTAAATAATAAACTGCCTCCTTTAACAGAATTATTTTTAAAATTAACCATTTCACAAATGAAGAAACGCATTGGAAATTGAAGTTTGTGTTAAAATGCAATTTCAAAAATGTGACCACTAACAAACATAGTGAGAATAATACCTGCCCCACTAACGGAGGATATGGGCCCACCATTTGTTCAAATTTACAATCTAGGGATCTGGTCAAACTCTGAGCTGCAATTAGAAGATCAAGGACATCAACAGCCAGGACAGCTTTTTATCATTTAAGTACAACCAGGAGGTTGTGACTGTTCTTCTCTGCTTTGGTGGTCATTTGTGTCTTTATCACTTTAAGATTAGACTACTTCAACTTACTCTGCATGGCCTTAAAATCGACCAGAAACTGAAGCTAGTGCAGAATCGCTCAGCCTTTTTATTAAACAGAATGTCTTGCCACAAGCATATTCAAGCCATGCTTGATGACCTGCACTGGCTTCCTGAGGGTTTCCAGGTGAATTTTAAACTCTTTGTCTCATTTACCTGCTTGAAAAACCACCTCTATTTTCATGTCATTAGTTGTGATTAGTGGAGCTAAAGCTCCGCTGGTACAAATGAGATGGGGTGGTTTATAGGATGTTCTGTGTAGTATTCCGTATTTGCCATGATCTTCCTTCCCTCCGCTCCCTGTCTAAAATTGTCTAAAACTAATGACCTTTTGGATATGCTGGATATCAACCTCTCCATCCCCAGGGATTTGAAAACAGGAGTATTGTGGAGATGGTGAATTGTTAGAGCGTGTTGCTTATTATCAGTTATTGGGGCAAAGTTCACATTTGGTCATACCCCAGAGCGACATGCACTGATCTTGATACAACTGGCAGTTTCTATTCCATAGAGGCCTAGAACTAGAATGTTTAGGTCAGATCTGAGGGTTGGCTAAACTCCATAGGAAAGCCTGCACAGTGCTACTCTATACTCTTCTTGGCTTTAGCATTACCTAGAAGTCATTCATTTTTAAGAGCACTACATTCAGACATATTTTTTAAAGTTCCTCTGAAGCTATCCAAGTGAAACAAACTGTTTATTGTTGTTTCTGAACTTTATACTGTTTGCAGATTAATATCACTTTGTTTTCCAGTGTCACATTGAGTATACTTCCAGCGATTGGAAAATTGGGGCCCATTTCATAATTGTGGCAATATGCATCCATAGGGTTCTTTATGTAATTGAATATGGCATCTATTTTTGTGCAACAAGGATTTGAACTCCAGTATATGCGTTTCCTTTTTCCTGTTTGTAAAGCCATTTTACTGTAGGAAACAAATTGACGTCATTATTCTATAATAAAAACGTACACTTTTATACACATCCTAAAGATCCTAAAATGCATTAAGAGGAAATATGCAAAATAACCTAATATACAAACATCCTAGAGTGTTTTATAGCTGCACACCGAAAAACCACTTCATCCACCACTGGAGTTGAAACACAACAGCTATTTTCCAGAGCACACCACCAATAATGCTCAAGTTTAGGACAGAAAGTGACAGTTACTTTATGCAACTGAAACTCGGAGAATTTTAGTAGGCAGAATAGAATTACTAGAGTTGACCAGGATACAAGAGTTATAATAGTCTGTTATGAAAAGTGCCATGGGATTATTAAGGACCAAAATTGATCAGAACTTTGGTTTACATGTCTCTTGAAAAAAGATGGTACCCCCAACAGAGCAGTGCCCCCAACGTGATGGGGCATTAGTTCAATAAGGTCTTGGAGGGAACAGTGCTACCTGTGATATGATCAAATCCACCTCTGAAGCATACAGGTTTTTCCTGGAGAGCTCTTGTCCAAATTCTTATTCAGCGTAACAGTATGTTAACTTGAGATCTAACAGAATCACAGCACAAGGTGATTTGACTGCAGCTGTGTGAATACAAGTTTCTCCTAGCATTGTCTACCTACTCTCTAAGACAGAATGTTGTCATGCTGTTGGATAACTTTTCCATTTTTTAATCACCCTTCCAGGAACTAACGGTCTGGTATGATGAGTGGACGGCAGAAGGGAATGGAAAAAACTGACTATTTTTTTTTCCTTCTTCAAATTACAGCAGACTAAAGAGCTTTCCCCTAATTCAAATAATTCAGCGGTGTGAAGTAATTGCTTCCAGGAGTGTGAATCATAAATGAATATTCATATATATTTTTCTGATTACAGAAATCACTGCACAGTCAGATGCCAGTGAAATTCGACAGGACTGGAAACCTACATTCCTTAGTAATGAAGAGTTCACACAGTTAATGTTGGAGGTACATTATTATTTCTTTCTTTTTGAAAAGAGAGGATTCTCCTTAGCAAACTACCACTATGTGATGATAGAATCTTTTAGCTTAATGGTATTCCTTTCCAAATCCATATTTTAATTGCAACACTATCTACCTAGAAATCTGCAAATAAGTATCTTTACAAATGTAATTTTAACTAAATGAGCTATAATATACTGTAAGTACAAAAGCGTACTATTAAGTTTATGAAAACTGTTCTTTAAAATGGATTAAAATATTTCTAATCACTATAATTAGAAATAATTTTTAAAAAGGCATACACAAAGATGACTGGTACCTTTATGGCGGTGTTAATTTAGTTTTTTGTGCTTAAACCAAATGCTAGTTACCAAAGCTATTCAACATATTCTCTTCTTGATTGGAAGTGTGGCTATAGCTTGTAAAAAGAGTATGCATAATAAAAAATGTACATTGTGTATCTGCATATTACCCACAAAAAACCTATGTTAAAAAGCAGATTATTGAGGTTGCAAAGTCAAGTGCTCAGAAGTTAGGAAATGCATTAAGGTTGCCTGTGAAACTTTAATTCAACCCCTTGTGCATATGCATTATGCTACAGTCTTTAATTACATCATCACATATTACTTTTTCTCAATTAGTGCATAGAATGGGCAGGGCTCACTTAATGAGCAGATATTCAATATTTTGTTTCCCCCCTCCGTGGTGTTTAATGTGTAGCCCTTGACCTTATTTACTGCACACTATTCAAATTCTGCTCTGAAGATTGAATTATTAATTTCCTCATGGGCTTTTCTGTGGTGCTTACCACTATAATATCAGACTGCTTCATAAGCATCAATTTTGACAACACTCCTGCAAAGTGAGGGAGTGATATAATCCCCATTTTACGGATGGGTAACTGAGGCACAGAGAGATGCCGGTCAAAATAATACCTACCTCTTGTGTAGTGCTTTTCATCAATAAATCTCAAACCACATACAAAGAAGGTAAGTGTAATTACACCTATTTTACAGATGAGGAAACTGAAACACAAAGTTAGGAAGTGACTGGCCCAAGGTCACCAAGCAGGCAAGTAGCAAAGCTGGGAATAGAACCCAGTTCTCCTGAGTCTCCGTCCAGTGCTCTGTCCACTAGGCAACACTTCCTCCCCTTCAGGAAAGTTTTGTCCAACTTGGAACTTGCTAACAGATGAGCTACAGCAAGCACTTAAAGAGCTAAAAGATTATCTTGTTTAGAAATTCAAACAGCTGGGAGAAAGCCAGTAGAAAGTAAGAGAAGCACTCGTGAGCATGGCCCTGAGAGGGAGCAGAGAGACAGAGCTTCTTGGGGCACAGAGCTGGTTGCAGAGGCAGACTAGGAAACTGTAAGCAAGGAAGCTGCCTGCTGTTTTTCAATGGTGTTCCAGGGGAACAGAACTTCCCTGCAATTTTGTGTTTATACAAAGAAATTTGACTCATCATTCATTTCTCCTTGTAGGGGAAACAAATATGTGAGGCCCTGAATATGGGTTAACCACTTGGGCCAAGAGGGGCAATACTGGCAACAAAAGTATAAACTAATTCTGGGTTTACAATTTGTTACACATAGGACCTGATTTTTCAGAATGCTGAGCATTGTGTACCACTTCATATGTTCAAAGCACAACTTCCATTGACTTCTGTTGAGACTGAGAGTGCTCAACGCTTATGCAAATCAGACCCCAGGATCTCAAGTTGAGTGCCCAGAAACAGTGACTACCTGTGAAAAATCTGGTTTAAGCAACTTGCCCAGTATCACTTAGGAACTTTGTGGAAGAGGCAGGGATAGAATCAGGTTCTCACAGGCATTATTTGACTGCCTTAACCATGAGACCATCCTTTGTTCAGCCCCATTGGAAGAAAGACAGTAGGTAGTGGATGTGGAATAAAGCCACAGCTTTAATCACTTAAAATATCTGGAACTATTTGGCAATAAATTGTACAATATAGTTCATCATCATTTCCTTAAACATTACCATCTCTTGTTGTCACTTCTCCCTCTTTCCAACTTGCTCCCTGACCCCCACCACCCTCCCTTTGTCTGAACGTTAAGAGGGCTATAAAAGCAGGTGGGTTGGCTCCCCACTATACCAGATGTAGGAGCCTCGAACCCCCTTCCTCCATTCCCATAATGGATGCTTTCTTTCCAATCCTTTCCCAGTCCATTTTATCTGATAACTGTATCCCTTCCATTTATCTGCCCTGGATATCTGTTGCCTCTCCTTCATCTTGCATGGTCCTCTCACCTCAGCTTTCTTCCCCCTTCCACTCCTGTGGCTACCACCCATATTTCTGCCGGCACCATCGTTGCCCCAGTTGGGTGGTAGCAAAAGGCACAGGCAAGGACTTGGCTGCTAAACCCATCAACAACAACGTGGCCCACTCAGTCAGCAAGAAGGGCCAGGACAAGAAAAAAGGGAAAGAGCCCTGCCCAGTTGGCTTCTTCCATTGCAGCAGCTGCTACTGCCATGGCCCAGCTACTGGCAAGTGTTCACCCTCCCTGTGCTGTCTCTTCCATCAGCTCTGGGATTGCCTACCCTTCAGCTCCACAGGCATACAGCCCTACCCACTGCCCCATCACCATCTGCAGTGGCCCCTCCATCCACCATTGCCACTACTGCTGCTGCTGTCATCTCCTCCTTCTCCATCTATGGCACTCAGGGCCCCCTCTCCCTTCCCTGAATAGGAGGCACTGTGTTTGCTGTCTCCTAGTGGCCGCCTCATCCCACATCGAAACCTGTGTGCAGGTGTAGGCTCAGATGGTGGGGCCCATGGACATTGTGATGGCTTCTAAGATGTACAGAAAGGTCGTCGTCTTCCTGGCAGCAGAGGTTGCTGCCCAGAAGGCGGTGCAGAAGGGCATTTTGGTGGGGGTCTCTTTGTTTCCCTCAAGTTCTTGGAAGACCTGAGAATACAGTGATGCTTAGTTCCTGTCCCGTCCTTTCTCCCCAGTGCTACCCTCCTGCTTGCCCTCTCATCCCTGGGGAAACTGGTCTCCCCTCTTAGTCTTCCTTCTCTGGGGTGCAAGTATCTCTTCCTCAGTCACATGCTCTTATTCCATAGACATTGAAGTCACCATCCAATTGCTGCTGGAGATTGGAGGGGTCCTTTGTGGTATTCTGTCAGGACTCCCTTTATCACATACATTACTAGTTGGGGCAGGCTCAGTGATTCATTTGCTGGGCTGCAGGGTACATCTGAAGGGACTGTCCCTTGGCCTAGAAAAGATGAGCGTTAGGTGCCTCTGAATCCCAGGAGGGAGAACGCCCCTTCCCCTGTTGTCCTGTCCCCACTTGCTCCAACTCCTGTTCTATTACCCTTTCCTACTGAGCCTACCCCTGCTCAATAACAACACCAATGATGTTTGGGTGCTGGTAACGAGGCGGTTAGCTCAGCAAATGCAAGTCATGGGCCCAGGACCTCCCTCTTGACCCAGGGAAGGGGAGAAGGCTTCTCATATGTCAACTGGTGGAGGGGGTGTTGCTCAACTTACTTCCTCACTACCTCCATTTCTGTTCTTCTGAAGTGGTATGGTATGTTACCATGCAAGGATAAGGATTTCCACTGAAATCAGTGGGACTACTACTATTATTTTGGGTGATCAGGTACTACTCCAAGTAACAAGAATGCCAGAATTGTGCTCTTAATTAGGAATGTTAAAGCTTACTCAAATTTTAAACCACAAATTAAAGCAGCCACAGGTAAGTTTTATTAAAACCCATGGCCTTCCCATTTCTTAATTTTAAACTGAGGTGGTGAATATTTATTTTCTACGGAGTTTCTTTAGGAAAGAATTGGAACTTCAGAGATTTTAATAATTGAAATCTACCATTTCCTCCTTCTCTTTCTACCCTTCATCCTTTTTCCTCTTCCCTCTCTCCGATTTTTTTATGCCTATTATTATTTTCTCTTTTCTTCAATCTCCATTTTCCCATTTAGCACTACCTTGCTTCCTTGTCATTCCATGTTCTTTTTTTAAAGACTAGAATTCTAGTAGGGTAGGGGTGGGAGAAGAGGGAAACAAACCTGCCAATAGTTAGATCTATCTCCTAACCAAAGTTTTGTAAATTATAGATGGCTTTTTGAGAACACAACAGTATGAAAAATTATAATGGTAAAGCTAATATAGTACAAATGACGTTCAAAGGTATTAGTGATAACACATGCTCTCATTGTTTTTAGAGTAAGTAAAATGAAATCAATCTAGCCTTCATTCTTATGTTAAATATAGATTTTTTGATTTGTCATGTGCATTGTACTGTGTTTCTTTTCATTTAACTGCCCATTATGTTTAATTTCAGGCTCTTGATGGTTTTTTTTTAGCAATCATGACAGATGGAAGTATAATATATGTGTCTGAAAGTGTAACTCCCTTACTTGAACATTTGCCAGTAAGTATGAACTGCTTCCAGTAAGATATCAGCGTTAGTCTATGGATTAGGTTTTGCTGCAAGCAATATTAACCTTCCACCTCTCAAAGCACTTGGAGCACAGACAATATGTGTTCTGTCCCAAAACTTCTGTTTTTCCTCTAAAACACCGCCCCCCCCTCGGTTATTGATCTGTCCCCAGTCTTAATCTCCTCATTTGGAAAAGAGGAATACACACTCTCCTCAGAGGCCACTGTTACTGTTATTCCATTACTCATCAGCTGAGCCTGCTAAAGAGAAGCATGGTTGGTACTCTTGAAACTACTGTCCACTGATCTTTAGTTACCCTGGTCACTTTCCAAACTCGGGACTCACCAGGAACAAATATGCTATTGCTGCTTGACTGGGCTGACTCTTATATGTCATATTTGTACTGCATCTCATTCATCTTTATTTGTACTGCTAATCTCATTGATATATTTACTCTCTAGTCCATGCTAGTATAGGTGTCACTTGGGAGTGTTACTCTTCTGAAACCAAAGCAAATAGTATTTTAAAGGGAGAACAGTGCTTATATAAAATTCTTTATCAATTATAAACCTGAGGCAAAAAACAATAGTTTTGTCAGACTGGATCTGATTTATAAATGTCTATAAAACGTATCCACATTGACTAGAAATTTTTTACCAATGGTTCTGCAAAGCAAAAAATTACCCTTTGATGTGAACTGTGTTAGAATGAGAACTTGTCTTAAAATGAGAAACACATAAATGACTCAGTTTTCCAAATAAACAAAATTAACATTTCCTCAACTCCAAAAAGTTGGTTCCAGAGGGACAACTTTTAAGTTCAATTTTTTCTTTTTAAGACATATCTTCTGTGGTTGTTTTCTTTGGAGATTTTGTTCATGTATTTGTGCATAGAAACAGTATCAGTAATACTTTCTTGTTATCTAAGAAGAGCTCTATGAAGCTTGAAAGCTTGTACCTTCCACCAACAGAAGTTGGTCCAAGAAAAGATGATACCTCACCTACCTTGTCTCACCTCTGTTTTTGTTTTTCAAGATGATTTTAAATCTTCATTGCCACCAAGAGGCAAAAATGTGTACTGATATTTTAAATCAACAGTACACAATTTGACTCCAATGCTTCACTATTTGAAATTATCAGAGCCCAGGAAAGACAGTAGGTTCCAGTATGCTTTTACATATATGTATCTGTGTTGTGTTTACAGTAACATTTATTTCTTTTTCCAGTTGTGTCCCTGTTGGTGATTCACATTAGGTGCACCTACACCCTTGATTGGAGATTCACATTAGGTGCACCTACACCCTTGATTGGAGATTCACATTAGGTGCACCTACACCCTTGATTGGAGATTTCTTTGTACTAGTGCCTGCTGGACCAGTGCATGAGTCCCACACGTCTTGTCCCATGCCGAGGCTACATGCGGCTTTGCAGGCCCTTTTCAGCTGCCTTCGGCCAGAGACGGAGTCTACTGTGCTCCTGTTCGCTCTAGTATTCTATAATTAGTTAGTTACCTTGTAGTCTCTATAGCTGTTGGAACAGCTGTTCCTTTTATTTTCATTTCCTTTAACTAACTAAATAATGAAAAAAACATTTTATTACTGTGTAGTTAGATAGCAGTTAATAGCTTTCCCTTTTTAGGGGTCATTTTTTATTATATTACTCAGGAATGCCACACTCTCCTGGGTTCAAATGGTGCTTCTCCCGCAGTGCAGTGATTACCATTCAGTGACTGACATTTCCCCGTGTCTCCACTGTTTGGGAGATAACATGTATCCCCAGTAAGTGCAAGATCAAGTTTAAACTTCTGATGATGAAGCAAGCTTTGTGACCACCTTTGGATCCTAGGGCGGAGGACTACACTGTACATAGACATTCCAGTACCACCAGTGCCCTGTCCACATCAAGACCTTGGTCATTGGAAACTGCTAGAGATAGAGGCAGTACCATAGCACTAAATACATCTAAGGTACCAAAATCCTCAATGGAGGTAGCCTTGACATCTGCTTCTAAGCAGAAGGATGTAAGGAGTAAATCAAGATTTTGTTGGAGGTCACTGACCCATAAGAAGACTACAGAGACTTCGGGTTCTAAGAGGAGTTGCATGCAAACTCCAGGTGATTCTAATACTGCAAAAGCAAAGAGGAGTCTTTTGTCTAATGCAGTGTTGTTGTAGCCGTATTGGTCCCAGGATCTTAGAGACACAAGGTGAGTGAGGTAATATCTTTTATTGGACTGACTTCTGTTGGTGAGAGAGACAAGCTTTTGAGCTTACACAGAGCTTTTCTTCAGGTCTGGGAAACTAACTCAAAGTGTCACTGCTAAACACAAGATTTAAACAGATTGTTTAGCATTAGTAGTTAACGCTTATTTTAAGGGACCAGTCAAGGTGAAGTTGCCTGTTAACACACCTCCAGTCATAAGCAGGAAAGGTGGGGGGTTGTTAGTGGATTACAGATTGTTGCAATAAGCCATAAATCCGGTGTCTAGCTACTCACTAAAAATCATGGACTGAATAGAGATACCGATTTATGGCTTATTGCAGCAATCTGTTCAAATTTTGTGTTTAGCAGTGACGCTTTGAGTTAGTTTCCCAGACCTGAAGAAAAACTCTGTGTAAGCTCGAAAGTGGGTCTCTCTCACCAACAGAAGTCGGTCCAATAAAAAATATTACCTCACCCACCTTGTGTCTCGGTTGTCTGACAGACTTTTTGCCCAGTTCAGGTGCCTGTACCCAGAGCAGCAGACACTGGTGACAAGTTCTAAACCCATACCTGAACAGCACTCGGTACTGGTAGCACAAAACTCAATGGTACCAAAGACCACTTGGCCATCTACAGTACTGATGGAATTAGATTAGACTTACACCTATGCCAGACATTCAGCACTAGCTGAATCCATACTGAAGCCATCCTCCATAGGTTCTTGCTTGACATCATCTTTGTTATTGTCAGTACCTCAATTTAGGCACCCTGAAGGCCTGCTAATATCTTCAGAGCCAGAGTATCCTCTGTTAATGAGTGGGGGGAGGGGAAGGTTGTCAGTGTCAAGACTCTGTCACTGACCCCGCTACATACTCACCCCCATCTACATTTCAAGCTGAACAGCTCTCTCCTCCATTGGATTGTATGGAAGAGGACTCTTCAGACCCTCAAATATTGGTTGCACCGTTCCATTGTCTAGTCTATTCTCCTTCCTATACTGATGTAATGAAGGAAGCTGGACCTCAATTAGGACCAACATGGCAGGAACACAGATGGATGCCTCCACCTATGCCACCTCAGGCCTTCCTTGTACCCTTGGGTGTTCTGTCACCAGCAATTTACAGTGAAGTCATTATACCACATGAGGGAGCAGAAAAGGATCCATTATCAATCTGCTTTACTACTATCTATGCCAAAGGAGGAGACCTTTGAGGAGCAAGGATGGGTACGGAGGTGGCTCCACTTACTAATATTTCCTGTTCATCACCTGATGAGGCTGTGATGCCTCCACCGCTCTCTCTGATGTATGACTTCAGGCAGTTTCAAGAACTGATTAAGCAAATTTCAGACATCCTTTCAGATACCGTTAAGTGACTCAGGAGTCTAACAATAAACTCCTGGATATGTTGTACACTTTGACATCTTTGAGGATCACCAGTCCAGTTGGAGCCCGTTAAGACTGTTAAGCAGTGTGGTAACTGTGGTTTCCCAACTTGCAAGAGAGCTCATAAAAAATATTATGTCCCTGCCAGGGAATCAGAGTTTCTCTTTTTTCACCCAGCTCCAAATTCCCAAGTAGTGGAGGCTGTTAATGAACAAGGCAGACATCATAGCTCGAAGTCCACCCCATATAGTAAGGGCCACAAGAGACTAGATCTTTTTGGTCACAAGTCTTACTCGTTAGCCATGCTTCCGAGTAGCAAATCATCATGTGCTCATGGCCAAATACAACTATTTAAGTTACAACAAATTTATTTTGTTTGTTGAGCACTTGCCGGAAGAACATCATGAACAATTTAAGGTCAACTCTTGGCAAATACGTTACTTCGTGTCTCCTTGGATGCTGCAGATATGTCATCATGGTTTGTATCCACTGGAGTGGTCATGAGAAAAGCATCTTGAGTTCAGCTGTTGGGTTCCCCAAGAGAGGTCCAAAGTACCATTGATAACCTTCTTTTTGATGGTGGCAAGCTCTTTGTGGACTCGATGGATACATCTCTCCACACTTTTAAAGGACTCGAAAACCATGCTGTTATCCTTAGGGATTTATATTTCTATATTAGAAGGAGATGTAGTTGGTCTCAGATGGCACAAAGAGCATACCCAGTCCTTTTGTTCAACTTATCGTAGGCCATCTGAGCCCCCAGCCAAGATATTCTAAGAAAAAATTCCTTCAGCTACAGCTACATCTCCTCAGCCATGTACGTCCTCCAAGCAACAGTTTTGATGGTGTGGTCAAGAGTGTCAACCATCCAACAGACAGAGGATTACACCTGCAACCTCCTACCCCTCCCTTCTCTCAGGTGTCATCTCTCCCCTTTTGGGGCTGTATGGGAGAATATAAAATCAGACAAATGGGTTTTGGAAGCCGTAACATCTTGGTAAACTATCCATTTCAAATCCATCCCTTGTACCCATTCCTCCTCCCCATCCTTCTTCAGGAACTCTTCTTGCCATCAGTTGCTGGTGCAAGAGATTGCCTCTTCTGTGTTTAGGAGCAATAGAACTAGGTCCTGTACTAGCACAGGGGAAGGGGATTCTATTCGAAGTACTTCCTGATGTCCAAACCTGGAGGCCAATTTTACATCCCGTGTCTCTCAACAGATATGTAAAACAGCAGATATTCAGGATGGTGACCCTTGCAGCAATAATTCCCTTGTTATGTTTAGGGGATTGGCTTGCAACTCTCGACCTACAAACAACATTGGACTAGTCAAGAAGCTATACTCCATACTCTAGATGTCAGGAGGGCATTACCCTTTTATCTAGAGAGAGCCCCAAACCATTTAGAAGATCTCCTAGACTGTTTGTAGCCACTGCAGAGAGAAACAAGGGTTTGGTCATTTCAAAACAGAGGTTATCAAAGTAGATCTCTAGATATATTAAAATTTCTTACAACCGAACTCACGTTCAACCCCTTTGAGAGTGATAGCACATTCCACAGGAGCATCAAGTACTTCTGTAGCCTTACTTAAGGATGCACCAGTTGCAGTGGCAACTTGGTACTCTGTTCATGGTTTCTAATCATCATGTCTTGGTGTTTGCAGCTAGATCAGATGCTGCTGTAGGCAATGCAGTTCTCTTCTGTATTGGACTCTATTCCAAATCTCCTACCTCCTTAAGGGGGATATTGCTTGGAAGTCTCCTGAAGTGAAGCATCCATAGGAACACTACTCGAAGGAGAAGAGGTTACTCACCTTGTTCAGTAACTGCAGTTCTTCAAGGTGTGTCTCTCTCTGGGTGCTCCACTGCCCACCCTCCTTCCCCTCTGCTTCAGTGGAACTTTGTGGTGTTGGAGGAACTGAGGGTGGTTCACGTGCACAGCCCCATATAGCCTTGGTACGGGACATGAGGATCTGCGGGGCACATGCATGGGCTTCATGGACAATGCTACCAAAAAAACTTAGATCAAGGTTCAGGGTGCAGGCACACCTCATGTGGAGCACCCACAGGGGGCATATTTCGAAGTTCTCCAGTTACTGCACAAGGTAAGTAACTTCTCCAACAGTGTCAAAAATCTGTGCAATCAAGAGCTGATCACTTCTTGCAAAATGGTATTTTGTGCCTCAGAAGATGGTTTTGCTAAATCTATACTGTTTTTGTATGTTTGTTTTCTCATCCTTGACCTCTTTAATTGTTTTACATTAAAACAATGGGCTTTGCAAAGATGTCATGTCTTGCATTATTAAAATGTTTCTGAAATCTTTTTTTCTTTTTCAGTCTGATCTTGTGGATCAGAGTATATTTAATTTTATCCCAGAGGGGGAACATTCAGAGGTTTATAAAATACTGTCTACTCATCTGCTGGAAAGTGATTCATTGACACAAGAATATTTAAAATGTAAGTTGTATTGCTAAAAAATCTGCTCGATGTGGGAGTCTTATCATAGAGTCTTTATATGGGCAACTCGGTTTCAGTGGAAGTAAATGCATATGGGATTTCAGGGTGAAACTTTCAGCCTTAAAGGAAAAAGATGATTCATAGTCATTTTATTCTCTGAAGTAAATCAATATTTTATTTTAAAATTTCCCAGTGACCAAATAACATTGCATGTCATAAATATTTCCAAAACACAGAGAAAGTATTTCTGTTTATAATTTATTGTCACATAATCATAGCAGCTGGAGAAGATGAAGACCTATTACGTCATACACAATTGGAATCATACTTCCAGGCACTTCCCATTAGGCCGCTGTCCATGGAAACTTCCCTTGTAGGAGTTCCACTCTTCTGTGGCTTCTCTATAAAGCTGAAGTATGGAGAGTGAGTGCTGCTGAGCCCTTCCAAACACAAATCCCATAGTTTCCTATCCACTACATTGGGTAATTCCATGTTGGAAAAAAATAAAATGCCACAGCCATTTTTTTTCCATCGCAGCATTTATAGTAAATTCTTTATTAAATATGTTGTTTGCAGTAGTGTTGTTGCCATGTTGGTCCCAGGATATGAGAGACACAAAGAAGGTGAAGTATTATCTTTTATTGGACCAACTTCTGTCAGTGGAAAGATCAAGCTTTTGAGCTATACCAACCTCTTCTTCCGGTCTAGGAAAGGAAATCAGAGTGTCTGAGCTAAATACAAGTTGGGACAGATTGCTAAGCATAAGGGGAAAGGGATAAGGCATGTTGTTGGAAGCCACTTGAAAGGAAATCTGCAATTGAGGGTTATATTGTTATTCATAGGGGGTTTGACGAAGGTGATTAGGGATAGCAGGCAGTGGGGTGTGTTACAAATTATTGTAATGAGCCCTAAAACTAGTGTCCCTATTGAATCTATAGTTTTTGGTGTCTAGCAGATTTATGAATTTAAGTTCCCAGGCTCAGTTTTGAAGGTGCTATGCAGGTTTCCTTTGAGGATGAGTATTGAAAGATCAGACAGGAAGCGATTGCTCTGTGAAAAGTGTCCACCCACAGGTGATATGGTATTTTTGTCTTTTATCATTTTTCTGTGTGAGTTTATTTAAGACCATAGTGATATCGGGTTTCACCCACAAAGTTATTATTGAGGCATTTGATGCACTGGATGAGGTACACCACATGTTATGACAAGCATGTTTAGGACCCATGAATTTTGAAAGTTACGTTGTGTCGGGGGGTGATCATCATAGAAGTGATGATATGTCTGCAGGCTTTGCATCTGTTCTAGCAGTCTGGTGCCAGTTTGAGTTGGTGAGTTCTGGTTTGTGGGGAGCTTGCTTCACATGATTAGCTTGGTGGGATTGTTTGAAGATCAGAAGAGGGGTTCAGGAAAGATTTCTTTCAGGATATGGTCCCCATCAACTACAGGTGTAATTGTTTGATGGTACCCCTTATGGGTTCCCGTGTGGGGTGATAGGTGAGAGCTAGAGGTGTGCGGTCCGTGGGGTGTTTTTGTTTGGTTGGTTTTTTGCTCTACTGAAGCAGGTTCTCTGGGGGATTTGGATGGGTCTTTCATGATGCAATCTACTTCTCTAATGGAGTGTTCTTGTTTAGTGAAGGCAGTTTTATGTGTATTTAGGAGTGTATTCCGGACTTTCTCTTCAGAGCAAGTTCTCTGGTATCTGAGTGGCTGGCAGTAGATAACAGATTTTTTGGTGAGTCTGGGGCTGTTTCTAGATCTGTGGAGATAAATGTGGTGATCCATGGGTTTCTTGTGGATAGCTGTTTATAGGAGTCCATTGTTGAATCTGATCATGGTGTCCAGGAAGTTGATGCTGATGTGGAAGCGTTTTAGAGATAGTTTGATCAATGGGTGGTTCTGGTTGAAGTTGTGATGAAAATCTGTGAGGGAGTTTGGGTCTTCTGTCCAGAGTATGAAAATATCATCAATATCTCTGTATCTCAGGTATGTTGATGGTTTTGTGGTACATTTTTCCAGATATTCTTCCTCAAATGGGCACATGAGAAGGTTGGTATATTGGGGAGCCATGTTAGTACCCATGGCTGTTCCCATGGTTTGGAGAAAATGTTTGTTGTTAAATGAGAAGTTGGCCTCATTGACATCAGGTTTAAGGAATATTTGTCCTTTTGGTAGTAGGAAGACTGTGGTGCTGTAAGGTTTGTGGAGGATTTCATTTTATCCACGGAGGGGTGGGGGTGTCCTGTCAGATGATTCTTTTTTCTTATACCTGTCAGTGGAATTGTAGTAGTTTTGGGTGGTGGTGTCTTAGTTGTGAAAGAATTCCTTGAGGAGGAGCTGATGGAAGAAATCTTTCCTGAATCCCCTCTTCTGGCCTTCAAAAACAACACTCCAACCTCATCAGGAGCAAGCCCTCTCCCCACCCTCCCCTGCATCCCCTCCAAACCAGGACACACTAACGCAAAGGAGCACCAGACCGTTGGAACAACAGATGCAAAACTTGCAGATATATCTCCATTTCTACGACAATCAATACCCCCCACAACATACCTTTCAAGATGCATGGGTTGTACACATGCCTATCATGTGTGGTGTATTCATTCATAGAATCATAGAATATCAGGGTTGGAAGGGACCTCAGGAGGTGATCTAGTCCAACCCCCTGCTCAAAACAGGACCATTCCCCAACTAAATCATCCCAGCCAGGGCTTTGTCAAGCCTGACCTTAAAAACTTCTAAGGAAGGAGATTCCACCACCTCCCTAGGTAACGCATTCCAGTGCTTCTCCACCCTCCTAGTGAAAAAGTTTTTCCTAATATCCAACCTAAACCTTCCGCACTGCAACTTGAGACCAATACTCCTCGTTCTGTCATCTGCTACCACTGAGAACAGTCTAGATCCATCTTCTTTGGAACCCCCTTTCAGGTAGTTGAAAGCAGCTATCAAATCCCCCCTCATTCTTCTCTTCTGCAGACTAAACAATCCCAGTTCCCTCAACCTCTCCTCATAAGTCACGTGTTCCAGTCCCCTAATCATTTTTGTTGCCCTCCGCTGGATGTTTTCCAATTTTTCAGCACACCAAAGCCCCAATAACAGCTATTTGAGTGAAACAGACAATCGTGCTCTCAAATGAACTCACACAGAAAAATGATAAAAGATAAAAACACCCTGTCAGCTATGGGCAGACACTTTTCACAGTGCAATCACTCAGTATCTGATCTTTTAATACGCATCCTCAAAGAAAACTGGCATAGCACCTTCAAAAGTGAGCCTGGGAACTAAAATTCATAACCCTGCTAGACATCAAAATCATGGACTCAACAGGGACACTGGTTTTATGGCTTATTACAACAATTTGTAACACTCCCACATCACACCCCTTATGCATCACAATTTAACCCTCATTTGCACAATTCTTTTTCAAGTGTCTTCCTTCAACATGCTTACCCCTTATGCGTAACAATCTATCCCAACTTGTATTTAGTTCAGAGACTCTGATTTCCTTCCTCAGACCTGAAGAAGAGATCTGTATCTCAACAGCTTGTACCTTCTACTAACAGAGGTTGGTCCAATAAAAGATATTACCTCACCTATCTTGTCTCTTTTATGCAATATGTATGCTAATTATTATCGCTTTTATATGAATCTCTATTGGTGTATGTTTCATCATGTAAGCTACCTTTTCATTACATTGTTTCAGCAAAAAATCAACTAGAATTCTGTTGCCATATGCTGCGAGGAACAATAGACCCAAAAGAACCACCTACATACGAATATGTAAAGTTTATTGGAAATTTCAAGTCTTTGAATAATGGTAAGATATGCTTCACTGTAATGTGGCTAAAATTAAAGGCACTTTCCAAAGGTTTATACATTAGGAAAGTTTTGTGAAAACTTAGTGATAATATTTAAAATATTTTGGTATTTATTTTGAAAGATACTAGACCATGATACAGGTTGTGTTGTTTATACTTAGCATTACTGAAAAAATAATAATTCTTTATATTTGGTATTATATTGTAGACAGTAATGTCTGAGCCGGTGAAAGTAAAATAAAAATAGGACCTTGCAGCTCTAGAACTCCTTCCATTAAAGAGTGTTAATGTTTGTAAAACACTTTAATGAGCATTTTACACAAGAGCAGATGTGAGGTAAAGAAAAATTTAGGCCAGTGTTTTTAAGTGCCTAAATCCATATCTAGGTATATTACTAATTAACTTGATTTCTTTTAGAGTTATTGAATACGTGCAGCTGTCATTGGCTTCCAGTGGGTTCAGAATTAGAACCTACATCTCCACTTTACACTCAGTCCTGTGCTTTAATCAACAATTATCCTTCATATAACACTTAGAACAAAACCACAGCGTCTGGTTGGGTTTTTTATATGGTATCAGAAGGGCAGGGGATTTTATCTCTTAACTGCACTGTTTTTCCTGCAGAGTATGAGATAAATTGAGCTCTCAAAAGATAAATGTGTGGATGAGGCTGCCTAAATTGTTATGTTTTGTAAGCAAATTAGAATGTTATAAATATTCTGCATTTGGAAGACAGTGCAGGAGATAGAAAAGTCCTAAATGCTGTAGAACTTATCAGTTTTGACAAGAAATTTAACATAAAATATTCCATTAGGATATATTGTGTAACCCAGATTATATCAGATTGGTATTATGTAGGTAAAAGATTTTAAGCAATGACATTCTATAGGAGCAATTTACTTGTTCTCTACTGGCTGTCTATACTTGATCATGTAGGAGGATTAGTGGGCCCCTGCACTGTTCCATCAATAAACTGGTTGATGTTCTCTTGAGCTGAGCAAAGTCTAGAAAAGAAAGCTTTACCTCAGGATTCAGGAGGAAAAGGTTACTGTAATAGTTTTCTCTCGTTACTTCATTGGGACCAAAAATGAAAAAACCTGATGAAAAATTAGAAATTTTAAACCATTTGTTAACAAGTAGTCTAAAATAATCTAGCCAATTAAAATAGGTATTAAGAAGCAATTCTATAGCTTTTATTGGTTTCCTAAAGCCATCTGTTGTCCATGACTATATTTAAGTAGCTGGACTTTAATTTTAGTTGTTAGAGAAGTCCCTTGCTGGTTTTGATAATATGGATATGACTGGTTTCCGAGGAACAGCCGTGTTAGTCTGTATTCGCAAAAAGAAAAGGAGTACTTGTGGCACCTTAGAGACTAACCAATTTATTTGAGCATGAGCTTTCGTGAGCTCACGAAAGCTCATGCTCAAATAAATTGGTTAGTCTCTAAGGTGCCACAAGTACTCCTTTTCTTTTTATGGATATGACTAGTACTATTAAATTATATGCCACATGTATGTGTGTATTTTTAAATGTAGCTTTGCTCATAATTCATAGTAAATTTATAGTATTTTACAGTAGGTTAATGTTGGGGGTTTTGCCTCCTTTGTGCCTCCATGCACATTTTGTAACTAAGGCTATGTCCACACTACCACTTACGTTGGTATAACTTATGTCACTCAAGGGTGTGAATAATCCACCAGTGACCTAAGTGCTGGTGTATACACTGCTATGTCTGTGGGAGAGTTTCTCCTGCCAACACAGTTACCGCTGCTCATTGGGGGTGGATTAGTTAAGTCAACAGGAGAGCTCTCTTCCATTGGCCTAGAGCAGCAACACTTGAGAGCTTACAATGGCGCAGCTGCATTGGTACAGCTGTGCTGCTGTAAGCTCTCTAGTGTAGCCATAACCTAACTCTTCTCCCTCTCCATCTTCCCCCCACCCCATCTCCTTCAGTCCCCAACTCCGCGCACAACGGTTATGAAGGAACTATCCAGCGGCCCCAGCGGCCTTCATATGAAGACAGAGTTTGCTTTGTAGCTACAGTTAGGTTAGCTACACCTCAGTTTATCAAGGTACGTTTGGGATTTTCTTCTGCACAAGTGAAAACAAGTGTTTACGACACTTGGTAAACACGTATGTGTGCTCAGATCATGAAACTTTCAATGTGACTGTACCACTTTACATACTGCTACTAAAAGCTGTCATTAACCTTTTTATGTGAAATCATATATTTTTGCCTCTACACATTTTACACAACATATGAGGTGAAGTGTTGAGCAACTTCATTTGAAGTTTCCATGAATATTAAGTGTTTTGCAGAACTTACTGAATTACTAGTTAACAATTAAAATGATTAAACTTTTGATCAGTACAGTATGTCTGTCAGGAGTTTTCTTTCCCTAAGCAGAGTTGTAGAGAGACTTGTTCTACTATTTATTTTTTATTTGGCTAATAAATATAAAGTAATCTGTGTGTCAGATGTTTAAAAAGAGGAGTACAGCCATTTTACTCAGCAAAGTAGTGTGAGGGTCACATTTTGATTCCCTTTTCACGGTGTATAATTGAGTGTCTAAAAATTAAGGTTTCTAATAAAATGTGGTATTTTGTGTATGTCTGCTCATGGTTTTGCTGCAATGTGGCATTGGGCCAAATCCTGTAGGCCTTTTATTAGCCAACTGATAGCCATGTTTTAGTTAGTAAATCAGTTTGCATTTTGCTCTAATGCTGATCGACAGCAAAAAAAAAAAAATTTTGTGTAAACAGGGAACATTTGCATAGCTATTAATTCATGATGGAAACTAGCTTTTAAGTACAGAGTAGATATTAATTATAGGGACTTTGCCAAGTGCAGCCCGGTGCCATTCCAATGCTAGTCAAAATAAACACTTATATAATCTATGGTTCAAGGCCTGTGGCTGCAGCTTTACTAAAGAATTACAATGGAAACTGGAAAATAAGTGGTTAACTTGTCCAGCATACAGAGTTTATTGTAAGAAACATAAGATCAGTTGAGGGCACAGATGTGCATTATACACAAATCGGAGCAAGATATAGTATTCTGCAATTACCAATAATAGGACCCTACCAATAAAGTAGAAACAAACTTTTGATCCAAAACAATGCAGACATCTGGTCTACACTACTTTCACCTAGGAGTGTCCTCCACATTTATGACACTGTCAGAGAAGTTTTTTGCAGTTCGTTACAGTTTGAAGCAACCTCAAAAGCCATTGATTTCAGTGCATGTTCCAATGTCATTAATATTGGGTTTGATTTTGACCTTACACCAGCATTACTCATTGACGTCAGTTGAGTTATGCCAGTTTAGAGCTAGTGCAATTGAGATCAGATTCTAGCTCAGTCTGCTTTAAATACATAAAAATGATAAAAGTGCCTAAAAATAACTTTTAAAGCTACATTCTTGTGGATTTATCTGCCTACTTTGGGTAAGTCTGAATTTCATAGGAGCTTCTAAATTAGAATAGAGCAGATTTGAGAGACTTTTTTGTTGTTGTTTTTTAGGAAATGTGCACTGTTGAAGAACCCAATGAAGAGTTTACATCTAGACATAGCTTAGAATGGAAGTTCCTATTCTTGGATCACAGGTGCCATTCCTTATAATAAAGTAGTACATAGTAGCATTCTGGCTGTAATCTTCAGAAAACTCTAACCAGCACTGACTATTCATAATCTGAGTTGGGATGTTTGTTTTATTTTGGAGAACATATTGTAAACATGAACTAGAATGAGACTGATTTTATTGTTTTTATATGTTAAAGTAAAGTAACATTAACTTCTATATTAACTAGGGCACCTCCAATAATAGGCTATTTACCATTCGAAGTTCTGGGGACATCGGGCTATGATTACTATCATGTAGATGACCTAGAAAATCTGGCAAAATGTCACGAACACTGTAAGTAAATGTCAAAACTCTGTGCTACAAAAACCATACTCAATTAAACATCTGTATGTTATGTGAAAGTCTTGTTAATTATACTGAATTGTGTGGAGAGGGCAGGATATTTACTGAAATCCTGCATCACTCAAGTGATACTTTTTGTGGCAAGACCACAGTTTTGTGCTGCAAAATGTTTATGGTTCATTTATATACAGGCGCCTGAGATGTGGTCTCATAATACAGCCATCTAATATAAAGAAATTACAAATTCATGGCTGCTGTAGCTGAAAAAATTTGTAATATAACTTACTGAAAAGCCTTCTCTTCCATTGTGGGTAGTACTTGAAATAGTAGTTCCTCTTTTTAGTCATTGTCCTAATGCCAGACAAATTCAGGTGAAGATCTTTTAGTTTAGATTTAGTGAATAATTGAATTACCACTGCGTCACAGTATTCACATAACATGTGAAAGCAAAGAAGTCTTATTCTTTTTTATCTTCTAGTAATGCAATACGGGAAAGGGAAGTCATGTTATTACAGGTTCCTGACAAAGGGGCAGCAATGGATTTGGCTACAAACACATTACTATATTACTTATCATCAGTGGAATTCCAGGCCAGAGTTTATTGTCTGTACACACACTGTAGTAAGGTAACAGTTGTTTTTTATTAATTTTAGAGAAGCTCTCTTAATTGGCAACTGTATTGCTGATGTTTTTAAAGCATTGGAAAGATTTTAACTAATAGTAATTTGCAAAGACATTGTAATGCCTCCTGAGTGTTTATACCCTTTATTCCATGAGCAAAACAGCATGTCTGAGGAGGTCACATTTTAAGACATTATTGTAAAAACCATTTGGATGAGGCATAATAAATGTGGTTTGTTCTTTTATAGTTATGCAGAAGTTCGAGCAGAAAGACGGCGAGAACTTGGTATTGAAGAGTCTCTTCCAGAGATAGCAGCAAATAAAGTGAGCTTCCTAACTTTTTTTTATTATATGGTCCCCTTGTATTGCTGTATGTTTGATTTATTTATTTTTTAATCAGAAGGTAGGAAAGTTTTTATCCTCTGATGCTACTGCTAATGTGATGCTTTTTTAACTATGAAATATTATCTCATGCCTAAGAAGATGTAGGAAAGGTGACTGCTTCACAACATGCCACCTTGGAGTTCTTCTTTATTATTTTTAGGTTTATTATATGTATTCCAGTAGCATACAGAGGTCCCAGTTAGGATTGGGGACCCATAGTGTTAAATACAAACACAAAGATTTGTACAAATAAATCAAATAAAATACAAATAAAAAAGATTTTTTTATTATATGGTCCCCTTCCATCTGAAAAAACAAGGAACAGATAAGGGAGGAAGAGGGAGGGAAATCAGCTGAAGGGGACAGCATAGCTCCATCACATGGCTTCCACCCACTTCTCAGGAGCATCCAGAAGTCTTTCTGGATGAATACCCTCCAGTTGAGACTCTGAAGGTGTTCAGGATATTGGGCCTCAGAAAGGTAAGTCAGGGTCAGACACTCATGATGTGCTCCCTTGGTAGTCTGGCAAGTTTCCCAGTGGAAATATGCTGCTTATGGCACAACTAACTATGCCTGCATGGCTTCTCGCTCCTCCAAGAGAGAAAGAGAGTACACAGGAGTAGGAAGTGAGTTTTGTTGCTGGAGGGGGAAGGAAGTCTGTGCAGCAACACAGGACTGGTGTAGAACTCAGAGTTGCAGGATTTGCCTGCATATCTTTGGACTCTGGGTTTTCATGGCTTTGTCTCTCCTTTCTTTACAAACCCCATAAATGGAAACTCCATCAACTTAAACTTGTAGAGTATAAAAGGACATAGTTTTGTCTGCAGTTTTATCTGTCAGAGGTTTGATTGGCCCAGATGTTTGTTTAATTTGCTCAGCTGTGTTTGCCAACTGAAATATTTAATGTCTATGTGCTGAACCATCAAATAAAATCATTTTTATTTGTACCCTTTCAGAATCAGGACTCCGGATCTGATAATCATATAAACACGGTCAGCCTCAAAGAAGCATTGGAAAGATTTGATCACAGCGGTACACCTTCTGCTTCCTCTAGGAGTTCGAGGAAATCTTCTCATACTGCAGTGTCAGATCCTTCATGTAAGTGCTAACCATTGAAAACATAATTGCCTTATTAGGGGAGACTCTATCTGTCCTTTTTTGCTGTGTTTTTATTGAAATAATGCATTTTAAAACTTTTAAAATACTTTATTAATATATCTGAATGAAACACTGAATTTAAAAATGTCCCTCTCAATGGCTTAACTAATGGTAGTGCAGCAGCCTGACGATACCAGGTTTATCCAGAGAGTTCTACATTTAAATGTTGCCCAGTAGAGACCCATTTGAAACATCGGATATTAAAATAAAATCTTATTTCATACAATCAGACCTATACAACTGATAGAAATGTACTTCTGAAAAATGTGCTTGAAGCTTTTGCTCAGGCAAAACTCCCTTTGATATTTTCGTATATGGAGTTATAGGATCTGGCTTATTATTAACAAAATGTGTTTTCGCTTTTACATTGATCATCATTAGCAACACCAACAAAGATGACAATGGACACTAGCACTCCTCCAAGACAAAACTTAACTGGGCATGAAAAGACTGCACCAAGGAGGTCATCACTTAGTAGTCAGGTAACTCTTCAGAGGAGGGTCTCTGTAAAATCCATTTATTTCACTTGTAAATGAAAATGTTTAAATCTACAGTAAACTTTACATTTTTTTCCTTAAAGCATAGAGTTTGATCTGGAAGTGAAAATATTTTCAGTCTGGGTACTTGATTGCCAAGATTGCATGATCAAGATTACTTACACAACTGCTTATGCATGTGTTTAATTTTACACGTTAAACTAACTGTGACTACTCATATAGTTAGGGCCCTACCAAATTCATGGTCCATTTAGGTCAATTTCATGGTCATAGGATTTTTTAAATAGTCAATTTAACGGTTTCAGATGTTTACATCTGAAATTTCAGTGTTGTAACTGTGGGGGTCTGACCCAAAAGGGGGTCATGGGGAGGGGATCATGGGATTGTCACCCTTACTTCTGTGCTGCTGCTGGCAGGGGCACTGCCTTCAGAACTGGGCAGCCAGAGAGCAGCAGCTGCCGACTGGAAGCCCAGCTCTAAAGCCAGCGCTGCCGTCAGTAGCAGCGCAGATTTGAGGGTTGCAGGGTATGGAGGGGGCTGTCACTTTTGGAGGGAGCAGGGCTGGCCTTATGGGTGAGCGACTGCTCAGGGCCCTGTGGTCAGGGGGGCACTGTTCTTCCAACACACACACAGCCAGCTCAAGGCCCCTTTAGCCCCCGAGCACTGCGCCTGGAGCTGGGGAGGGGCAGGACTGGGGGCACCACTGCTGGGGTCTCCTACCATGCACCAGGCTCCAGCTGCTAGTCCTAGTGGAGCTGGGGAGGGACAGGACTTCCTGAGGCCAGATCAGACCCACCTCCAGGAGTGTGCCACCCTTACTTTGGCACTGCCTTCAGAGCTGGACTCCCAGCCAGCAGCTGTGGAGCTTCCTGAAGCCAGGGGAGGTTCCTGGAGGTGGGTCTGACCCAGCCCTGTGGGTGGCCCCTGCAGGGGAAGAGGAAGTCCCAGCACAGCCAGGACTACCATCTGGAGCCCAGCGCACAGTAGGAGCCCCCCTTCCCTACAGTAGCCAGATTTCATTGGGGAAATCAGATTTCATGGTTCATGATGCATTTTTCATGGCTGTGAATTTGTTAGGACCCTACATATAGTTAAGCATGTGTGTCATTGGGTGACCATTGACCCCTGCCTCAGGCAACCCTGCCTCAGGCAACCCTGAAATTGGACCCCTGCCGCAGTATCCCCTTTCAGGGGGCTTCTGGAGTAACTCTCAAACACTTTTGTCTATTCATACGCCTCCTCAGGGTCTGGTTTATTAAATTAATAAACATTCAAAATAAAGTTCTCAGGTCCTTCCTTAAGTTCATTGGTTTACCCCATTATCAGGTCACTTCCAGACCTTTCCTGCCTGTAGTCTCGCTCCCCAAGTTCCAGGTTTTTCTGAGGGAGCCTACTTGTTCCCAGCAGCCTCTGTTGTGCATTCTAGTCTCCCTGAGAATTCTCGCTCTGCAGCTTCCTGCTGCATTTTTATAGGTGAATGAGCTGGTCCTTGCTCAGGTGTGCTTCCTTATTAACTAGGGTTGACTGTCTCCAGACCTCTAGCCCTTAAAGGGCAAAGTCACCCTGTTACAACATGCATAAATCTATGCTTTCTTTCTCATACAATTTTTCATAAACTAGGTATAACCCATCCAATAACAAAGTTATGGAATAGTTTCATATAGTTCCTGAAATCCTGATAATATTAGAAAATCCCATACATGCCCTCTGCTATGAGCTGTTCATTGACTGTGATTTGAGGCAGGTTTATTGTTGGTTTGAGATGATTTAGAAGGGGAATAAAAGGATGCTGTTAACTTAAAAATGTTTGAAAACAAGTATCTTTACTTACTAACACCACCTTTCAATTATTACAGGTTTAAAATTCCCTTTTCCCTTTCACTATATGTATTCATTATTTATTTCTGACATATATCATAACTTGAACAAAGATACCCCATGTAATCACTTGTACCCGGATGTTCACAATGCTGCAATATTTTGGTTTCAAACATCGCAGGGAACATTTACTTGCTTAAAGACTATTATCCCCTTGAAATATTAAAAATAAATGTAGATACATTTCTGTTGGCCTTGTGTTATATAAAAGTGTGTTTTAACAATGTACTGTTGTGCCATCTTGGAATTGACAGTTTCTCTTAAATAATTTAGTTATATCTATTATGAGACGAGTTCTGTTGGATAATTATGGTATGCTTTTAAATCTTAGTCCTTAAATGCCCAGTCTGTTGGACAACCATTAGCACAGCCAATGATGTCTCAACCTGCAACTTTACAGATCCAGCCAGGCATGTCCCAGGTATGGATTAGTTTTGTATATTTATTGACAGGTTCTTTCAGCAAATAACCCCATTTAGGAATAGGGCATTAAGGACTTTCTCATTAACTGAACTGTGTGATAGAAGTTTATTTTATGCAGTCATCTTTACTTGCATTCTGTCTTATGCCTAATTAAGGTAAACTTCTCCCAAAATGAATGTAACAATTGATTTTTAGCCAATTTTGCTGGATGCAAATAATTGTTGTTGCAGTTTATTTAGTATAAACTTAAGTACCTGATTTGCTAATGACACAAATCTTACACAAATTGTCACTGTTAACAGTTAAAATCTGTTTTAAAAATCCAGCCCTAAGTATAAAATCAGATTAATATTGAATTCGTGCTCTGGTGGGAAGGAGGGGAGATGCACAATGTTCTGGCATGGCAGTGGGGATCTGTAATAGCCTACGTGGCTTTTGTCCTGGTTATCTTAGAGACTGTATCCTCCATGCCCTGTCCGGAACAGCTGAAGTCAGCTGATGCTGACAGTCCCTAGAGATATACAGCTGAGTTTTTATGTCTTCAGGTTACATTGTAAACCCATCTAATTGCTCAGGCTTTTTGCTGAGAGGTTGACCTGTGTGCAGGGCAGTTGCGTGTTGGTGTGTGTCTTTTGTTTGTTTGGGTTATTTTGTTCAGGAGTTCTCTGACACATACATTTAATGTTTAATCTCAGAACTTTTCATAACTAAGTAATTGTGCCTAGAGTAGTGCTCCCCAAACTATTGGATATGTCCCTTCCTGGGGGGGGTAGAGAAACTTTTTTTTTGGAGGGGGGGGCGTGGTGGGGCCCTGCATGGGTGCTGGAGATGGAGCACCACCCAGCCCTACTCTGCCCCCAGACCAGCTTCGATCCCAGCCACAGCTCCACTCTGCCCCCAGACCAGTTCCAGCCCCAGCTACAGCTCCGCTCCTCCCCCTGCTTCACCCCCAACCCAACTCCGGCACCAGCTGCAACTCCACTCTGCCTCCTGCCCTGCCCATAGCCCAGCTTCAACCTCAGCCACAGCTCCACTCCGCCCACAGCTCTAGCCCCAGATGCAGTTCCACTCCGTCCTATGCTCTTCCCCCAGCTCAGCTCTGCCTTCATTCCATTTCCGCCCCTGTGCCAGCTCCCCTCAAGCCCCAGCTCCTCCCCTATCGCCAGTTCTGCCCCCAGCTCCGCCTTCAGGCCAGCCTCTCTGCTGAGCCAACTGTGGAGTAATGGAGGGGGGGCACAGACAGATTCCATTACTGATAAGGGGGATCACAAGAGGAAAAGTTTGGGCACCACTGGCCTAGAGATTGTGGTAGACAACAAGTGTAGCATGTTCCTAGATAGGGCTTGGTTCCCATTGCTACTATGAAGGGATGATTTACCTTTTTTAGGTCAAGTTTGTCTGTTTCTGATTCAAACTCTTTTAACCTATACATGGCTCTGCAGCCTATGTTTCAGTTTTCAGCCCAATTGGGAGCCATGCAGCACCTAAAGGACCAGCTGGAGCAAAGAACACGAATGATAGAGGCAAATATTCATCGGCAGCAAGAAGAGTTGCGTAAGATTCAAGAACAGCTTCAAATGGTCCATGGTCAAGGGCTTCAGGTGAGTTACAGTTGGATTAACACTGACTTTTTAGTAAGGACTTAAATGAGTTTCTACATGCTGAACTCCACCAATCTAGTCAAAATGGATAATACTGGGAAAGCCCTGCCTTATAGATTGTTGCTACAGACTGTCAATTTCCAGGGAAGAAATTATGTATAGTATTCGGATCTGTCAGTTATAAAATTATTTTCCCATCATTGCCTTCATTTCACTAAACTGCTGGAGATATTGGAAAGAGAAATGCAGTTTCTAATTAATGTTGTCTTTTTCAAAATTTTGTACAAGCTGTCTTTGTACTTCTTTAAATGCAAATCTTAAACTAAATATGTAGGGATCTAATCCTCTTCACACCAGAGTTACACTACTGTATCTCTGTTAAATATTGAATTACATTAATCCAGAACGAAACTGGTATAAGAGATTTTAATCGTGCGTTATCCATTGCTTATAGTACACTCATAAAGCCTCTGGCACCTACAGTTAAACAGTATTTCTGTCTTCAATTGTTTTTCAAAGGTATTGTATTAAGAATTTTCAGTAATACTTTAAACCATCAATAGTTTGTTTTAAAAAAAACTAATTTGTGGATTTTCTTAAAGATGTTTTTGCAGCAATCAACTCCTGGATTAAATTTTGGTTCTGTGCAGCTTACTTCTGGAAATTCTTCTAACATTCAGCAGCTTACACCAATAAACATGCAAGGTCAAGTTGTTCAGGCTAATCAAATTCAAGGCGGAATGAACACTGGGCATATTAGTACTCAGCACATGATACAGCAACAGCCTTTGCAGAGTACAGCAACACAGGTAAAGTTTGTCATAAGTACCTATGCTAGGTAGTATAATCACATGGAACCAAAATTGAAACCCATTATGGGCCTGCCTGATCCTGCTGTGATTCAATATAGAGAATTTTCATTGAAGTCAGTGGACATTTTGAATGTGCAAGAAACACAGGTTCATACCCTAAATGTTTCGGGTTGAAATATATTTTGTTTTCTCTTTCAGGAAAAGGCTTAGATTTTATAGTCTTCTCTTGATAGAAGAATTTTCAGGTATAAATGATGAGCAGTGAATAACAAGTAGTTCTTTTGGAAGGACCCATCCTCAAAAGCAGGCTTTAGCTAATCATTCTTCCTTTTCATGTGGCCTTTTCATTCAGCAGAGGAACATGTTTAAAAGTAGTAAAATGTGACTGTAAAGCCATAGAATTGGGTAGGGGACAATAAGGGCAGGTGTAATACCTGAAAATACTTTAAATTCAATTTTTTTTAACTCAGATTGAAAGTTAATGGTGTCCCTTTAAAATAATAGTATTTGATCAGTTAAAATGTGAATATATCTTTGGAACATTTGGCTTTGAATGAATAAAGAAATGTAACATTTTAGTCAAGAATCCTGTTTCTGGAGCCCTAAGGATTTCCACCCCCTACCTACTCACATTAACACATCCCTAGTTTTTTTATTCCTACCACCCTTGAAAGCCTTTTGTCATGGTGATCTATGTTGCCTTCAGTCCCAATAAAGTGCCTTCATAGAGCTCACTAAAGCTGATTGGACTAGTGCAAAGTGACGTGCTCTCTGTCTTCCCCTCAACCCAACGCTTCCAGGGACTGAGCATGCTTACACCTGCAGTTCTGCCTGGCCCATCATTCCACCTTTTTGTGCAGTTCTCCTAATGTTATAAGAGTTTTGGAAGAGGAGCATGGGGCTGGGACTGAGAAACTCCTGGATCCTAATCCTGGCACTAACACTCACTACATGGCCTGGGACAAATCATTTAACCTTTGTTTGCTCATCTGTAAAAGCTGGAATAATATATATTTACGTCACTCACAAAGATGATGTAGGAATGGATTAATTATTTTGTATTTTGTACAGTGTTTTGAGAGTATAAAGCATATATAAGAACATTTAGTATTAGCAATAATTAACTGTTAGTGTACAGCATTTTTATTTATGCCTGCAAAGCAAGCTGTGCCTTCTGTGTTTGAAAGGGGTATTTGTTTTTACAGCTGTATTCAATTAATTTATGACCTGTTTTTCTTTCTTAGCATGCTCAACAAAATATACTTAGTGGGCACAATCAACAGGCTTCTCTTACCAATCAGTCACAGAATACACTTTCAGCCCCCTTATATAACACTATGGTGATTTCCCAGCCAACGACAGGAAATGTGGTCCAGATTCCATCTAGTTTACCACAAAACAATAACCAGAGTGGTGCAGTAACTACTTTCACCCAGGACAGACAGATCAGGTAAATATAAAGGAGCAATGTTCATTCAGATGATTTTGCTAGAGCTCTCTGTGCTTTAGTGGTCACCAGATCTTACGGAAAAGGAGACAAAAGTTAAACCAACAGTTTCATGCAGTTTTACTTAGTGTAGGCATGTGCATGTGCTGTAGTCTGAGGACCAAACTTGCAAAGAGATACTCCTGTAATTCCATTAAAACTCGTGGTGTTGAGGCACCGGTGGAGGGGTGGGCCTTTGAAGGCAACGTGTAGCCCATTGCGTTTGAATTTGTTTGTTAGTTTGTAGTAAGCAAAGGAAAAATGGGTTTGTCTTGAATGACCCTGTTCGTGATAACTGGCACTTACCTCATCAGATTAATACAGGAAAGTTCATCCAGTGTACCTGAAGCAGATTTTTTTCCCCAAACGAAGCTGATGAGACCACCTGGTGTCTTTTCCCTTTCACAGATTTTCTCAAGGTCAGCAGCTTGTCACAAAATTAGTCACTGCCCCTGTAGCATGTGGAGCGGTAATGGTACCAAGCACTATGTTTATGGGACAGGTGGTGACTGCCTACCCCACTTTTGCTGCACAACAGCAGCAGCCACAGACATTGTCAATAATGCAGCAGCAACAGAGTCAGCAAGAGCAGCAGCAGCAGCAGCTCAGTACAGTTCAGCAGTCGGCTCAAGCGCAGCTGACGCAGCACCCGCAGCAGTTCTTACAGGTAACGCAGCAATGTCTAGAGCTGTCAGCTTGCACAGACTTTCACAGGTTCAGCATAGACTGCAAGTTTGGTAACTGAGAATGTTATTTAAATAAGCACCCTTGTTAATCTCCGACAAACGATGTGCACTGGAGGAGATGCTTTCATAGACCTTATTTAAAGTCTCTTGCGATGTTTCTTGTCAAGTTCACACATAAGAACTGCACTTAAAAACCTGTTTCCCAGCCTGTGGGCATTAGAGTACACTAGGAGCGGGACATGGAGAAAAGGAGAGAAACAATGGGGACAGGAAAAATTGTCACACGGGTCCACCTCATCTCACCATAAACATACTTGTGTGATTCTAAGTAAAGGGGCAGGCATCTCTTTGTAAATCTCTCACTTTCCCTCCAGTTGCCATGGTGGCCCACAATGCAACAAGGTGTGAGCTGGCTCAGGAGTGTCTTTTCTCTGCTTCTGTGTAGCTGCAGGAGCTGTGAGCTGCTTCTGTGAGCTGGCTCAGGAGTGTCTTTTCTCTGCTTCTGTGTAGCTGCAGGAGCTGTGAGCTATGTAGCTGCAGGAGCTGTGAGCTGCTTCTGTGAGCTGGCTCAGGAGTCTCTTTTCTCTGCTTCTGTGTAGCTGCAGGAGCACATGCTGTCTGGGCCTCAGGGAGATACCAGTGGATGCCTGGGCAGCAATAGCCTTCTCATGAGTAAGGAGAGAAGAAGCCACCATGGGGGAGAGAAGAGATTGGATCAGAAAGAAAAGGAGGGACGGAGGAACAGATTGAGAATAACAAAAGAGCAAAAAAGAAAATACATACTAAAAATAAGAGAAATCAAAAAAGAGTGAAGAGGAAGAAAGAGGAGGTAGAATGGACTAGTAAAAGGAGAGGCAGCAGTGACCTTGCAGAACTAGCGTACTGGAATACGTCTCACAGGAAGGCCTCGGGAAGGGGGGAAAGGAGACATGCCAGTTGCCAGTCCATTAGAGGGGCAATCTGCTACAACAAAAACTTTGGGAACCACTGAACTAGATACACAATCAACCTATTTGGACCTGAAATTTTGCCTCCTTTTAAAGGATTGTAATCCCTTACAGCATCCCTAAATAATTTGTGTATATGTGTATGGGCATTCTCTGAAAATAATGTTAAAATTGCAAGTTAGATTCTTGAAATGTCAAAGTGAAAGTTGGCGGGTCAGCCTTAACTATACTCAGATTATTAGGGGTATGTGCTCTTATAAAGCCTTTAATTACAATTGCTGTGTATCTCTGCCTCCATAACTATTACCATAGTTCTCCTAGCATTGACATCACATACCGAGATCCAATAAATTGCTTTACAGTTAGATGCTGAAAAATATTAATACTCTGTAGTTAGCGATTTTATTCTGAATGAATCTTCACTTTGTGCAATTATAAGTGAAAGTAGTCGTGGTCCTATTGATGTTTAACCTCGTGAGAGTTTTAAAGTGTAACCAGACCTGCATTTTCATAGTGTGGGCAATAATCCTCTTTTATTTATTTCTTTTTAGACATCCAGGCTACTTCATGGAAATCAATCAACTCAGCTTATTCTCTCTGCTGCTTTCCCACTACAACAAAGCACTTTTACTCAATCACACCACCAGCAGCATCAATCTCAGCAGCAGCAGCAACTCTCACGACATAGAACTGACAACATGATTGATCCTTCCAAAGTTCAGCCACAGTAGCATGGGGATTCACTTCTTCTAGAAGCAAACAGCAGGGAGGGGCTGCTCCATAAACATTTGCACTGATGATGGTAGAGGTAGAAGTCCAAAGGCTTTATAAAGTACAGTATTGAGGTCTACTTCTAACTTCTGGGAATCTGTTTGCAGAAGAAACTACTACAAAACGTTGTGGAGGTACCTTAGGTACAAAGAGCAAAAAGATAACAGGGACATGGCCAACTTTGACAGTCTTTTAGTTGTCCCAATTTCTGTGTTCTAAAGGATGTGCTGCCACGTAATAACTTGTCCAGATCAAGTCTCAAACCCTCAGTGAACTGAAAAGGGCACTAAAAATGTTGGTATCTTTAGCAGTCCTGTAAGTTTGTCAAATGTGACCATGGACATGCAGTTGCTCACAATAATGCTACAGATACAGTCCAAAAGACATTTAAATTTTTTTTCTCAGATGATTATGGGACAAGTAAATATTTTCAAAATGTTGTGTGGAATCAGATTCTGTATTATACAGATGTTGTAAAACAATGTGTATATGTCTGGATAAAAGGAGAGAGAGCAAAAATATTTTATATGATGCATGAAAATGTAATCTTGTTATTTGTAGGGTTGAATGTTTCCCTAAATTCTCACACCATGCTCTGACTAATATTTTCCTCTGTTCTACCCTTTTGTTTACAACATGATGCATCATAATTTTCACCCTTAATGTGGGCACAAGTCTCTTGTTTGTGCTTTGTCTGTGATGTCACAGTTTGTTCAGTGAGGTATAGTGTGCTGGTTAGTGGATTTTTTGGGGGTTAAATTATTGATGAAACTGTTTGAACTGATGGTCACGCATCACGGTTCAAGACATTCAGATTTCAGAAGTATTATCCATCATTTCACAATTATTCATTGTTTTTTGATTGAAAAATAGGAATTTGCACTGCTTTATTGTGGATGGTTTGGAATTTTACTCCCCAAAGCTATCTTTTGATATAGATCATAGTTGGAAATATTTATGTAAAGGGTTTTAAAAAAACTACATGAAAGTAATTTTTAAAAATGTGTCAGTTATAGGAGTAATTTGCACAACAATATATTTACACTTAATAACATTTTAGGCACTTTTTAACCACCTTCTCTGTGGTGAGAATTGTAACTTGTTAAAATATGTTGGAATCTTTTTATTCTCCTTTAAAAATTAGATCTTTCTTCAGTCAAAACTGATTCAGGGTCATTTTAAAACAAAAAAACAAGAAACCCACAGTGCCTTGATTTTAATTCAGGTGATAACGTTGAACATCTTGAATTATGTTGTCTTGAATCTGTTACGATTTTACAATTTTGAAGTCTTAGTATAATCTCAACAAAACGTGTTTCTACTTCATAGCTATATCTTGTTTGTGTTCATATATACAAGTATTTTAACAATCGTCTGAGTTGAGATCATGAGCATTTTTTAAAGGAGGGCCTCTCCCCTCAGACACTAAAATGGAAACAGATATCTAATGATTTACCTGTAAAGTGTTCAGCGAGTAAGGAGTAGCACTATTTAGAGGCTCCAAAACAGAGGTTAGTCATTTTGGGGGGGGGGAATTAATCTGACACTTTTCAATCAGATCAGATCCAATTTTACTTTATTGATTGGAATTTAATGGAAAAATAAAGAGGTGAGTAGGACTGCATGTTTAACACACTGAGTGTTGACTTAAAAGGGATACCACTAAACTAAGACTTCAGAAGGCAACCTCACTTTATAAAGATAATAAAAAGTTCCAACAGAAATGACTTCCTATTTTTAAATGTTCAGTAGATTTCTATGGTACTACTTCATACAAATCACATCTGCAAAGCAAAATGAGCTAATACTAAGATAGACTTGGTAGTTAAAAGAGAAAATTAATTAAAATTAACACTGAGGAGGGAAAGTTTTTAGTCAAGAAGCTGAATTAAGTCAGAGTATTAGGGAGGAGCTGTATGAATGTAACCAAATTGTGGTGGAATATTAAATATTAGAAACAGTTTGATTGTATTATTGGGTGACCAGAGCTGACTGAAAGGTAGTGCTAAGTTAGTGAACACTAGATGCAGTTACCTTTTGAAGCTTGTTCTTAAAATTAGCCTTGGCCTTTCCACTGTCGTCATCTCATCAGATAAGCCCCTCACCCCCAAACAATAAAGCAACAGGTCAACAGTGGATCCTGGGAGAATCACAGTGGAAAAGGGAAGAGGGCGTAAGAAGTAAAGAACCAAAGAGAACTGGATTGGTTTCTGCTCCAGGAAGCCTCTTGCAACAAGGAGTAGGAATAGATACAAATATTAAACATATCCAGGAAACTTTCTCTCTCTATGCTCTTTAAAGGGATTTCAGTCATTCCCTGAACCAGTATAAGTGTTAGAAACATGTATTTTTTTAAGTTTTAGAAAAGCAAAACTGCATTGACTTTTATTTATTTTTTTCAAATTGCCTTGCTAATCCTGCCATAGCATTCCGCCTGTATCCAAAATTTAAGCTGCATTGACCAGAGGTCCATTCCATAAAGACTTTTAGTGGGAGATAGACTTGTTAGATAAGGGTTTTAACGTAATTACAATAATAAAATAGCACTAAAGAAGGAAATTGGGAGAGCTTTAATATTACTCTTAGAAATGTAGTGTGGTGGTAAAACCAACCGATAAGATGTAGTATTTGCAGCTACAGAAAATGCAGAGCATAACCAGCAGACAGCTGAGAGAGTTTTATATATAAGCTTCATTCAAATCCCCTCTCTCAACCAAAAAAATACTGTGGTGTGCTGTTTGTAGGTCAGACAATAAAAAGGCAGCCTAACTTAGGTGTGAGAAGTTTTATATTAACATAGCTCTTGGCAGAGGACTAAGAGGAAAAATTCTGTGCTTTGATCAAGAAGCCTTCCATAAGCTCAGAGGGGAAAGTCATCCAAAAATGAAGCTACTCTTTACCTGCTAGCTGATAAAGAGAAGAGGGGGAATTCTAAGAGACTGAAAAATTATTACATACATTTGAAAAGCTTCTGCCACAATTCAGGCAAATGTTTAAAAAAAAAAACCAGAAAAAGCACACAGTATTTCACTGACTTTAATTGGCATGGATGTTCTGCTTCTCTTTCACTGACTATTAAAGGATTTGTGTTCAAACGAGGCACTCACTTCTGGTCCTATTAAAGTCAATTGCAAAACTCCATTGACTTCAGTGGGAAGAAAATTGGGCCCCAGTCTTTCTCTCTTCTAATCAACCTGCTGCTTCTGCCCAGCTTACTCACAGGTGTGGCAAACCTGTTGTTTGTGACATCCCAAGAGATATCATAGCATTCGCTGCTGTGATGTGTAATGTTACAGAATGACTCTGACAGGAGTGAGGAAGTTGGCTAAGAAGGAGAAAATGTTGTATTATGGATAAATGCCTTGGTGACGTACAGTTAAGTAAAGTATCATGCTGTATTTTCTTAATAGAGTTTTGATGAGAAAATTAGTAAGTTTGCCTGGGTTGAGTGAGAACTCAAAGAAAAGCCTCAGAATTTCAGAGGGAAAAGAAATATAGCTATTTTTATATTATATTTAATATATGTTATATTTGTATATAAATATGAAAAGATTATAGTAAGAACTCTCCATATGCCTTCCATTTTATCTAGACGTTTACCTCCTGGTGCGATGGCTCCAGGGTATCACCATCTTTGTAGGCATTATGCCTGCTGCCAACCAACATCTAAGTTAATATTCCAATATCTTTACAACAGATAGGCCCCACTTCAGCAGTATGCCTAACTTGAAGCATGTAAGTTAGTCCAATTTAAGTGAATGCTGATGTACTGTGCTCAGTAGGGTCCTTAGTTCTCCTCAGTGCCCATGCTGGCAATTTTTCATGGGAAAAGGAGAAACCCTCGCAAGACTCAAGTAGTGCAGTTTAAAAAAGGGGTTTGGAATAATGATAAGCACTTTACTGAAAAAAAAAAAACATTTTGAAAACAGTTAATTATTTTAGGCAATGGAACGGTTCAAAAGTGGTCCAAAGGAATCAAAATATAGAAAACTGTCAAAAAGAGGCATTTCTGGAAAGTGTTTCTAAATGTGGTGATCCTTTGAGGCTCTAAGTGTGAGATTAAAAAGGCATCTAAAATTGGTTGATTTTGTTTTAATATGGCTTTGGGAAAGGCTAAATCTACATAAATACTATCTTCTTTTAAAGTTGCACAATTGCCTGTGAGAAAGAAATGATCAGGAGGCATATTAGCCTGTTCAGTAATTCTAAATGGCCCTTGGGATTATAATTTGCATTAAAATATGTGTAGAGGGTTTACAGATGTGGCCTTTAGTAGACTGTTGCAGTCCCCAATTCTAGAATAACTAGCATTCTTAGCGATAAAACCAGATGTAGTTATGAGTGCGTTTTAAATGACATGGCATCATGCAGTGTCAGCGCATGCATGTTAGATTCGTAAGTACAGTATCTCCTTTTGAAATCATTCTTGAAACAAGATACACATTGAGAAGGGCTGGGGAAATTATTATTTTTGGCTAAAAGGGAGAAAAAGACTAACATAGTGCTGAATCTTTTTTTTACTCATCCCCAGTGGAAAAAGTTAAAGAACTATTTGATACTAATTGGAATAAAGAATTTTGTATTCAGTATATTTGAAGTTGAATGTTGAATGGCTCATAGTAAATGAGATAAACTTTGAGAGAGATATTTAAATTAAATCTAGTTGTCCATTAGACCTTTTTTTAATATCCTGATTTTAACACTACATTCCTTGTTTTTTTTCTTTAATAAACAAGTAATTTACAGGCTTTGTTTGCTTCATGCTTTGTCATCTGCATGGGTTTTGCCAGCATGGTATGCTAAATTGTACCTATAAATAAAAAGGAAAAACAAAACACTGTGTATGAACCAAATACTGTATTGCCTGATATGGAGATCCCAGCCAAGACTGAGAGGTGCTGCACTAATAGACAATCAAAATGGGTGACTATTTATGAAAGACTTTTGGGAATGATCTTAAAGTAGTAACTGCTTTGAAAGCAGCTGAGTTTTTTAAATGAGGTAAAACTATTTATTTTAAAATATATCAAGTGGACTGAATTTTGAGTTTTTAAGCAGTGTTGATTTCACAGTGTCTTGGGTTTTGGTTTGGTTTTGTACTTTCTAACTGGCATTAGATTTGTATATGTAGAAAACTAGTGCCGCTCATATTGACGTCAGGAAATGTAGATACAGTTCCCTGGTGTTCATGTGACCATTACTAACTGTCAATTTTTTAATTGAATAAATGTAACTCATTTGAAATTCTACTTCTTGTAGCTTCTAAGGTTCTGGTAACTTTTCTAATTTCACTTTCATATCCTACAGGGTTCCATAGTTAAAGATCTCTTAACATTCGAACAAGTATACCAAAGTCACTTCCTTTCTAATCTCTTCTTCCATACCCCGACAAAGAACAGTGATATGGCAAATGGGGGCGGGGCTATATTTAAAATGTATATTGCACTTTTTCTTGACTACTTTCTGTATCACTTCATAAAATGATGGCCTGTCCTGAAGGTTACAGAGATGTCCTTGTTTCTTGCATCTTATGTTGTTTTCAGCCGTTGTGTAAGGGATATAAAACAGATGGCAGTCTCTGTTTTAGTTAAAATAATCTAATGCTTTCAAAGTGTAGTATTACCTGTTCAGATTATGCCCTTGGATATATCTGTGTATTCTTCATGATGTGTGCCAGAAGGCAGAATTTGACCTAATTTATGTGTCTTCGTTACTATCTTGAAACTGATCAAGGCAGTCTTGTTTGAACATGTACTCTTTGCAACTAAAATGTTTTAATAATGAAGTGTAAAGATTTCATGCCTTCCTTACATCTGCATGGGGACATAAATAGGAGTTCTGTATGCAGATCTGGGGCAGCGTATAACCCAATGTGGTGATTTAACTAAATAGACTGGGCCAGATCCTGCTCTCATACTGAAATAACTCTACTGACTTCTGGTTGGCATTGGTGGGGTTACACTGGAATGTGAAATTGGATCTAAAAGTGTACCCTGTAACTGAAGATGATGGGAATGTGGAAAATGTGCTAAAAGGTTTGTTTTTGTTTTTAATTTCTGGGCAAACTATGACATCACTTCATTGTCAGAACATTGATATTTTCATGTTGGGAGTGAGATTGTACTGGTGCAATCCCATTGCTGGCAATGAGTGTACTGAAACTATTTGTGCAAAGTTAATGTAGAATTAGCCATACAAATTCTTTAGCTGCAAAAACAAATCTGCACCAGATGGTGGTCTCTTCTTATAAAAAGACAATCAATTTTCTTAAAACAGAACTTCGGAAATATCAATGTATTTCCCATATTCTTATCAACCAGAAGAGCTATAATTCAAACTGCTGATACAACTGAAGCAGTGTTGTTCAATTACATTTCACTGTTGTGCAAGTTTGGGAACCAGCACCTTACTTAGACAAGGCCATAACTGTTGAATATTTGTAAAGATTAAAAATTGAAAGGCTAGTTAACTCAGCACTTTTTTTCTGCCTCAGAGCTAGTGGAAAATAGAAGTGTTTAATTTTTGTAAATTTCCTATTGTTGACATGTAGTTGAAACAACATGAATGAATAATTTTTCACTCTTACCAGTGTGCCGTACAGAGCTATGGATGCACTGTCCGTTCCATTACTGTCACTACTGCTTGGCTCTTGAAATGAATTGGATCAGTGTTGTTAATTTGGGGGGAAATCATCATCCTAGTCAACTAGAGGAAACTAAAAAAAATTATGGTATATGCTAAGTACAGATAGGTGACACAGGAGTGAATGAAAAGCTGTTTTTCCTTCCTCAAGAACGCTGCTGGTGTTGCAAATGCTGTCTACACTAGCAAACTTCATAGCTCTATTTCACCACTGATGGAACTATTCTGGTATTAGGGTATGTCTACACTTACCATGGATCGATACTGTGGCGATCAAGCCACCGGAAGTCGATTTAGCAGGTCTAATGAAGTCCTGCTAAATCGACCACAGATTGTTCTCCCGTCAACTCCGGGAGAACGAGAAGCCTAAGCTAAGTCGATGGGAGAGTTTCTCCCGTCGACCCAGTGCAGTGTAGACACCACAATAAGTTGACCTAAGCTACGTCGACTCCAGCTACGTTATTTACGTTGCTGGAGTTGTATAATTTAGGGCGACTTAACCCCCTAGTGTAGACCTGCCTCTCGTGAAGACAAGGCCAAATAGTGATTTTAGCTTGTGAGACTTGGGGGCCAAAGATGCCAAGAGTGTGAATGACAGCACTGAACAGATTTAATTTCATTATTTAATCCTCCAGAACATGAACAGAGATTTTGGTTAGGATGAGATCCTATATTAACCTGTGTAGGGTGAATGGGCCTTTTGTGACTTGGGCCAATCTTGCACCTTTACTCATGTGAAGTTGGTGGGGCAACTTGTGAATAAGGTCTGCAGGATGGGACTATACAGGAGGGGCTTCAGCTGGATTGATTATGGACGTGAGTAAGGGATCCAGAATCCAGGCCTCAAACTGCTGCAAAATCTAGCATGAGCTGTATTTAGGAATAGACTCCGAGGTTGATACAGGCTGGTTTTCAGGTATAAATTGGAAGGCAGTTCAGTTTGTACAATACGTCGTTCTAACCTGTGCAGTCAGTCACTGACTCTCACGACCACAAAATTTACATCTAAATGCCATTAAGTAGTCCTGCTTCAGAACTGTAAGCTCATTACTAGGCTTTTTCTGGAATGGATCCAACACATTCACATTATTCTCCTGATACTGTGTTTTTATTAGTGTTGAAGATTGTACTTTGTTTTTGCCCAGTTTCTATTGAAAACTTTGTACTAGCAACATATCAAACCTGAGGTTTAAAAGTCTGGTGGTAGCTTAATCTCCCTGTAGTGCTCTTTAACATATAGAGAAATTAAATGAGACAAAGTATTTTGTTTTACCAAGTTATCTTTAATTATACTGATCTTGGTGCAGCTTTAAAAAGATAAGCAAGCTTGTACTAATACTGTGTTCTTTTTCCCCTTTGAAATACTATAACTGATGTCTCCCGGATTACATTTCATCACAACAGAGCCAAGCAGCAGCTACCCCTGTGGCTGCCTTTTTTTGCTTCCATTATTAAAGGTTGGAAATAAAACCTACCTCGTGTTTTTCCATGTGACTTACATTTCAGCTTGGTTTTTGCCTGCACTGAAGCCTGAATACGTTGTTCACCACCGCACTGTAGTTTTATGGGCAAATTGGCTAGTAAGTGAGCTGCTTAGTCACTGATGCAGCTTCACATTTGTTTACATTCACTTGGCCGTAATATTACATCTACGTCTGTTTCCTTCCCGTGAGCCAAGGAGGAGATCCTATTAACCTTGTTACTTAGAAACCTGTCATTGATTATGTTCTTAAAGTAGCGTTTATCTGCAAGACCCATGGGCCTTCTCCAGATAACTGCTTATAATAGTCCTTCAATGAGGGTAGAGGACTTTAGGATTCTGTATTCATATATTGCAAGCATTTGCCTGAAGCCAGGAAAAAATATGGCAAGCAGTGGGCCAAGGCTAGAACAAATAAATAAAAATGTCACTTGCTCTTTCCTAAACTGTTTCAGATGTCAGTTGCCAAAGCCAGAGCATAGCTTAATGGATATTACAGCCCCTCATGGGGACCATCAGTGTTACCCAGGCTTTCTTCGACAGAAGAGCCCATTTAATGTCACTGGAAAAGCTCAATGCAACCTTTAACCAGTAGTAGGGCTCAGTGTTTCTCACTGATTCCGTGACTTCCTGCGACCTACGTGACTTCTGCAGAGGCCAGTGTGGCTGGCCCCGGGGCCAGCTGCTGAGACAGCCCTGGGGACACCCAAACCAGTTTCTGCTGGAGCGGCTCTGCAGCCGGCTGCACCGGCCACTGCTCTGGCAGTCCCGCGGGTGGTCCTGGTGGTGGCAGGAACGGCCACAGCTCGGCAGCTCCTGGAGGCAGTGCCAGGCGGCGGGAGGAGCAGCTGGCCCTGGGGTTCCCCTCCTCCCCCCCCCCCAAAAAAAGATTCAATCACAGGTATTTTTAGTAAAAGTCATGGACAGGTCCCAGGCTGTGATTTTTTTGTTTCTTGCCTGGGACCTGTCCATGACTTACTAAAAATACCTGTGATTAAATCAGTAGGGAGGTAGATCAAAGGGTTAGCTGGAGCCTGGCTAATTGCGGGAGGGGGAGGGGGAGGTGTTGGTAACCAGGGAAGGGAAGATGGGAGGCACAGGTCACCTTGAGAGCTCAGGCTTGGGAGGCTTTTGTTCTCCATCCAGCGAGATACTTCATTGCTTATTTCTCAGTGCTAGGAGCCTGGGTAATAGGAGGACCTGGACCCTTTTGGCGAAGGAGGAATACAACTGCCATTACTGAAACCTGCCAGGGTGATTTGTATGATTGGAATGTTACAAGCAGGAGTTCTAACCACTTAGGAAGGAGAAAGTGGGTGACAGGGGTGGGGAAGGAAGACACCATTAGCTGGTTTACAGTTGTTAATCACTCAGATCTGCATAATGACAGGTTTCAGAGTAACAGCCGTGTTAGTCTGTATTCGCAAAAAGAAAAGGAGGACTTGTCTCTAAGGTGCCACAAGTACTCCTTTTCTTTTTTCAGAACTGCAGGCTCTTAAATGCCCAATGTGTTAACAGACAAAGCCCAAGAGGGCCAGGGAAACAGAGGAAATGCTCTTTAAGTACTTGGCTGAATTGTATGGACAGAAAAATTGTGGTATGGGGGCCTCAATTTGGGGGAAGATAGGTAAAATATGTTTCTAAAAATTATACAGAAGTTTATAACACAAGATACTGCAGGCAATGAGAGGTAACTTTTGGACCTCATTAGGGTGGATAAAGATGAATTAATCACTGTTCCCTAGGGCAGTGGTCTCCCACCTTTCTACACCCAAGATCACTTTTTGAATTTAAGGGCATCCTAGGATCTGCCCTGGCCCCACGCGGGCACATCAGCACCTCCGCCCCATCCTGAGCCGGGCCATGCCAGCCAGTAGTGTACTAAATGGCCACACTGCGCCTGGACCTGGGGCGCTGGGGCACGTGGCACTGCCCCCGCAACTCCTGTTGGCCACAGCTCCCTGTTCCTGGGAACTGTGGGGGCACTGCTTGCAGTCAGGAGCAGGGCGGAGACCCCTATCCCCCACCCCTCCCACAGGGCATGCTGGCCTCTTCCGGGAGTGGGGGGGGGGCGTCCCCAGGATCGACAGGTTGGTGACCAATGCCCTAGGGGCACTGAGGACAGTCCCACCAGTAATATATATCCTTGGTGCTTCAAAAGGGGGGCTGAGGAAAATTATATGCAAAATTAGTGGGAGGAAGCAGTTAGGCAGAAAGATGAAAATGAAAACTGGGAATTTAAGGAGAGCTTATGAGATGTTTAAAAGCCACAGTTGTAAAAGAATACAGCTCAGGGAGTAAACGCATCCATTAGAAACAATATTGTGTTCAGAATCAGTGAAGGGGGGGAATAGCAATGAATATGCTTTAGGGGTTCTGAACTGACTCCTTCACCATCCAGCTTTTGCTCGTTATAGATTTTACAGACACTTCCTAATGACGTGCCAGTGTCTTCACTGTAGCCTCAGTCAAGCATGGAGAACAGCGAGGCTCAAACTTCATTGCCCTGCAACACCCTTCTGACAAGAAAAATTAACACACAACCCCAGGAAGCGGGACTGAAGCCTGAGCCCACCCAAGCCCAGCTGGGAGAGGCCAAAGCCTGCACTCCATTGTCCGGGCAGGGGGCCTGTTTCCTTAGCACCCACAACCCAGGCCTGAAGCCGAAGCCCAGGGCAATGAGGGTCAGGCTTTGGCTTTGTCCCTGGACCCCAGCCAATCTAACGCCAGCCCTGATTAAAATGGGGTTGTCATCCACTTTGCAGTCATGACCTAGTTTGAGAACTGCTGAGCTAGTGGCTGATATCCCATGGGAACGTTCAGCAGAGGTTTTAGGATGGAAGTAAAAAGTATTCCCAGGGTATGTAAATAGATACTAGCTGGAGCAGTAGGCCTAGATCTGGGCCTCTCACTTGACTACTGTACCACGTGAGCCATTCACTCACTTTTCCCTAACGCAGCAACTTTCTAATTATTTATCTACAGTGCAGGTGGGTCTCCAACAGGCTGGGTGAGAAAAGGTATGAGACCTAGCCACCACCACCTGGTCTGACTCTTACAAGAAATGGCTTAAGTAAGTGCCTGGCTCAGGGTTGCAAGCAGAGATAGGTGCCTCCCACCAGTCTCGACTGTGGAAGAGGGGTTGGTTGTAGGACACACACCCCGCTCATCATTGTCTGCTGTCGTAACACCACAGACCCCCGGTCTTCGCTGGGCAGGATTGAACCTGCGAACTCTGGAGTGTGGGTGGGGGAGTGTGTGTGTGTCTCAAACAAGCTGCCTGCAGGGTTATTTTCTGCGGCCCACCAGCTCCCACCCCAGTGTTTACCTAGAGCAGCTCCGGCCCTGGGACCTAGGGGCAGGGGAGCACAGGGGTCTGTGTGTTGCCCTGGCCATTCCTCTAGGTACCTCCCACGAAGCTCCCATTGGCTGCGGTTCCCCGTTCCCAGCCAATGGGAGCCCTGTGCCCCCCGCCCCAGGTTCCAGCTCCTTCCCCAACCTCCTGAGCCCCCCTGATGCACCCCAACCCCCTGGGGGCAGGGAGGGGGGGAGTTGGGGTGGAGATTTCAGGGAAGAGGTTGGGCCTCATGGAGGGGTGGTCAGTGGTGTGGCCCTTGTGGTCATTTGAGTTTGAGACCTCTGGCTTAGTGCATGAGCTAAACGCCAAATAGGGATTTAGAGCAGACTCCTTAATCGCTAAGTGATCTCGCTGGGGCAGAACACCACGGCCTAGCTCAGCTGTTGCTCCCTGCTTAGCAGGCTTTTGTGAATCCTATTTCTTCCCAGTCATTGTATAGGCACCTAACCAAGGCTTATATCCCAGTATCTATCTAGGCACTTAAACTGTAGGTGTTTTGACACAGCTTTACTGGCTGACGTCCCTTTGTGAATCTAGCCCAAAGTGTGTTCTGTGCCACCTTCTTCCCCAGTTCTAAAAACAGAGTTAGGTGCACACACTGAAGTCCAAGGATTGTGGCATTAGGGTCATAAAACCACAGGATGCAGCAGGGGTTTCTCCAACTAAGGTCTTGCAAGCACTGTGCTTCTCCAAGAAGCAGCAAGCCAGCCCCTTAAAGCCCTTTTCCCGACCTGGAGTTTAGCCTGATGATGCTCGCAGGCTGGGTTGTAACTACATCTTCCCTGTCTGGGTTCTACTGGCCTGGTGATTTCAGGATTTTGCAAACCCCAAGCCCCTGCTTCATAACCCACTTGTTGAAAGTAGCTGGACTCCTGAACCCTCATAGCTGTAATTGTGTATGGGACAAACTACACACTGGTCCAGTACCCTGGTCAGATGACCCACATACTGACACATCAACACTGGATCAGTTTTATAAAATAGGTAAGCTACGCCCCAAGCATTGTAGTGTTATGCAGTTTGAACACATGTAAAATGACAATATGGGGAAATGAGGTGGTGTAACTGTCTGGGCCCCAGGATATTAGAGAGAGAAGGTGGGTGAGGTAATAGCTTTTACTGGATCCACATCTGTTGGTAACCTGAAGAGTGCTGTTGTAGCTTGTCTCACCCCCCGAAGTTGATCCACACCCACCTTGTGGAGGAAGGTGCTGCCTCACCCCTTCCCTGCGTTCCTTTTGCATATTTCACCTGCTGCAGTCTCAGCGTGATACGTCGACCTAGCTTTACATGTCAAAAGTATAGCCTTATTTGTAAGTCAAAACTTATACTAGCATCAACTCCCTCCACGTCCTGTTCCTCACTGTATGAGAACGTTCTCCACCATGGAAAAATGTCCATGGAGTGATGAGCTGCAATTCCACAGCAGGTGGGTGCTTTTAGCCCTGTTCTGCATGTCACCCACTGGCCAGCAGCTGGTGCTGGAAACTAAAAAGCTAATTTAACCTTGGCATTTTTTGAAATGTTAGTCTGCTTTACACCTAGCTTAAAATACACCCTCCCTTACCTCTGTTCTTAGTTTGAGGTTTTGCACTGAGGCTCATGAGTTCGGCGCAGTTATGAAATACAAGAAAAAATTCACAGCTGCTGAGACTGTGGGTGGGATCCTCTCCCTCCATGAATTATTACCTCCAACTAAGCCACTGCCACTAGTGTAGAGAACACTAAAATCACTTAACTCCTAGGTAGCTTGCTGCCCTAGGGAGTTTTCAGCCCTAATTTAGGCACTCAGGTTCCCCCTCCATTGTATGAGGCCAGGTCTATACTACAGAATTGTGATCAGTATAACTGCTTTGCTCAAGGGGCGGCAAAAATCCATACCCAAGTGATGTAGTCATACCACCTTAACCCCCGCTGTTGGCAATACTATGTCAATGGTAGATCTTCTCCCATGGACACAATCCACCTCCCCTAGAGGCAGCAGCTACCTCCACTGACTGGAGAAGTGTCTTCACTACAGCTACACAGGTGCAGCTGAAGCACTGTACGTGAAGGCAAGCCCAAAGAAAGGGATTCTTAGAAGCCAGCCAGCTGAACAGGAGCAAAATGCAGAGTAAAGGGGCAGGGCCAGCTCCTCAAATGGATTTAGGCACTTAGCTTAATGGGAGTTGCACCCCATGGCACTTCCCTGAGGGCCCAAAGGAAAATGCCTACTGCTGCTCTGGCTTTTCAGCCATGAACATTCTTCTCCTGCAACTAGCTGCCGGTGCAAGGGAAGGAAAAATGAGACACTCGGCTCCCTTATAAGCAACAGCCCATGAGGTAGGGCACTCACTTTAGCAATTCCCCCAAGTGGTAGCTCAGCTGTCTTTTGGGGCAGGGGCCCACGCTCCAGGTGTGGTCAGGTCACATCTCTGGGATTGTTAGTAGACCCTAGTGGGCATGGAGGCGAGGAAACAAAGTCACACGGGGACTCAGTTGCTGGGCAGCCTCAGGACTTACAATTTAAAGAGAGGTTTCAGAGGAACAGCCGTGTTAGTCTGTATTCGCAAAAAGAAAAGGAGTACTTGTGGCACCTTAGAGACTAACCAATTTATTTGAGCATGAGCTTTCGTGAGCTACAGCTCACTTCATCAGATGTTTACCGTGGAAACTGTGCAGTTTCCACGGTAAACATCTGATGAAGTGAGCTGTAGCTCACGAAAGCTCATGCTCAAATAAATTGGTTAGTCTCTAAGGTGCCACAAGTACTCCTTTTCAATTTAAAGAGACACCAGCTATTTAGACTAGTCAGAGTCCCCATCTGTGGTGCTGAAGTCACCACCTTCAGAACCCTTCTGAAGTAGCAAGAGGTATCTTGATCTGGAAACTTTAGTGCGGTTAGCAGGAGTTTGAGGAGGGGAGGCTAAAAGACTGTCGTTTGATTCACTTTATTTCCGTAACTTCCCACAGATTCAGTAACTTCCCACAGGTTCAGAAACCTTAAAAAGGCAAAATTAATCCGAACAAAATATGCCCAGGTTCATTCTTCTGGCAAGTTTGATGCTGGTGTAATTCACCTACTTTAACATTTACTTTAGTGCACTTGCACTTTCTCTGCTTGCAATTAATTGTTAGAAAGATTAGTCAAAGAGGCACTGTAGAGAGGTACATTTAGGTTTTTGTTGTTGGGGGTTATATGGAGGAACATCTTAGAGAAAGTGCTGAGCAGGAAGGCTATTACTACAGTTAAAAGTACAGTTATTTTGGTACATACATACTATAATCTGAGGGCATCTAGACAATTGCTTTTTTGATCAAGGTTTGCCTGCCCCAAGAAGTTTCAAGTTCAAGTGTTTGTGAAAGTTACACTTCAAGCCTACAACTATGTCAGACTCAGTATTTATATTTGTCTTAGGGCACCGGCCAAAGTCAGCCATCATGGATTGCACTTTACAGAAGCCTGCTACTTCATGTATTTCAGCTTAAAACACTGCATTATATGCCACGCACCTGGTGTGAATTCAGAAGCCAGCTTCACCTTGTATAAACAGCAGAGTGCTTACAGGTATATTCTGGTAATGAAGCTGTGCATAAGTTGTCATGACATCACCCCAGCCACAAAATCAACATAGCTGCCCTTTTCGACCGTACCTGGATAAGAAGTGAACCTCTCCCTCAGTGCATGCAAGCAGCCGTTACCTTGCTCTCTGCTAAGGGAATTAAATGAACCACAATCAAAAAAAGTTGAAAGTAACTAAAATGGAGACACCACTGTTTTATTTCCATTCCCCCATTACACTATTAAAGAAAATATGAACATAACTTATCTGTAAGAATTGCATTATTGTTCAAATTTGAGAATGCAGCATTGTCAAATATTGACTATTTTATTACTATGATGTATATTATAAGTTTTCAACTTAATACAAAAAGGAATTGTTTAGTAAAGAAAATCAGATCTAGCCAGATTGTCTGTTGTTGAAAACAGTACATTGTGAGTCAGCACTTTTGTTGACTTTAGACCAAAGCCCCCTGATTAAGATATTTGCCTTTTTAAATTAATTCTAAACATTTCAATAGGTGGCTCAGTCACTTAATGGCATGGGAGCTGCCCTCAGGTTTCTTAGGCTACCAGGGGATCCTGGAAGTGAAGTGTGAGAGAGTCAATGATTTTCTCCTTAATATTGGAGAAATTTGTAACATCATAATGCCAGTTGGCAAGGCGGCAGCTCATCTTGCCAGATGGATAAGCTCTAGAACAGACAGCAATAGTGATCACGTGTAACAGAGGAAGGAAGCCTCATGTTTGTGGATGCAGATCCTCAAAACCCATCTGATCGGGTTCAGCAAGCAAGAAAGCCACTCAAATCCTGTGAGGCACCCAACCACCACCTAAATACACCTTGCAAACCAATCTTCATGGCATAGGGTCCATGAATGTGCCAAACTCACTGCTATAGAAATGCAGTCTCTCATTTTCAGTGCTTGTTTAGCAACAATACTTGTACATTATATACAGCAACACACAAGGACAGACTTGTTGCTCCCGATCCTTGCTCTTTAAAGACAATGAAAAAAAGCTTGTTAAAAACCAGACTCCGGGCTTATAAATAGTGCAGAGAAAGCAAATGCCAAGAAAACAATGCCTCCTATGATTGTCACTGAAAGGCAAAAAAGAAAAAAGTTAGATGTTGTACAGGTAAAAATAGCTTTAAAACAAGTTAAATTCATTTCTACCATGCCTCATGAGGGGTCCATTTTCATGGACTTGACTTCCACACCAATAAGTACAGTTCAGAGGTTATTTAAAATGCCTGAACGAGAAGTTATTTCTGGCTCATGCAGCACCCTGCCAAGGTGTCTCTTTTGTCATCCTACTGTCTAGCTGCACTGATGTAAATAAGGATACATTTTGACCCTTAAAATGAAACTTGGTTTTAACTCTATTATACATAAACCAGAATAAAATGCAGCCTGCTCCCCCAGAATTGAGAAGTTTTGGCTGACAGGAGTAAGAAAAAAAAAACAACCCTACTTTGCTCTACATTAAGGCAAAGGTGCGGTCACAAAGAGCAAATGTTGATGAGAGCCGCTAGCACAGTTCTCCAGATTATACCAGCACCGAAAATCTGACTTCAGAAACATTACAACTACAACTCCAGTGACCAGAGAAATCGTATCATGATGTTTCTCGGCAGCATCGTAAGTCACTATTTGCTGCTGAGATACTAACATTTCCTTGGCCAGTGTAAACAGGGGACTATCTAAGTTTCATGAATAGTGTTTACTTTTAAAATGTGTGCACGCTATTGCTGCAGAAATGAATTTTCTTGATGCGTCTTGTACCTTTTCCGGGGGTCAAGAAAGTACATTTGGAACAAGCTGTGGCCTGCTTCCAAGATGGGCATATCCCTGTTCGTCAAAACATTATAAAAACAAACACCCTCTATGCACAGCGGATACTCTGAAAAGTAGTTGTTCCACATGTACAATAGCTCTAAAAAACACTGACACACAGCTGGGATTTTTGGATAGCCTAACCCCCTTAATCCCCCTCCTTTGAAAGACCCAGCCTAAACTTCTAGACGGTGGAATCCCTGCTGCTGTTTGCCAGACAGCATACTTTGCGTTTCTTAGATGCTTAAGATTTTCTTCCACCTCCATACCCCAGGAGCTAAATTTATTTTTAAACCCCTGATATTGGAATTCAGTACCCACCTGAAACTCAAATCACAGTAAGAAGAGACTTGTTACATTACCAAACATGATTACGATTGCGCTCGTGGACTAAGTTCCTCCATAGCGCCAACAAGCACTAAGTTGCAAGGAATGCACAATCTCAGCTAGGCTGGTTCTACTTGCGGTGGCATGTAGGCTGTGTGTGCAGTGAAAAGTAGGCTGTGTCCACACTGTGGTGTGTAGCTCCACATGTCGTGGATAGACTCTGGCAACAGGGAGGCAGTGTGAAAATAGCAGCGATGGGGGAGGCACTGCTTGGGCAAGTAAAGAACCATGTAGGGTACATACCGCATGGTTCAAGTGTGTCTTCACTTTACTCCCCTACGCCATGCTTTGCCACGTACAGTGCTATTTATACCCATGCTGGGGGAACAAGCCATGTATGTATTCTACCTGCTGCTGGAAGAAGTGTGCGGTGTAGATATACCTTGAGAGCTCTCCTCTGCAGGAGGTACAGTCATGTGAAAGTCAGAGGATCAAGTCTTCACAGAAAGAGTGTGAGGTGGAAGTGACAAGTCCTAAAGGCAGCTATAAAAGCCTCCAGTGAGTTTCACAGCGTGACAATCAAAAATTAAGTTAAACACACTGATTTAAGCTCCTTCACATACCTTCTTTAGCATTAAAAAACACTGCCTTTAACTGCACCTCAAGTGCACATACCATCATTTTCATTCCGATGGTCCCTGAAGCCAGCTATAGTTATGTTGAGTATTTCTTTTTTCAGTTAGAATGAGATTTCACTTACCAGTCCTAACGGAAATTTTTTGTGCTATCATCCTTCCTCCAATAACTGCTAACCCAGTGCATAGACAGTGTCCCACTGTTCCTCCCACTGCCACACCGTAGGGATCCTATGCAAACACAAACGATCAACATTAGCACAGTTGAAAACCTACAAGGCTCATGTCTACCAGGAAAAAAATTATGCTTTCCTAGTTTGCTGCAAGGCAAGGTTACCCCAGAGAATATCACCAACCCCCCTGAGGGGTTTTGCATGGCTCAATAGCAGTTGTTTCCTACAATACTGAGGAACAGTCACAAATGAAAAAGACTTAAAATCTGATAAATCAGGAGCAGCCTATTATGGCACTTTTCAACCATCTTTAAGTGGTTTAACACAGACCCAGAATTCACTCTGTTTACCCACCACTGAAAAGCAGCCACCTCTAGCGTGGAGGCTGACAGCTGGCTAGAAGCAAAGCAACACTACACAATTAGAAGAACACTAACTCAAAAGTTAAGAAATGTCAAACTGAAACTGTAAAGAGGAACTTATGGTAGTCAGAGCACATGCTAGTTACCAGAAGTATTTTGTCAAGGTCCATGAGGCCAATGCACCCACTCTTTAGAGGCCACTCAAAGAAGTATGAAATCAGAGGGACTAGGACTGGAAATATAGGTACCAAATTTTAGCCTAGATGGAAACTGCTATTCTATTCTAGGTTTACCAGCAGTTACAACCGTAACATCACTGGACGAAGTTTTCAACTGCATAAAACCACTTTACAAAGTTGAAGGCTTTAGAGCTGTTATTTTTGTTAAAAAGGTTACTGGAAGGGTAAATAAAAAGACATGACAATTGCTCTGCTATAGAGAATAAACACAGCGGTAACCGTTACATAGCTTCTCAAGGTATCCTCCCCTTCTGTCTTACCTTCTTACAGTAGTCGGGAATATAACTAACAATCCTAGACTGTTTTAACACCAAAAATGACTTGGGGAAATCTTCAAAAGGCAAAAGCAGCAGCTGGGTGCCTAACTGTCATTTGTACTTTTGAAACTTTTTGTACTTCCTCTAGGAAGAAAAGGCGTTAGATCTCTCAACAGAGGGAACAAGAAATGACAGTATTTCTTCCCTACAAGGAATGCATGGGGAGGGGAGGAGGGGAGAGTCTCTAGAAAGCAAAGAGAAGAAAAAGTAAATTCAGGGAAACATCAGACCCAGAAAGGGAGTAGATTGGGACTAGCTAGGCAAGGAGACTAGGACAAGGATTCATGGAGATGTAGAAAGCAACTGATGGGACAAGGAGCCCAGAGTGGGGGAGACAGGTACAGGCAAGGCAAGGGAGAACTGGATTGGGATGAGGAGCCCTGGGTGCAGAAGAGACAAGACAGGGAAAGGTTGGAGGGGACAAGACAAAAAGGGGTCACATATAGGGGGAGGGAATGGGCAAAAGGGACTGTGCTCACTAGAGCACACTCCCCTCCAGACTGGAATGGAACCCAAAATTCTTGAGTCTCACCAGTCCTCTGCTGTCAGCAAATCTGTGAAACCCTCTGGCAATATACTTCATACGCAGCTAGTGCTGGTACACAGAAGATGACAACCTACTACTGCTATCAGTTACTCTGCTAGCTCAAGTGGCAGAGGTTTGTGTGGTGTATCTAAAGGCTCCAACCCTGCTAATGACCCATGTGGGTGTCAATGTCATGCTACATGATGGATTTGGTTTTTTTCCAGTTTGTTTTTAAAACCTAGGAAATTGTACATAAAAGTTACTTTTACAATACAGTAAGTTCCAGAGTTAAGCATTCAAAAGTTAGGAATGCCAAACTTCAGGTTGCCTGAGACACCTTAATTTAGCATTATGATTATTTTGACAGGTTTCAGAGTAGCAGCCGTGTTAGTCTGTATTCGCAAAAAGAAAAGGAGTACTTGTGCCATCTTAGAGACTAACAAATTTATTTGAGCATAAGTTTCCGTGAGCTACAGCTCACTTCATACATAATCAGTCTAGTTACATGATCACAGAATGCCTGCCTCTTTCAGTGCCCAGAATAGATAGGGTTCACTTAATGAGGGGCTACTCAATATTTTGTTTTCTCCTCATTTTTCAAATACTATCTGAACATATCTGAATACATATTTGAACACTCCACACTATTCAAACCGTGATCTGATGACAGAATTATTAATTTTCTCATGTGCTTTTCTATGGCACTCATCACTATGGTATTGGAGTCCTTTGCAAACATTAACTGACTTACCCTCGCAACACCCCTGTGCGGGAGGAACTATGAGGCAGAGTGTGTACAAGGTCAAAAGTATCCAGTAATTTTGGGTGTCCAACTTGAGACTTCAAGACCTGATTAAATTTAGCATTATATAGCACTTTACATATTCAAACCATAGCTCCCATTGACTTTAGTTGCAGTTGTGAGCACTCAGCACTTCTGCAAATCAGACCCCAGGATCTCAAGATGAGTACCTGGAAAGTTAGAAACACAATTAGTGACCACCTGTGAAAAGTTTTGTTTAAGCTATTTGTCCAGCATCACACAGGAACTCTGTGCAGAGGCAGGGATAGAACCAAATCTTCCAGGAAATCACTAAATTGCCTTAACCATGAGACCATCCTTTCTCTTCTGGCAGTCCCCTGCCTCATTCACTATACATCTTCCAACTTCTGTAACAAAGGAAGCAAGGGTCCCGAGACAATAGCTTCCTCCATTACACAAGCTTGCAGGTCTTGGGAGTCTCAAATTGGACACCAAATATTCATGGATACTTCTGATCTTAAACTTTCTGTCTCATAGGGGTGTTGTAAAGATAGTCAGGGTTTGTGAAATACTCATCTCCAGGCCAGATCCATCCTGTGGCCAGGGGCCTGTGGAAAAATAGTATGCAATAATGTAATTAAATACTATCGGAATGCATACGCAGAAAGAGGACAAATTAAGGTTGCACACCCCACCTTTGTTCTGGTAGTTCCTACCACCTTCCGAGTGCTTGATTTTGCAAGCCTAACGTTTGTGTGTGTAATATGAATATATAATAGAAAAGAGAAACGCAACATCTTTCCCTCTCCATTTCCAACAGGCCAGAAGCTTAACTGGATTCCCCTTCTCATTGTCTTTCTTGCTTTAGCAGCACTGTTGATGTCAATCGATAGAAATAGCATTTTAATGCTTATTTTTCAGAGCAGCTCACAATTAATAGCGGTACATATAATAAGATAATGCATTTTTGTTTCTTAGAATCCATCAGCTTTTAACAGTTTTAAGGATTGATCAAATTACAAGTTCCTCTTTAAAGCTATAAATAGTTTTAACAGCAATATCTGCTTAGCCTGACATTTTCAAAAAGGTTTCTTAAATGATTGTCATGTTGTTCCAAGCAATAACCATCTCTTATGCTGTACAGCTGGAGAGAGAAACAGCTTTCCAGAAATGACACTTGCAGTCCCAAACCATGCAGCAAACAATATAACTGTATCTTTAGAGGGAGACTGTACAGCAATAGCACCTCAGGTGTTGAGGATGCATAGAAATAACCACACTGCCTTCAGATTCATGCATCCATATGCTCCCAGCATTAATTGGGTATATCTAATAAACTACAAAGAAGAATCTGATGTGCTGATGAAGGATATACCATCTGTCTCTCCACCTCATCTGCTGCCAATATTAAAAAAAGGACAAAAGAACAGTGGGCATTTTGTATCAATCACACTCACCTCTCTTGCTGCCAGGACTATTGTTGTCAATTGAGAGCGATCACCCCATTCTGCTACGAACGTTAAAGTAAAAGCTTGAACAAAAATTGGAGAAATAAAATGCAGCCACTTCTTCTGAGGTATATTTGTGCCTGTCCCTGTTTCCACATCTCCTGGCCCATTTAACAGTTTCGTTCTCTGGAACTGGAAACGAAAACAAGAAGTCCATCAGAAGAACTGAAATATTATCCAACTATCCCAATGCAAATACTGCTCAAATGTAAACCCAATAATTTAATATCCAGGACAGTTAGACTTTGAACAATAAACTTAGCTGTTGAATATAACGTACTGCCTACCACCAAGGTTACCTACAATTTACATATCTACACTTACTCTTTTCCTCCAGGTTACTGTCTGCCTCAAAGCTGTGCAACTGCACATTTAGACAATCCAAATATTTAGCTCCTACTACAAATGTGCGAAGTAGGCAGAAACATAGGACAAGCATTTTAAAGCAGGAAAAATAGTTTATTTTAGAAAATGATACATAATGAGTTGTTACGCTATTTTTAATTATACTGAGAAGAAACGGATTGCATTATTATGGTGATAAATGGTGGTGGGAGAGGGGAAGACAGTAAAATTAGTGACAAGAATACTAAATGAAATAAAACTAATGCTCCAGATAAATTGTATTAACTGTATTCTTTACAGCTGCAGTATTCTGCTTAAGTTACATCCACAAGGACACCTGCAACAACACTAGCTTCAGTATTACTCTACCTAACGGTTATAAATAAAAGCAGCAGCAATGGTAGCTGTCAACACTCCGGCTGGCAAAGCCCAAGGTGAAAGAGATACATATTTCAAGCATGAATTCTATGAAGAGGCAGTTCACTTCTCTCTCCCACCTCAAAATGTAGCCATATAGCTGAGAATTACAGCCAGCTGTTAAAACAGTCTCTAGGAAATTAGCAGAGGGGGCATTCTGTTATGTGGTCCCATGGTGAAGAGGGACATTTCTGCCTGTTTTCATGTTATTGTTAACCACACATTTGTTGACTCAGACTCATAATACACATGTATACAGCTGAGCAACCTGCATGCACGCTCTTCCTTAATTGTGCAACTTAACTGGCCTAAGTGTTTCATTAGTCATCACTTCTAGCTACTTTATGACTTACTTCTTCATCTTTTTTCTTGATTTCTGCTTGAACTTCCTCCAGCTCCTCCTGACCCTCATCTGGGCTCATCTTCAAGCCTTCCCGAAGCATTCTGATGCCAAAAATTGCAAACAGTGCAGTTGACGCATAGTATGTGTACACTCGGGGGATAACTGTGGTGGCATAGCCAAATAAAACTGAAAGAAAATAAGTTATGTTAAATAATACCAAGATGACCATTGATATTGTTACTATTTGTAAGTGCTGCTCCTTAGCAAAGTTCACTGTTCAGAGACCTATTACAGAACATTCAAACACTTTGTTTTCCTGTATTCTGAACTATAGAGCATCGTATTGGTGGCTATGATAAATTGCTGTGACAGCAGCCTTTGGAGCTGCTCTAACTTACACTGAGGGCAGTACCAGCCCAGAATCCCAGAGATGTCTAAAGTTACCTTCCCCTCCCAGACCCTGGCTACTTTTTCTGAGTACTGCACAGAAAAAGCACCACAGAACCTGGCCCTTAATCTCATTTACACCTACAGAGCAGTATGTAAGCAAAAGTCCAAGAGTCCAACTTATATCAATATACATGTTGGGCCCCTCTGTCTTCAACTAAAGAATGGAGTTATAAGATCCCATTGCATTTACTTTGAAAGGCATAAAATTTAATACTAGAAGAGATGACAGCTCTTAAAGCTGTATAGAAAAGAATCATTAACAAATCCTGCATACCTGCTGCATTCATTTTCACTTTGGTTAAGATTTAAGAATGACAGACTATATACATACAATTAATCAGTGAATTCTGAGAAAGGCAGCAAAGAATTCTAACCTGATAAGCATGTCATCAGTCCTAAGGCAAGCATGGCACCAGCCATTACAGTCAAACGATTATAACGCATTGCCATGATGGCTGCAATAAAGAAGGTCTTATCCCCCAGCTCCGACACAATGATGACTGATATGGCAGCCACAAAAGCATGAATAAACCCCAAATTAGTTTTATCAGCAGATTCTTCACTGATAAGATGAACTGGAGGAACTGGCGTGGGCCATTTCTGTAAAAGAAGAAAATGATTGCTTAAGATTGAACATTTAACTCCCAAAAGAATTCAACTCTAGTTTTCTCCTACTGCAAACCATTATGGTCTCACACCTTTTATTAGAATATTTTCAAGTTGGATTATTGAAGTTTTCCTTCCATCAGAACCTTTTAACTACGACTGACTGCCACCCATCTGGGACTATAGTGATCAGTCATTAACCTATGATATCCTGCTATGATTAATAATGAAATACCTTTGTACAGATTATATTACTTAGGTACAGCGATCACTATCACAGTAAATGGAAGGTACACTCAAGTCACTGCAATTTACAATACATGGCTCTTCCTAATATTTTGGCAGATCAGCGAAGCAAGCAGTTTTCGAGTTACTGTATTACATCTAATACTTAAGCGTCCATAGTATTTTAGCACAAGGGTAAAGCTTCTTAACATTTAAGCACAATCAGGTATAGCTTTCTTCTCTTCCTTCCAAAATTCTATTATCTATGCCATAGTGAAGTTTGATACAAGTGTTATTTTACTGCCATCATAAGTGCAGTGCCCTATTTTTGAAAGAATAAAGAGGTTTCTAGTGAGCTCATGCACACTATTTATTTCCCTTGCGCAGACCACTTGAGATTTCATTAATAAAAGAAATCTGAATTTTGCAAAAAAAAAAAAAAAAAAGAAAGAGAGAGCCAGAACATAGAAGTTAAAACATACAGTGAAGTAAATAAAAAGTTGTTCACATTTCAGCAAAAAGCTGGTTAGAACGGTCAGTTTTAATGTATCAATCGTGATAGACTACACTACATTTAATAAATAAAAGTGGTTAATCATCTTTTCCAGAACCAAGTCTTTCTAATCTCCCTTAAAATCCTGCACACAGCCATTTACATTTAAAGCTCATGCTTCACACTGTAGGGACTAAAAAGCACACATTACTAATACTTTCCCCAACTGGTTGGCAGCTAGAACCAGCCGACCGAACCAAGAACCGTGAAGTTATCTAAACAAGTTTGAATGTTACAACATTTAAGACATTAATCCTAATTTTCAGAACTGAAAGATATTAAAAGCTAGTAATGAGTTTCAATTTAAGGCAAAATATGCTTTCCTTTTGTTTACGTCAAGACCTGGAGAAGTCAGTTCCCCATTCACTAGCATGTAAGCAAACAAGCTGTCATCAGATGAATGCTTTCAGACTAAGGGTACGTCTTCACTACCCGCATCGATCTATCAGGGATCAATTTATCACGTCTCGTCTAGATGCAATAAATCGATCCTCGAATCAACGCCTGTACTCCACCTCGGCAGGAGAAGTAAGCGGAGTCAACGGGGGAGCCGCAGCGGCCGACTCACCGCCATGAGGACGGCCAGGTAAGTCGAACTAAGATATGCAACTTCAGCTATGCTACTTAGGTAGCTGAAGTATCTTAGTTCGAACCCCACCCCAGTGTAGCCCAGGCCTAAGTTATCTTACTTTTTGTGGTCATGTTTTGCTGTTCATTTTATCAAATGCCAAATCCCCAGCTCAATGTTCCATGTTAGGTAGACCAATTTCTAGCAAATAAAATTCCACCCCATATTTATCCCTCCGCTCCAGCCTACAGGCTCCTTTGTTGCATCTCATGATCATCCCATTCTGGGGTTTCAGCCATCACTTGTCAACTCTTACAGAAAGAGCTATAGCAGAAATAGTCCCAACACTCAAATAAACTATGGTGAACTAAACCCTGGTCTACACTAGGACTTTAGGTCGAATTTAGCAGCGTTAAATCGATGTAAACCTGCACCCGTCCACACAATGAAGCCCTTTATTTCGACTTAAAGGGCTCTTAAAATTGATTTCCTTACTCCACCCCTGACAAGTGGATTAGCGCTTAAATCGACGTTGCCGGCTCGAATTTGGGGTACTGTGGACACAATTAGATGGTATTGGCCTCCGGGAGCTATCCCAGAGTGCTCCATTATGACCGCTCTGGGCAGCACTCTCAACTCAGATGCACTGGCCAGGTAGACAGGAAAAGAACCGCGAACTTTTGAATCTCATTTCCTGTTTGGCCAGCGTGGCAAGCTGCAGGTGACCATGCAGAGCTTATCAGCACAGGTGACCATGATGGAGTCCCAGAATCGCAAAAGAGCTCCAGCATGGACCGAACGGGAGGTACGGGATCTGATCGCTGTTTGGGGAGAGGAATCCGTGCTATCAGAACTCCGTTCCAGTTTTCGAAATGCCAAAACCTTTGTCAAAATCTCCCAGGGCATGAAGGACAGAGGCCATAACAGGGACCCGAAGCAGTGCCGCGTGAAACTGAAGGAGCTGAGGCAAGCCTACCAGAAAACCAGAGAGGCGAACAGCCGCTCTGGGTCAGAGCCCCAAACATGCCGCTTCTATGATGAGCTGCATGCCATTTTAGGGGGTTCAGCCACCACTACCCCAGCCGTGTTGTTTGACTCCTTCAATGGAGATGGAGGCAATACGGAAGCAGGTTTTGGGGACGAAGAAGATGATGATGAGGAGGAGGTTGTACATAGCTCACAGCAAGCAAGCGGAGAAACCGGTTTTCCCGACAGCCAGGAACTGTTTCTCACCCTAGACCTGGAGCCAGTACCCCCCGAACCCACCCAAGGCTGCCTCCTGGACCCAGCAGGCGGAGAAGGGACCTCTGGTGAGTGTACCTTTTAAAATACTATACATGGTTTAAAAGCAAGCATGTGAAAGAATTACTTTGCCCTGGCATTTGCGGTTCTCCTAGATGTAGTCCTAAAGCCTTTGCAAAAGGTTTCTGGGGAGGACAGCCTTATTGCGTCCTTCATGGTAGGACACTTTACCACTCCAGGCCAGTAACACGTACTGGAATCATTGTAGAACAAAGCATTGCAGTGTATGTTTGCTGGCATTCAAACAACATCCGTTCTTTATCTCTCTGTGTTATCCTCAGGAGAGTGAGATATAATTCATGGTCACCTGGTTGAAATAGAGTGCTTTTCTTCAGGGGACACTCAGAGGAGCCCATTCCTGCTGGGCTGTTTGCCTGTGGCTAAACAGAAATGTTCCCCGCTGTTAGCCACAGGGAGGGGGGAAGGTTGAGGGGGTAGTCACGCGGTGGGAGGAGGCAAAATGCGACCTTGTAACGAAAGCACATGTGCTATGTATGTAATGTTAACAGCAAGGTTTACCCTGAAAGAGTGTAGCCACTGTTTTATAAAATGTGTCTTTTTAAATACCGCTGTCCCTTTTTTTTTCTCCACCAGCTGCATGTGTTTCAATGATCACAGGATCTTCTCCTTCCCAGAGGCTAGTGAAGCTTAGAAAGAAAAAAAAACGCACTCGCGATGAAATGTTCTCCGAGCTCATGCTGTCCTCCCACACTGACAGAGCACAGACGAATGCGTGGAGGCAAATAATGTCAGAGTGCAGGAAAGCACAAAATGACCGCGAGGAGAGGTGGCGGGCTGAAGAGAGGGCTGAAGCTCAAATGTGGCGGCAGCGTGATGAGAGGAGGCAGGATTCAATGCTGAGGCTGCTGCAGGACCAAACCAGTATGCTTCAGTGTATGGTTGAGCTGCAGCAAAGGCAGCTGGAGCACAGACTGCCACTGCTGCCCCTCTGTAACCAACCGCCCTCCTCCCCAAGTTCCATAGCCTCCACACCCAGACGGCCAAGAACGCAGTGGGGGGGCCTCCGGCCAACCAGCTACTCCACCACAGAGGATTGCCCAAAAAAAAGAAGACTGTCATTCAATAAATTTTAAAGTTGTAAACTTTTAAAGTGCTGTGTGGCATTTTCCTTCCCTCCTCCACCACCCCTCCTGGGCTACCTTGGTAGTCATCCCCCTATTTGTGTGATGAATGAATAAAGAATGCATGAATGTGAAGCAACAATGACTTTATTGCCTCTGCAAGCGGTGATTGAAGGGAGGAGGGGCGGGTGGTTAGCTTACAGGGAAGTAGAGTGAACCAAGGGGCGGGGGGTTTCATCAAGGAGAAACAAACAGAACTTTCACACTGTAGCCTGGCCAGTCATGAAACTGGTTTTCAAAGCTTCTCTGATGCGTACCGCGCCCTCCTGTGCTCTTCTAACCTCCCTGGTGTCTGGCTGCGCGTAACCAGCAGCCAGGCGATTTCCCTCAACCTCCCACCCCGCCATAAACGTCTCCCCCTTACTCTTACAGATATTGTGGAGCACACAGCAAGCAGTAATAACAGTGGGAATATTGGTTTCACTGAGGTCTAAGCGAGTCAGTAAACTGCGCCAGCACGCCTTTAAACGTCCAAATGCACATTCTACCACCATTCTGCACTTGCTCAACCTGTAGTTGAACAGCTCCTGACTACTGTCCAGGCTGCCTGTATACGGCTTCATGAGCCATGGCATTAAGGGGTAGGCTGGGTCCCCAAGGATACATATAGGCATTTCAACATCCCCAACAGTTATTTTCTGGTCTGGGAATAAAGTCCCTTCCTGCAGCTTTTGAAACAGACCAGAGTTCCTGAAGATGCGAGCATCATGCACCTTTCCCGGCCATCCCACGTTGATGTTGGTGAAACGTCCCTTGTGATCCACCAGAGCTTGCAGCACTATCGAAAAGTACCCCTTGCGGTTTATGTACTCGGCGGCTTGGTGCTCCGGTGCCAAGATAGGGATATGGGTTCCGTCTATAGCCCCACCACAGTTAGGGAATCCCATTGCAGCAAAGCCATCCACTATGACCTGCACATTTCCCAGGGTCACTACCCTTGATATCAGCAGATCTTTGATTGCGTGGGCTACTTGCATCACAGCAGCCCCCACAGTAGATTTGCCCACTCCAAATTGATTCCCAACTGACCGGTAGCTGTCTGGCCTTGCAAGCTTCCACAGGGCTATCGCCACTCGCTTCTCAACTGTGAGGGCTGCTCTCATCTTGGAATTCATGCGCCTCAGGGCAGGGGAAAGCAAGTCACAAAGTTCCATGAAAGTGCCCTTACGCATGCGAAAGTTTCGCAGCCACTGGGAATCGTCCCAGACCTGCAACACTATGCGGTCCCACCAGTCTGTGCTTGTTTCCCGAGCCCAGAATCAGCGTTCCACAGCATGAACCTGCCCCATTAGCACCATGATGCATGCATTGGCAGGGCCCATGCTTTCAGAGAAATCTGTGTCCATGTCCTGATCACTCACGTGACCGCGCTGACGTTGCCTCCTCGCCCGGTATCGCTTTGCCAGGTTCTGGTGCTGCATATACTGCTGGATAATGCGTGTGGTGTTTAATGTGCTCCTAATTGCCAAAGTGAGCTGAGCGGCCTCCATGCTTGCCTTGGTATGGCGTCCGCACAGAAAAAAGGCGCGGAACGATTGTCTGCCGTTGCTCTGACGGAGGGAGGGGCGACTGACGACACGGCTTACAGGGTTGGCTTCAGGGAGCTAAAATCAACAAAGGGGGTGCCTGTACATCAAGGAGTATTTCAGGCAGGACTTCACGGAGGGTTCCAATAAGAAATGGTGCACCTAAGTTATTGTTCTTATTGGAACAAGGAGGTTAGCCTGGCCTCTGATTGATACATGGCTAGATTTACCTCGCTGCACCTTCTCTGTGAGTGACTGCAGTGTGATCTAGAGGAATGAGTCCCCTAGACAGGGGAGGAGGCAAATGAGTACAAAACAAATCTGGTCTATTTCTTGTTTTGATCCACTCCATCTATCTTTTACATCTTTGGCTGGCAGCAGACGGTGCAGAAGGACTGCATGCCATCCACATCTCATGGCTGCTCGGCAGAAGATGGTACAGTACGACTGCTAGCCATCCTCATCTCTTGCCTGCCTGGCAGAAGATGGTACAGTACGACTGCTAGCAGTCCGTATCGCCTGCCCGCTCACCATAAGACGGTTCAATAGGACTAACTGCAGGACTAAAGAGAATGACCTGGTCAAGTCACTCCAAATTTAGTCCCTGCGCCCATGTCTGCCCAGGCGCTCCCAGCCGACGTGGCCAGGAGCACCTCGGACACGACGAGGACGACTACCAGTCGTATTGCACCGTCTGCTGCCAGAAGGCAATGGGTTGCTGCTACTGTGCAGCAAAGCCGTACCGCGTCTGCCAGCACCCAGGAGACATAGGGTGACGGTTACCTGAGCGGGCTCCATGCTTGCAGTGGTATGGCGTCTGCACAGGTAACTCAGGAAAAAAGGCGCGAAATGATTGTCTGCCCTTGCTTTCACGGAGGGAGGGAGGGAACGGGGGCCTGACGATATGTACCCAGAACCACCCGCGACAATGTTTTAGCCCCATCAGGCATTGGGATCTCAACCCAGAATTCCAATGGGCAGTGGAAACTGCGGGAACTGTGGGATAGCTACCCACAGTGCAACGCTCCGGAAGTCGACTCTAGCCTCGGTACTGTGGAAGCGCTCCGCCGAGTTAATGCACTTAGAGCATTTTCTGTGGGGACACGCACACTCGAATATATAAAACCGATTTCTAAAAAACCGACTTCTATAAATTCGACCTTATTCCGTAGTGTAGACATACCCATAAAGTACCTAATTCTTTAGAGTGATGCATTAACAAATTTAACTTGAATATCAAGATTAAGGAGTCAAGTTTTGTTGGCTAAAGGTTCAAGTTTCTTGCACACTGTTTCGCTCTTTGCATACTGTACGTGCCTCCGCCTGTCAGCCCAACATACCAATGAATATGAAGTCAACAACTGGAGGTGGAGACAAGGAGCAAAGAGAAATTTTCCCGGAGTTAAAGAAAACGTTTACCAGCAACATACTTAGCATTATTTAGATTGCTATAATGTCCAAAATATACTAGACACTTCCTGAACACTGCCCTAATCTCTGCCCTCAAGACAATCCAGTTCAAGGTATTTAGGGAGATTTTCAGAGGCACAAATAGGAGTTAGGCACCTAACTGCTCTTTGTGCCATTGAAAGTCTCCCCTTTCAGCAGTAAATGTTGACAAACCTAACAGTTTATATCCCTGTACAGATTCAGGTGTTCCTTAAGGACAGATTAGCTTTACCTCAATAACCTATTCCTTCTTAGGCTTCAAGATTCCCATAAGAGTTGCTTTAAAAAAAACAAAGCAAACCACTGCTGTTCAGCCAGATGGAAATTACCACCTTTCCATTTCTGAAAGCATTACTGTATAGTCAGAGAGACTTGATAAGTCTGGGAAAGAATAAGAGGACAGATGATTGTGATAACAAGCCATGACCGGAGGTCTGGGTCTGAAGTGACTCCTCAACAAGCTGTAGATGAAATCTTCATTAGCTCTTGCAGGCCTTTGGGGAAAGGTCTGGCTTTAAACTTTATTAGCCTAGGAATACAATAAAGACAGTATTTTTCCATTCATTTTTCATTCCTCACTAGCATTTATCCCTGTCTTCCCAAACTCTTCACCTCTATCCACTTTGCTGCATCAACTGTTTTCCTCTTGCAGTTTGGTCTTGCTCCTTCCCCTTCCTCTCTGCATTTTAGCCTACACTGTTCATATTCTCTCTACTTCCCCCTTTCTTCTGCCCTCACAGTGTCAAGTATGGAAATACTAAGTGGCTTCTATAGTTCCTCCTAAATCACATGGTCAAAGTAAGTACTCACTAAGCAGTACTGTCCTTGATTAACTGATGGTCGGTATTAAATGATCCAGAACACGTGGAATAAACATGACACATTTCAATAGTTAAAGTATAAGACGCTAGTACGTTTGCATGAATGACTTCCCCTTTGTTGTTCATTTGTAGCCATTAGAACTTTGCTTCAACATACATGCTGGGATCTAGTTAACCAGCCTATCGCTTCAGGAAGGTGAGCCATCTTTATTCAGAGAGGAACAAAATCCACTTTTAATTCAGTGCCGTGCACAGGGTATCTTCTCTGTCCATTGCCGGACTCCCCACTGCCGTCAGAAAGGCCAAGGGAATACAGCCCTTTACGCTGCAATTAAGTTTAATCACGTGTTATTAGTTAGGTATTCTATTAATCAAGGTTAACTTGGCAGCCACATGGGCTAAACGCCTTTTTCTTTAGATTAAAGCTTGGATGCTGCAGAACCACCCTAGGACACATACCCAAGAGCGCTCAGCAGGCGGGGGAGGCGACACCAAGCCACGGCAGGCTGGAGACACCCGACACTCGCCCCCAGGCCGGGGGTCTGCCCCCACCGCCCACCCCGAACTCATCCACCCCGTGCCGGGTGCTGTGCGACAGGCGGCCCGAGGTCTCCCCAGCCAGCACCGCCCAGGACGCTGCCGTAGGGCTCCGGGCGGCGGCCTCCGGGCACCGAGGAGAGGGAGCGGGGGGCACCCTCTCCCCACTCACACAGCCCCCGCCTCACCTCGGCCCGGGCCGGATCTAGCCCCTGCACCGCGGGCTGCGGCTGCTGCTGCTGTGGCGGCGCCGGCGGCTCCTTGTTCCGGCCGGTCTCTTCCTCCAGGGCGGCGCGCAGCCCGGCGGGCGCGGCCAGAAGCATCAGCAACAGCAGCGCGGCGGCCCGGCAGGACGCTCGGCCCCCCGCTGCCTCCGGGCCCCGCCGGCCGCCCCCCGGCTCCATCCCGGCCTGCGACTCGCGGAGCGGCCCCAGCTCGACCTGACCCCGCAGCGGAAACCTAGCGGCGCCGCGCCATGGCCGTTCCGGGTGAGGACGGGCCGATCCCCGCAGCCGCCTCAACCGCCTCCCGCAGCGGCCGCCAGCAAGTCCCAGCGCGCGGGCGGAGGAAGGGCAGGAAGGGCTCACAACAGAAGCGCCGCCTCCAGCGCGCCGAGCAACCGAACACGCCCCCACCTGCCAGCCCGCCCTCCTGCAGCTGCTCCCCTGATTGGCTGCGATCGCCCTCACGACGTGCCAGCGTCAGAGCGCGGAGCTGACAGGTTAGGCTGAGCCACGCTGCTCCACTTTTAGGCTAAGGAGGAACCGGTGTTATGTGAGACGTGCGATCTTGTGACGCCCCAATGTCCCGCCCCCTTCCTCCAGTGTCTGCCTGTGGACGCTTGACGTGTCCTTCCCATGAGCCTGCTGCCCTAGCAACGCGCTGCCCAGCCCTTGTGCCCCGTGCGAAGGGAGTGGGAGGGGCAAAAGAGCGAGGCTCCCGAGCGGCGTTACGGCCCCTCGCGCGGGGCCCGCGGCGCTGTCTCCCTCTCGCTGGGCGGGAGGCCGCTCGGAGAGCAGCGCGGGCCGTGCGGGAGTCACCGCCGCAGGGGGCGGGCCGCGAGCGGCCGGGGGAGGAAGCCGGCTTTGTAGGGAGTTCGGACTCCCAGCGCGGGGGGGAAAGGGAGGGAGGGAGGCAGGCGCCCCAGGTCAAGGCAGCTCATGGCCCCGCTGCAGGTGCCGCTCCACCTAGCTAGGGCGAGCTGGCTCCATAGCTCGGGGGTTAGGACATTGGCTTCATAAACACAAGGCCAAGCTGCCTGGGCAGCGCTTTCTGGCTGGGGCTCTTAGTGGCTCCCTGACTGACCCTCGCTCCCATCCCTGTTTCCTCATTTGTTGCCCCCCACACTTGCAGGGTGGGGGGAAGAGTCAATAGGTGTGCATGGCCCGGCAGCTGCAGCCAGTGCTGCTGGAACCACCAAGAGCATTCGAGGGACCAGCCAGGAGCTGTCGGGTGCCTTAGTGTTAACAGCATCCCAGACAGCCAAGTACAAATGCACTCCGTTTATAGGAATTACTGATATAAGAATCAGCCACATACAGTGATCAAAACCACTGGGACAAAATCATACCTGTACTAACCATGCTAAAATATTCCGATTTTAAGAATCAAGCAGTCCACTTAAAAGGATCATTTTGAGGCAAACTGACTACTTGTAATACAATAATCAAGTGCAATGACACGTAATAAGCTAATAAAGCTGTTTTGAATTTGATGACATCTTGCATTACTAGGCATGTAGTGTGTCTGAAGTACAATCCCAGTGTAGAAACAAGATGTGCCATTTATGTGTGAGTCAACATGTCAGGAAAAAGAAAGATGCTTTTTGCAGATGAAAAATGCCACCTTCTGGAGTCCTACAATAGTCTTCCCAAAACCAGCCAAAGAGAAGCAGCTCAGAAATTGGGAATTCCACAACCTGCATTGTCTAAGATTCTCAAAGCCAGGGAGAGCATCATACAAAATGAAGGAGACAGAAAAAGAATGAGGTCAGGCAAGGAACTTGGGGTTGAGGTGGCCCTTATAAAATGGATCAGAGATGCCAGAGAGAGATATACCCCCTAAATGGACCATTGGTGATGCAAAAAGCAGAAGAACTGGCAGCAGCCCTGGGCGTTCCTGACTTCAAGGCCAACACTGGCTGATTTGAGCTCTTTAATAAAACAAGAGGGGATTGTTTTTAAGAAAATACCTGGAGAAGCCAAAGATGCAGACATTAGGGTACATGAAGAATAGTTAGAAAACGAGTAGATTGAAACAAGACAGGACTTTGCTAAAAAAGACATTTGGAATGCAGATGAAAGTAGAATTTACTTACAAGCTCTGTCTGATGGCACACTCATCTTTAAATCAGACAATAAAAGAGGAGGAAAGAAGTCTAAAGGAAGAATTACTGCTCAGTTCACTGGTTCCATGATGGGTATGAAAAGACCTCATCACCAGGAAAAGTCAAAATCTACAGTGTTTGAAAAAATGTGAGACATCTTGCAGCCGCTATCCTGCCAATGCATCTGCTTGGATGACAGGTATCTAGTGGCTGAATGACTGGGATCGAAATTTGGGCCAGGAAAGGAGAAAGATTTTGCTACTTGTGGACAACTGCATAGCCCACATGATGAAAGATGTAGCACTGAGGAATATCCAACTTGAATTTCCTCCCAAAGTCCACAACTTCTATCCTTCAGCTATGTGATCAGGGAATGATCAGAACTGCCAAGTTGTACTTTCGCAAGCAAATGGCTCTCAGGGTCAGCAGGTTTGTATAATTTTTGATGGAGCCCAGAACGGGTCCAAGTCCTGTCCCCCCGCCACACACACGCACACCTGCCTAAGGCTCTGGGAGGGAGTTTGGGGTGCAGGCTCTGGGCTGGGCAGGGGATTGGGATGCAGGAGGGGTGTGGGGTGCAGGCTCTGGGAGAGAGTTTGGGTGTGGGAGGGGTGCAGGCTCTGGAAGGGTGTTTGGGCGCAGGCTCTAAGCTGGGACAGAGGGTTAGGGTGCGGGAGGAGGTGCGGGGGGTGGGCCTGGGTCAGGGATGAGGAGTTTGGTGTGCAGCAGGCAGGCTGCCCTAGGGCTGGGGCAGGGAGCCAGAGAGGAGGCTTCCCCCCAACCCTGCCCGGCACGACACTCACCCAACCCCCGCCCCGGCTGTTGCTCAGGAGGTCCAGCCAGGATAAGCCCCCCCCACCACCACCATCAGAGTTGCTGCCATGCGCCTCCTCCCTCCACACGTGCAGCGGCCGCCTCAGCCTACCCCCGGTGCCGCTCCCTTGTAGCTGGCAGCGGACGGCAAGGGAGTGCAGCACGGAGCTGCAGGGGGCAGCCGCCCACTGCCCAGGGCAGGCAGGGACGCTCAGGGGCAGCAGGTGGGGCCGGGGGATACTTGGGGGAGGTGCGCAGAGGTGGCAGGCAGGGCCGAGGGAGAGACCTGGCCCCGAACATTGGTGGAGCTGGGTCCCCCAGGCCCTGAATTTGGTGGAGCCCAGGCACCATGGGCTCATACAACTCACCGCCCCTGCACTGGGTGTTGCACCACATTGATGATGAGAACAGCAAAACCACTGCTGTGGAAATTGCCAGGAAGATCAGTCTTTTAGATCAGTGGTTTTCAAAGTGTGGGTCGCAGCAGCGCTGGTCAGCACTGCTGACCGGGCCATTAAAAGTCCCGTCAGCAGTATGGCCCGGCTAAGGCAGGTTAGTCCTTACTTGTTACAATACTGCGCTGCACCCCGGAAGCAGCCAACAGCAGGTCCGGCTCCTAGGCGGGGGCCATAGAGCTCTGCATCTGCCCTGAGCACTAGCTCTGCACTGGGGAGGTGGTGCCTGCAGGTGAGACCCACATGGAACCACTTGCATGCTTCCGGCTAGGAGCCAGACCTGCTGCTGGCTTCTTCCAGGGTGCAGCATGGTCCCTGGTGCCAGGACATGGAGGAAGCCTGCCTTAGCACCCCCACTGCGCTGCTGAGCGGGAGCCACCTGAGGTATGGCCACGCCCCAACCCTTTGCCCCAGCCTCTCCCACACCCCAAACCTCTCATCCCCAGCTCTGTTGGGTCACGGACATCAACAATTTTCTTCAACTGGGTCGCCACAAAAAAAAAGTTTGAAAACCACTGTTTTCGATGCCAGTCTAGTGCTTGCAAATGCCTAGACTGACATCAATGCTTGAACAATCTGCAATTGCTGGAAAAAAGGAAGTCTGGTCATACCACCCATAGAGGAAGCAATTGTTGTTGATCCACCAAGAGAAGAGTGGATAGGCATCAATGACAATGCTTTTGTTATACAACCTGTCTCTGATGGGGACATGGTGACTGAGGTCAGAGACCAGGTTGAAGGGAAACCTGAAAACGATGCAGAGGTGGACTCTGATGGTGAAGAGGTAATCGTTCCAACCTTGACCCAGATGAAGGATGCGATGAAAACTTTGACAAATGGCCTATTATACAGGGGCTTCGATGCTTTTAACCTCCTACATTGCATTGCAAAGGAAGTTAACAATGTTGTGGATTGTGCAATGATCCAGGGAACACTGGACAAGTTTGTAACTAGTGATCATGCCACTGCATTGTGCATTCACACTGCCAGACGTGCCACGCTGGTGACACTAAAATAAATATTGAGTCAATACTGTTAAACAATTTATATTTATGCTACAAAAGTCTGTGTAATGCACTTTCATATATTATGTTTGTTGCAGTTTATATGAGAGATTTTAAAATTTGTATCTTTATTGTAAGAGGTTATATAGTTCCACTAACTCGCACTTTGTGTAAAATTGTAACATGCTGTACAGTATTAATAATTGCCTTGAATAAAAACACCAGCTAAATAATTGGATAATAAAAATAATTAATAGCCTGTTGCTCAGTTAGAAGGTTGGTATGGTTTTGTTCCATGTTGAGTATGTTTAAAGTCTAAATAATTATGGTAAATGAGATGTTTCTCAATTGAATAAAAAGAGCTAGTTTAAAAAGTAACGGTCAATTTCATCCATTCTTTGCAATTCTGCATGTAAGAATCAACCACTTATAAGAATCAAATCATCCAGGATGGATGTGATTCTTATAAAAGGAGTACACTGTGTGACGGGTTGGACCCCCGGGGGTGTCACCTGGTGTGCTGGGACACCACTGAGTCAGACTATTCTGACAGCCTGGGCGCCTTTTTAGCTGGTCTCACTGGGCTAGGCTCTCCAGCCTTTTCCAGCCAAGCACACAGGCAGGGCCACACCCAGCTGCAGAGAGAGAGAGAGAGATCCACTCTGAGAAGGCTCAGCTTAAGGGGCTTGCTACAGCACCCAGATGTCTACCCGCCATTGGAGTACAAACCCAAAATTATATGGAATTCACCTCTTCCCTCAATGTGAAAGAGGGTATACACAACTTCTGCCCTTCCCCCCCCCCCGTTAGAAATCACATAAACTGGGTTATATTGTAAACCAGAAATGTATTAACTATAACAGGTGTATTTTAAGTAGTTAAGGAGGTAGCAGACAGAACAAGGCAGATTACTAAAAATAAAACAGCATGCAAACTAAGCTTAATACACTTAATACATGCTAGATTTCAGAGTAACAGCCGTGTTTAGTCTGTATTTGCAAAAAGAAAAGGAGTACTTGTGGCACCTTAGAGACTAACCAATTTATTTGAGCATAAGCTTTCGTGAGCTACAGCTCACTTCATCGGATGCATACTGTGGAAAGTAAAGAAGACGTTTTTATACACACAAACCAGGAAAAAATGGGAGATTGATCACTTTACATAAGCTATTACCAGCAAGAGAGTGGGGTGGGGGGAGAGAAAACCTTTTGTAGTGATAATCACCCATTTTTTCATGGTTTGTGTGTATAAAAATGTCTTCTGTACTTTCCACAGTATGCATCCGATGAAGTGAGCTGTAGCTCACGAAAAGCTTATGCTCAAATAAATTGGTTAGTCTCTAAGGTGCCACAAGTACTCCTTTTCTTAATACATGCTGGTTGCATGTAAGTTCTCACCCTAAATATGGCTCTAATAATCTTCTTCACAGGCCAGATGCCCTTCCAGCCTGGGCCCAGTTGTAACCATGCCTCACTGGGTCACAAATGAGGATACCAGATTCAGGACGAACTGCTGAGAAATAGGGCAGATACATCCCAAGACAGGTGGCTAATCTCCCACAGGATACACCAAACTAGAAACAAAAGTAAACTTCTGTTTCACCACATTGGCTGACAAGAAAACATAAATGCAGGTCCTCAGGCATTCCATTTCTTAGAACACCACCAAAAACACTGGATTCAGAAATGAGTGGTTCTTTACAACCAGTCTCATCAAATAATAGGTTCTTCTGATCCCAAAGGACCAGCCACACACCCAGGTCAATATATAACTTAGATCTTACCCAAAAATCACGCTGATGCCAATCTTTAGTATCTCAAAACTAAAGGTTTATTCATAAAAAGAAAGAAAGGTGAGAGTTAGAATTGGTTAAAGGAATCAATTACATACAGTAATGGCAAAGTGCTTGGGTCAGGCTTGTAGCAGCGATGGAATAAACTGCTGGCTTAAGTCAAGTCTCTGGAGTACATCCACAGCTTGGATGGGTCATTCAGTCCTTTGTTCAGAGCTTCAGTTTGTAGCAAAGTTCCTCCAAAGGTAAGAAGCAGGATTGAAGACAAAATGGAGAAGATGCAGCTGCCTTTTATAGTCTTTTGCCATGCGGCTTGTGCTTCCTTGTTTCAAACACAAACTGCCCAGCACCTGGCTCGGAAGCCTTTTCTGTCCATAGACATGCCCATGCATGCCTTGCTGAGTCATTAGGTGTATCCCCTGACTTCTCTCAATGGATCAGTCATATAGCTGATGGTCCTTAATGGGCCATCAAGCAGGCTAGGCAGTGCTGATGCCCAAACTGTCTGGGGGGTGTCACCCAGAAGCACAGTATAAATGTTGTAATACAGATATGGATACATATCTATACCCCAAAATACAAATGTGATACAAAAACAAATGAGATTATAATATTTGGCAAACTATAACATTTTTGCAGATATATTACATGGCATATCTGTAACAACTGATTGCAATTTTATAATATTAATATTCATAATATACTCAAGTGTCCCCCAGAATCCATACAGCGTCACACCCCCCACGCAAAATTGATGCAGAAAAGGGTGTCCCTAGACACTGCTGAATGCATCACAAGAATTTTCCATTCTAGGTCCTATATTATTACAAGTTCAGTTTATATCACAAGTATTAGTGTACAACAGAAATAGTTTATCAAAATCATGTCTGACTGACTAAATCAGGCTCCTTGTATACAGCTACCTTCATTTTCTGAAAATATTCTCTCTCTGATGTTACATTAATGTAGACATTAATGCTCTCAAGGGTATAATTACCTTGGCATTTAGCCATGACAGCAATGTGGCAGTGTGCCTCAGTTTCCCTCTATATACAGCAGACATTTGTAAAGGTTTCTTTGCTGTGACAAGTTTCACAATTGCTTACAGGTATCAGCTGTAACATTTCACTATCATAAAGCTCTCTAGCATACCATGTGTTTTTAGGTATTATTCCCAATATATTTACAGACTTTGTATCAAAGTCATACACATTGTACCTTTTACTAGGGTTAACATCAAAATCAAATACATTAGAAGGCTAAACCTTAACAGTAACACCAAATTTGTTAAAAGTCAGTGTTTGTAAGGATCTTGGTCATACAATGCCTCTTGTCTCACTCAATTCCTGGGCTGGCCAAGTGTGTCCTCATTGCTACCAGCTATGAGGCAAATCTTCCCCCTCCCTTGTCAGCCAGGTAGATTGTATCAACCCAGAGACTAGCTTTCAAATTGTCATCTGCTAACAATTTCAAGGCTGGACCCTCATTCTTCCCTTCAGCAGGATTGGGTCCTTCACCCTACCCCCAGACCTTTCTCCTAGAAGGTTGGAAACTGAACCTCCCTGCTTACAGGAATCCCTTTGCTGGCTATGTGTGTTCACCAACTGCAGACCCTCTGTGCTATGAACATCTACACAGACACTCGCCTATATGCTTGCTTGTGGATCCACCACCACCAGCTCAGAGACTGGGTTCTGTTTTAAAGAGATATCAAACGCATCCAAAGTGTCTAAGGGTGAGCATTTGCCTGCTCTTCCCTGCATCCTTGTGGGTTCAGTCATAAGGCTGTTCTGCTCTCAAAAACCAGTAACCCAATCTTTCCTCAGACCCTTACGTACAGACTGCTTAGTCAAAGAAACAGCATGGAGTCATTCCTGTTCCAACAACATTGTTTCCCCAACAAGCTGGTCAAACACAGCCACTTGGTCATCATAGGGCTGTTCACCCTCCCTAACAATTTTCACTCCATCTGAAACCTTCTCAAAGCTATCCACACTGGATCTTTCTAAAGCAAAGTCAGTGGATCCATTTTCAATAGAAAAATTCTGGCTGTTAGGAAATGAAACTCCCTTGATCACATCACTTTCGCCACATCCCTCATTTACAGCGAGCTGGTTGGAAAAACTGCCATGAGGAATTTTCTCCTTAGCAGATTCTCTAAGCAACAATCCCTCTTTCACAGAAATTCTGCCTGTACCCTTTTTACCTAGGGCTTGCTCTAAAGGAACATTTTCCTGAGCAACAACAGACTCTTTCTGGGTTTCACTTAAATCCAGAATCACCTGGTAGGTTTGACATATAGTATATGTTCAAAAAAATGTGCTGTATGTATTTTCACTTGCAAAAAGGAAACATACAGGGAGTCATGGATGTGCTGTTTCAGGAGCAGATGTGTTTGTTGAGCACTCCCAAGGGATATCTGCTAAAGTACTTTTTAGCCAAACAGCTTGACAGAATCAGTGATTTTTCTGTTTACAAGACTGTTAATTGCACTACAAATGCTGAAGTGGGAAATGCCTTGAAGCAAGTCCAAGTAGCCGCCTGGGAATCAAACCCAGTACCTGTCACAGAAAATACATTAAATGAGAAAGAGATGGCACTAGGAAGGGACTGTATCTCTGATTCCCCAAGGTACAGGAATCCTTCAGAGATTATTTCACCAAAAAATGAAGTTATGACTAAATGTTGAGATTATTACTTCCACGATTTCAGGTGTGGAGGACAAGGTATAGACAAGAAACCCCCCTCTACCTTAGGCTAATATCTACTATTTACTTATGGAGAGAGAATAAAACTGTAAAAGCAGGGTAGAGTTTAGGAAAAACAACATATATGAAATAGTAGGGTTGTTGGTATCCCTAACTCATTTAACAAACATGGTATTATAATGTAACATGCTTTACAGTTGATCTCTGAAGTATTGGAACAATTGAGTCCCAATGAATCTTTTCATAAGACTTCTTCCCTTTTCCAAAACTAATGATTATTCAGCTGAGAGATTTTATGTACCATCTTTAGCTCAAAAACATTAGTGTTAGACTTTGAGAGCTTTGACACAATAAACTGTTACCACATTTAATTTCCTTCCTTCCATGCATCTACTTACTAATATGGGCTGGTATTTTTGCAGGATTATAAAGCACATGTTGAAAGAGCAGCTGGTGGTAATCTGGTCAAAAGGGATGCTCTTTGGAATTGGGAAACAATTAGAGTTTTCAATAGCATGAGTTTATCCTGGCAAGCCAAATATCTTTGTATTGCTTGAACTGCTACACTGATATTTGACATTGATGTACTGGTCAAATAAAATCAAACGCCAAAACACACCAGTTTTTTCCACAACTGCACGACCACTTCAGGTATCCTTAAAAAAATTTCACTGTGGAAGCACCATTGTAGGTATTAATGTTATACTAGGTGAGAGGGAGTTTGTCACCTCTTACCAATGCAATTATATATTGTTTCAACTGATCTTGTGAAAGGACCAATATTTCATCCAAAGTGATATACATTGTTAATACACATGGAGGGGTTCATCTTTCTCTTTTCTATAACTAAATACTTTATAAGTACTTAAACTTCTTGTATCGCTCTTTTGTAAAATGTCAGTGATAGAAAACAAACAGCATATACCATAATGTTTCTTCAGTAAAAAAAACAATTTCCTACAACAAAATATACTTTATACAAGGAATTTATTACATATTCAGATATTACTACAAAACATTTTGAAAAAGATACATTCAAATAGAATGCCAATGCCACTACCAGATCAGACCAGCTGATCATCTACTTCAGTATCCTGTTGTCCCTGCCAGTACCAGATGCTTCAGAGGAAGCTGCAAGAAACCCTGAACTGGACAATGAGGAATAACTTACTCATAAGCAAAGTTTCTTCTTAATTCCTCTCATTTAGAGGTAGGTGAATGTCCTGTATCATGACAGTTTATTATACCTATTCTAACACTTAAAAACAAAACACCTTTTACATCCCAATATAACTGTGGATGTTCTTACTGTCCAAGATACAGGCTGGAGCTGCTGCAAGCCCCCAACAGTGCTTTATTTACCACTCCCCTTTCCCCAGGGTATTTTTAGTAAAAGTTAGGGACAGGTTGTGGGTGTCCCATTAATTTTTGTTTATTGCCTGTGACCTGTCCCTGACTTTTACTAAAAATACCTGTGATGGAATGTTAACCTTATGGATGAGATAGTCAGAGCATGCTGTGACTATCTCATCCATAAGGTTAACATTCCATCACAGGTATTTTTAGTAAAAGTCAGGGACAGGTCACAGGCAATAAACAAAAATTAATGGGACACCCACAACCTGTCCCTAACTTTTACTAAAAATACCTGTGATGGAATGTTAACCTTATGGATGAGATAGAGAGAATCTGCTGTGACTGTCAGAACTCCGGATGAGTTTGTAGGATTGGTAGTTGGAAAATGTATCATCTTCTCTGAAAACTAAGCAAATTTAAGTGGAAATATTTGAGACAAAATTAATATAAAACACCAGATGGCCATTTTTAGAGTAGCATCATACTTTAAGTTCTGTTCTCCGTATGGCAACAACAGTGAACAAGGTAGGTGACCTCTTGTTTTTTTTTTTTGAAGTCTATATATCACCCAACATATGTAATTCTCCCACTCTACAGTTTTGCACAAACTTAATAGAATGGGCTATCGCAATTCTCAATACACGTTGTGGTGAAGGCATCTGAGTTCTATACAGTTTTCTAAGGCTGCCACATAACGGTCTATAGCAAAAGCTGACATTCTTTAAGGACCACTGACTTTTATTGCCTAAAAAGTAGATTTATTCCAGCTTCTGAGAAGAAGAGTCAGGCAGTGGGATACCCATCCTTCCCATCAAAGAGGTTTCTCAACCTTTTCTTGTATTTGGTATTTCTGAAAGATGTGAATTGAAACAAATAAATATATATTAGCAAAATGAAACAGTCATGAGTGGGGATCCCATATCCTTATATTCGAAATATCCTAGTTTCTTCTCCCCACAGTTTTATAGAATTTAATCCCATACTCACTCTCCTCTAAGAATACCAACTGCTCACAAAATTATCTTTAGGAAAATATTTAGAGGCAATGCACCATTTTCCTAAACAGTTAGCTTATTTTAATAGACTTAATGGTCAGGGTGTGTGGGGGAAGAGTATAGTTTTCTTTTAAAATATTAGTTAAACTTGAAATACAATAGTTTCTCCTCACTTTGAGCAACTTCCCTTCCCTACATACACGTGTGGGTTACTTATAAAATACAGGCACACATTTTGGCTTGCTGCATAGCAGCAATGAAAGTGGTTTAAATATTAGACATGAATGTCCAATACACAAATGTTAAACATCAGCAGTTCTTGCATTTTAACTGAGGTCTTTAATACCATGTACAGTTCAGGTTGTACATACTGCAGATACTTTTTAAAAGTTTCATGTTGATTTAATGATAAAATCTGTGTATTCACTAAAATCCTGTGTAGCTTTGAGCTGGAATCAGACAGTAAGTATTGTTTCACCACAGCTTCTGTGACAGTTGCATTACACATACTCCTGATAACCTCAGTCTTCCGTTACCTTTTAGACAGCATTTCACAGGCTGCATTAAAGACATATTTAACAAAAATAAAGGTTCTAAAAAAGAAATGGTATAAATGCTTTTCGACATGTTGGGTAGCAGCTGAAGTTGTTCACATAGAACTCATGGCATAGAACTGCAGCCAATGCCTGGTTAAACAGCACATACATTACTACAAGCCACCAGGTTAAGTTTTGAAATCCAAATGTGATGGCCATGGATACATATATTAGGAGTTCAGCAAAATAATGTGGGCAAGATACTCTCTCAAACCAGTCTCCAAAAGGAATGCTGTGGCTCAAGTTTACTACCTTTCCTGCAATTTAAAGAAAGAAAAAAGTTAGTTGATAGAGCATGTATTAAAATAAACTTTAACTCTTAATCCATATTTATGTATAATTACGGAGTAATGCTGAGCACCTGCAGTTCCCACTGACTTCAGTAGGATTTGTGGGTGCTAAGCACTTCTGAAAAAGAATCACACCACTTTTATTAGATGCCTACATATGGATTAAGGAGCCTAATTTTAGCCACTCAGGTTTGAAAATAGTGACCGTAACTCATTCCCAATACAATGTGTAATGTTATGGTTACTTTAAGAAGTAAGGTCTAAGAATAGAGTGAGATTTTCTAATCATAGCTCAGGAAAGTAATTCCTTCTGTAGCCTCTGCATATCAGCCTCTCCATTTATAAAAGAGAGATGATAAACACTTACCTAATAAAAACTTCAAAAACAGACTCCAACAAGAAACTGCTGAATTGGAATTAATTTGCAAACTGGACACCATTAAATTAGGCTTGAATAAAGACTGGGAGTGGATGGGTCATTACACAAAATAAAACTATTTCCCCATGTTTATTTCCCCCCTCCCTTTAGTTTCACCTTGTCAACGGGGCCATCCTGATCATCACTACAAAAGGTTTTTTTCTCCTGCTGATAATAGCCCACCTTAATTGATCACTCTCATTATAGTGTGTATGGCAACACCCATTTTTTCATGTTCTCTGTGTGTGTGTGTATATATATCTTCCTACTGTATTTTCCACTGAATGCATCCGATGAAGTGGGTTTTAGCTCACAAAAGCTTATGCTCAAATAAATCTGTTAGTCTCTAAGCTGCCACAAGTACTCCTTTTCTTTTTGCTGATACAGACTAACACAGCTACCACTCTGAAACCAAATTAAGTGGTAATAAGTGTTCCTAACACATTTTAGACATATTTCTATTCAGGATGATACAAGTGTGAACCTTCTTTTTAAACCTTGCATATTGTGAATAACTACATATCACCTGCTCAAGTCTCTTCCAGATAGACTAAGTTAACCCCTTGGAAAGTGATCTACAGAGATACATATTCACATCAGCATTCATTTCACTGAGTTTTTGGAAAATACCAGTGTTCTAAGGGGTTGGGCTCAACAGAGATTCATTGTGACACACAATTTTTAATGGAAAAGTTATTACAAACAGCTCCAAGAAGTGAAATATCTCACCTGATTTACTTTTTCTAAGATTAGCTAGAATCACATGGCATCTATGTTGGTGAACTGAGGCCCAAATGTACATAATAATTCCTAGGGCGTGGTACCAGCAGATTTGCATAAAGAGGTTTTTCCCTGAATTAAAAATGAAAATAGTATGCCTATTAATACAACATTAGGAAAAAAAAGTCTGCATTAAACCCTCACCAACACCATCTCAAAAAAATTCAGCTTTTATATATATATATAAATAATGTTGCAGCTTTTCCCAGTGTATGCCCCACTTCTTGAATAATGGTGAAGGGAACTTTTAAACACAACTTGTGCAGACAGTGAACCACACCCTAGTTATGAATTGCTGCAGGCCTTTATTCTTAACTGCCTGCTACTGCAAATTATAAATTAGTCAGTTTTCTTTTTAATCAGTAGCTGTAGGAATAAGGGAGGGTGCATGCTACAAGCAGAAAGGGTTACCATTTGGTTCAGGCCTCCATATTCTAACATGTTTTGGACTGTGACAGTGTTTGTAAAAGTGTATTTTTATCACCATGTTAGAAGACTGTGCCATAGCTGAGGTCAAGATATCATGACAGAATTGTGTTGCCTTATCTACACTAGCAATTAAAAAAAAAAAAAAATGGTGAGAACAGATGATTGATTTGCAGGAATTTTGCACTATGGATGGACCCCAGTGCTTATGTCAAGGCACCATCTCTGTGGAATGCCATGATCAGAAAGGTAGAAAATGCACCCAGACAGCACCACCTAGAAAAGGCTTTGTTTGCACCAAAGTCATTCTAAGAGGGCTGTAAAATCAGCGTGGAGGACAAAAGCTACCTCTAAGATAGCATGAAATGACTTAAATTCTATATCTAGTGCTGACCACATAAGAAAAATTAGTCATGTGAAATGCACACCAGGGGCATTCTGGTTCATCATGTACCTATGCAGCAGAGCAAACAACAGCTCAACTGTAGGACTTAGTGCAACATGTTGGCAGAAACAGGTCACATTATTCATGAATCCTTTAGAGCTCTTTGGATACTTAATTGGCCCAAGTAGCAAAGAGAAAGGAGACTGATACTAGACATGTGACTGGAGGCCAAGAACTAAGTAAACAGGCAAAGGTGCTGGCAGACTCATATTTAAAGGAGGGTCCACAGCAAAGAGAAACTTCAGACTATAATAGCTGTGTAACCAGAGAGATCCTGACCTCTGCTGGACTGGAGGTTCCTTCATAAAGTGGAAGCAGCTCATTGACAAAGATATGATGTGTTGGGCCTGGGAGTCTAAGGGACATGGTGGCATACAGCAAACAACGGTACTGAGCTATAAGGAGAAACCGCATGTAGAGCAGAACTAGGACACATACTACGGCCATGCATGTGATGTCATGTGCTGGTTAATATGTCTGACTTTAAGTAACTGCAGTAAATACTTTTATAGATCTCATCAAATACCTCTTCTTTCACATACACCTGCACACAAAAACACCCTGTAGATAGAACTTTAGAAGGTGAAAAGATTAGGCATACTACTAATCTCTCGTTCACCCTTTCCCCCACTCCCACCCTCACCAAACCATCTTGTGATACTAGAAACAAATTAAAAAGAAGCCGCAAGTATGGTTAGCACTAAAGAGACACTCACCATTGCTGACATTAGCCGGCACTTGACACAGCACAGTTAAGCCAACAACAATATAGTACCCAAGCCCAAAGCAGTATTGTACGATATGAAGGAAACCACTGGAGAAGACACTGATGCAGAGGCACTCTATGAGCCTTCGAAAGCTGTGTAGCCAGAGGAGCATGAGAACCAAGAGAGCAGACAGGTGTTTGTCACCTACAAGTCAAACAGAAGTGACAATCTCAAACTCTTCCTCTTCACAAACTGAGCTCCAAATTCCCTCTGGAAACCAGTTTTCACTATAATTTAATTTGCATTCATTTTAAAACTACTTAAAAGGACATCAGCTATGGAACCTGAGCAGCAGGAATGAGAGAGAGAAAAATCAGTGTGTGCATTTTTAAGATGACTGCCTTGAAAGATGGAGAGTAAGTCCTTTTGGACAGAAAGGATGCTTTTTAATTTGCGTATATGTTACCCGCACATTATGACGATGAGCACATTTAGCGTCTGTCTTACTATTAGTGTTTCTAAAGGAACACTGACAACTTGAAGGATGGAAAAAATTTTTTTAAAAATGAGTTAAAAGTGAGGGCGAGTGTAAAAACTACCTCCAAATTCCCCAGTCAATTTCCCTATTTTTTTTTAAAAAGTGCTCCTCTTTTCCTCTGTTAGTGTCTGAAAGAACTACACAAATAGAAAAGACTATAGTGAAACTGACTACACATGATGTATCGTGCATAATATCATGAATTAATCAAATGCATGATGTAAACAAACTTTTGAGAGAGATTTTTAATTTCTTTCAGTTGCACAGAAAAACCTCAGATTATCCAAAATGTGAAAACATACAATAAAACTGGAATTTGGTTTTTCTAAGTTTTGGCTATGACTTCTGAGCGTTTACAAAATTTACTGAGTCATTTCAAGTGTTACCTGTAATAATTTTTAGGCAGAAGTTTGGGTTTTTTTCAGTTGACTGAATATGCTAAAGGTGAATTGTAAAGCAAAACACCTTTTTTTGTTGTTGCTTTTATTACATTTTGATGATGTATTAAGATAGACCCTTTTTTTAAATTAAGACTAAGAATCAGCATCCCCTTCCTGCTCAGTTGGGGGAAGGGAGAGCTGCACAGGTCCTCCATTTTTCTTGCTAGGGTAAAATAAAAGAAAGGCCAGATATTTACAGTGTGAAAAAAAACAAAGGAATATATTTTTAAAATTTATGAAATACTTTTTATATATCCTAAAAATAATTTTACAGGGCAAAAATAGTTTTTCTTTGCTGTTCACTTTTAAATCAATTAAACCAAGCGATTATTCTGGAACATCCTTTCCATTAATTTCTTCTGTCTAAATAAAGGAAGGATTACTTCTAGAAAAGGAGTGTTGAATAATGGTTAAAGCCTTGAACAAGGCCACTGACCCTCTCTGTGCCTTGGTTTCCCGACCTGTACTTTTTACGGTGGTCCTGCAAAGATTAACGTGTGGGTATCATGGGATTCTATGTTTACAGTCCTCCCAAATCTATAAAACCTTTACATAATTACACCCCACTCTAGAATTTTTCAAATAAAATATTTCCTTACCAATCTAATGTGAGATCAAATTTGCTTCTTTCAGATCTATTAACAGTGTTATTAAAACTCCAAATAATCAAGATTTTTTTTTAATCGTGATTAATTTTTTTGAGTTAATCACATGAGTTAACTGTGATTAATTGACTGCCCTAGTATAAATTAATAAATTAGGGATGAGTAGCTGATGTATTCTCAAAGGGAGGTCAGGAGAGTATAGCAGTTCTGTGTTACAACATCTGTGCATCTGTCCATAACATGTGGAGTACTTGCCCACATCCTGGTTCTGCGAAGCTCCACCAAGAGCACTGAGCAAATCCCGAAGCCATATCGGGAAAGGTCTTGCTAGGAACAAAGCTTGAATAAGCAATAGGAGCAACAAGCCATTCCAGACCACAGAAAGAATATAGAAGTGAGAAAACCACCTGTGGAAGAAAGAAGCAGCAGTATTAACTTTCTGGATTTTTCAATCATTTTTTTCTTATCACTCCTTTTTTCAGTGTTGGAATTCAGTGACCAGGTCTAAGGAGAACGGCCCGTTTTCATTTGGCCTAACCTCCCACAATAAGAGATGATGGGGCCTTTTATGGAACTACCAGATGTCTACCATAGCCTCATTCCAACAGTCTTTCCTAGTTATATGATGCTCAGAATACTAAACCTCCCACTCACTGTATCTTTTTCCATGTTTTTAGAACCTTCAAGTGGATGCACTGGAAAACTAGAAGAGTGAGTGGAGACCACACAAAACAAGTGCGAGACTCAAGGCTTTAAATAATTAAATATAATACAAACCACACAGCAATACATGAATGTAAAATGAAATTTTGAAAATATAAAATGCTTCAGTTAAAAGTATGACAATGTCATGTTTTAATACCCCAGCCATCCTGCCTGGAATTCTTTTCTGGGCATTTCCGTGCTGTTGCCTCGAACAGCATTTTCATTTTCTTCACCTCTTCTGAACAGACCATGGAGAAATTACTACTGCTCTGCATTTATCTTTTGTACAGAATCACCCAGACACCATTACACAGCTGGACTGTGTGATATTTTGTCACCACACAAATCCAGGAGTCTTTAAATTGTCTTGCAGACCTAGGGATTATTCATCTCTCTTGATATCTTTAAGGCAAGACTGGATGCCTTTCTGGAGTGTTTGCTTTAGATAAACACAAGTTATTTGGCTCAATAAAGGGGTAACTGGATTAAATTTAATAACCTGTGAAATACAGGAGGTAATTCTAGATAATCTCATGGCTTCTTCTGCTCAAAGTCTATGAATAAAATCAGGACATCTGGCGATATCTGCCAATAGATAAACATTCAGGATGGGAATGCCCAAAGTTTCCTGACCGCAGGACTTCCTTGGATGATTTTGACTGTGTAATCAAATAAGACTGTATTTAGCTTCAGAATATGGCAAACTGACCTGGCATTTGAGGTTGATTTTTTATTTTTCAAATCATATGGGAGATAGAATGCAGAGGAGTTGGATATTCCACAATGGTAAACAAAGATGTGTATCACACTGAGAACTTTCCAGGGGCTTAATAAATTTGACTTTAAGGGTAACATGATCAAATTCTCCTAATCAGTTAAAATGGGAATGTCCTACAGTGTTGACATATCTCAGCTGGCAACTTTAAATTTCTCTGGATAGACAAGAGTGCTCCACAAGAGTATTGGGCTTGTATCCAGTGCTGACAATCATTTAGGAGCAGGGTATCGGCCTCTGATCAGCATTCCACAACATTCTCTCTCAAATATAGCAGGTCACTCACACAGATGAAGAGCTTCATTGTGCACACAGAAACCATTTGCCCGCTTACAGCGGGCAGACCAAGCAGGTACAGATTTAATTTATCTGAAAACACTCTTTGTACTCCAGTCTCATACAGACTAACACGGCTGCTACTCTGAAACAGTAGGGTTTGTTATAGTAAAGTGGGCTTAGAGACAAACAGAACTCAAACTGCTATGAGTTTTTATGCAAACCAGGTCTCCACTTAGCCCATATTCAAGTCAAACTCAAGTCTTGTTTGATACGGGCAGCTTAGACTCTTGGGGAGGCCCCCCGAAGTGGAAAGTTTGTGCGGGAAGAGGGATGGAACAGAGGCTGAAGAGGTAGCTAAATGGACATACTCTTCCCTCTCCTCTCTAAACCCCTCCCAAGGGTTTTTTACTAGAGTTATTTTAATAGCTGGTTGGTTGGTTGGTTCAGTGTTATGACTATATTCCCATAAATAATAGTCCAAAACACATACATACGTGTGTGCAGGTGCATATGTATTTTAAACTATTTGTTTAGAAAGTTTTTAACAAGTTTACAAATATCAGAAACAATCAGTACAATAGTTAGCTTTCATTTATATGGGAATATAGTCATCAGAACTTTCTACTGAACAAAGTGTTACCGTATTACAGAGTGAGCATCATTACAACACCTGTATCCTTTTTAGTGATTTTATTAAATTGGGTGAAATCTCTATGTACACAATTTAATAGACCAGACATATCTATCAACTGCTAATATTTTTAAAAATTGGCCAGGTGTACTGGTTCAAAAACATCCATCTTTGTAATGTAAAGAGTGGAGTGCAGCTACTACTAAGGCTACTTAAAAGAGTTGATGCCTTGGCCGTGAACTGTGCACTCGCCCTCACTCACACCAAATAAGAAGATCACCACGGTTCACAGGTGAACTACAGCAGATAACATGCAGAGGCAAAGTCAGGACATCAGTAGTCCAAAAAACATTCTAAATCTCTCTGCCAGCAGCACAAACATACATTTACAGGACTATGCCACTGCAATAAAGGAGACAAAATGAGCCTTTTACTCCACAAATCAGTATGGCAGAATCACAGCCAGCATAGACATTTCACACAGCAAACCAGCTAATCAACCCAGTTTTCACAGCCCAGACACCAGACCCAAGCATCAGCCATTGTAAAGAGCTGTCAGCATACGTCACTGAGCAACTGAATACAGAGGGATTAACTGGAAAGGAAAATTCCCCCCCTCACCCAACTATTATCTGCCCTAGCACCCCTGGCAAAGTTTGGGCCTCCTCACATATGCCGAAGTTCAAGAAGCCCTGAAAAATATTACAGGTACAACCTATTAAATGGATCCATGTCATTCGTGGTTGGTAGAAGCCAATGAAGAATAACTATGACCATGGCCAATGGAAATAGTCAAGGCCACCTTCAGAGAAACACACCTAAAAATTTTACAGTTTACCTAATCCTCAAGAAGCCAGTACTTGATTCTGAAGTTGATTCCAACTACTGTCCCATCTCTAACCCTCTGTTCCTGGGCAAAACAAGTGAGAAAATAGCAACCATCAAGCTCCAACAACATGTTACATTAGCCAACATTCTGGATGCCTCACAATCAGGATTCAGAGCAGGGCACGGCATATAGATGGGTCTTGTCAAGGCAGATTCCCCACTCTGGCACTTTGATATCAGGTGAATTCAGAGTCTGACCATCTTTAGGAAACATTGCAAGGCCTTCATCTTTGGGAAAGCTTTGCTTGCAATTCCAACAGCCCTTTATTTTTAAACCCTTCTAATTCCCCTCCCTCCCAAAAAAACCCTAACCCAAGCAGAGTTTTGACCCCAAAAAGGAAGAAGTGCCAGAGATGCCATTAAATCCACGAGGATGCTACTGATTTTACATGGAAGATACTCACATACTACTATGATGGATATTACTACCTTAATAACAGAAAATACAGCAATGGCCAAAGTGTTAAATGCCTTTTTTGTTTCAGTTTTCACCAAAAAGGTTAGCAGTGATCAGATGACTAATACGGTGAACATCAGGATAAATGGGGTAGGATCTGAGGCTTTGAGGATTCACGCTGCCGGTCACAGTCGAAAGTGGTGAGTGCAACTTTTCGAAGCTCAGGCTCATTAAAACATATCTTTGATCGACAATGGTTGGCCAGAGACTGGCATTGCTTGCTATTTTATCGCTTGAAAATGCCATTGGTCAGTGTTTGGATGTCTCCGACGCTGTGCTTCAGTTTGCGAGGGCAAAGGCAAGAAAAGCAACCTTTTGAACCCTAAAGGACTAGGGTTAACACTCTAAGGCTGTCACCTACTGCAACACTATTTAATACTGGTCCACCCAACGTTGGTGTACAGTTCAATTTCTTGACGTAAGTACACTTCAATTCTTAAAATTAAAAAGTTTCTATAAGCTTAGAGGAAATTAATTTTTATTTGCTTATATATGGCATGCATAAATACAGATTTACAGAATCTAGTGTGCAAATTTATCATCTTATATGACAGGGATAAATCACGTATGCAAATCATACATCCAAGTCATGAAACAGGCTACAAATGCAATAAAAAATAAGGTATTCATAAGTTTAACAAATGGGGGGGGGGGCACCGAAGACACTCCTCACCAGGTGTGCCATTTGGTCTAGGGCCGACTCTGACCTGAGAACTTTAACTGTGAGGTAAGAGACAAAGACAAAGGGCCAGGTGGGAAGAGGCCCAGGGAAGTAGCAGCAACTGACTTAAGTGAGTGGTATGTGGCTGTTTATAGGGTCACTGGGTTCGAACCCAGAGTAGTGGGTGGGCCCGCGTTTCCCCACTGACCACCAGCGAAGTGCTATAAACTCTGAGAAGAGGGCAAAGCTCTTTGGAAGCCTGAGTGAAGGGCTGAATTTAAATGGCCCACAGCCGGGGCTGAAGACCCTGTTGAGGAAAGATGGACAGTTTTGTTGGACTTTTGCTACCTTGAAGGGTTTGATTTTGATTGTGTGACCCAGCCAAAGGGCCGAGGCACTGAAGACCCGCCACGCAAGGTCAACAACCTACAGGAGGTGCCAGGAGCAGGAAAGAGACTGCAGTCCTGTATGCAGCAGCAGGTGGCGCTCAGGAAGTGAGCGTCCCCCATCACAGATGTATTAGCAGAGTGCTGTAAGCAAGACGTGAGACGTAATTCCTTCCACTCAGCACTGATAAGGCCTCAGCTGAAGTACTGTTTCCCATTCTGGGCACAACACTTTGGGAAAGATGTGGACAAACTGGAGAAAGTCCAGAGGAGAACAACAAAAATGATTAAAGGTCTAGAAAACAAGACCTATGAGGAAAGATTGAAAACAAAACAAAAACAAAACTGGGTTTGTCTAGTCTGGAGAAGAGGAGACTGAGGCAGGACATGATAACAGTCTTCCAAGTACGTAAAAGACTGTTAGAAAGAGGAGGGTGATAAACTGCTCCCCTTATTCAGTGAGGACAAAAAGTAATGGGTTTAAATTGCAACAAGGGAGATTTAAGTTAGACGTTAGAAAAAGTTTCTACAAGTAGTTAAGCACTGGAAAAGATTAATTAGGGAGGTTGTGGAATCTCTGTCACTGGAGGTTTTTAAGAACAGGTTAGACAGACACCTATCAGGG